CCTTGTTCGGAGGGCGAGTAGCTCTCATCGTAGTCCTCCTCGAGGATCAGCTGGTCCCCGATGAGCGCCGCTGCAGTCATCGTTACTGCGGAGGAACACGGAACGAGAAAGAGACGTGTGTGTGCTTATTGTGTGTATATTTGTACGCTCTATCATTCAGTAGCAGGTGACTACACGGGGTTGTCAGTCAGGCTCTCGGTGGACTCATGTCTTCACAGACGCCCTGCTGTCCGAGAGCTAACGGAAGATGTTGCCATCTCTATTGAGCTCCGTTAACAATATTAACACACTGACTTCTTCAAGCTAGCTAGAGCTGGACAATGGGAGAGGTTGTTTTAGAAGTCCAAACCCTGTGATAAACAGAGAAGCCACATTCACATTTCGACAAACCTAAAATATCGACGTGAAATGTTCAGTAAAAGTAACGTAGAGGGGAGGGCGGCAAGTGGTGAAGGGAATGGGCTAAGCTAATTAAGCTAGCCTCTCAGCTAACTTCAGCTGCCAGCTAACGGTTAGCTAATTAGCTACTTAAGCACAAGTACTTAATGGTGATACGTAATTTACCTTCCGAACTGTAATCGTTTTCTCATTAGCCTCTTTCGGAATATCGATTAGTTTTCAGTTGTTCAACACATACATTGTGTACGCGGAGGGGAGAAAGATGCGAAATTTACAGCATTAACGGCATCTCCAAGGACGCTTCCTCCATTTCCTGTTGACGATGGGAAGACGGACCTGACTGGCTGAGCCACGTGAGGCGTTCAGGGCTCCTCGTAAATTTGACACCCTAAAAAGTTTTTAAAAAAAATATCGCCAAAACGTTTTGGGGTGAGCAAACTTTAAGAGGCCCTTCAGGTATTCAGGGCCAGGCTTGCAGTGGTCCTTACACAGGATACTCCATCTGTATACATATTTTTCTTTGTCCTGTGTGGATTGTAAATGGAGGTGATATCTACATGGGAATGTAAAAATGTTAATGTGTTTGGATGAGCCAGTTGTTCTTTCAAATGTCCATAGAAATGCATTATTTATCACGATAATGTGTGTTGGTGTTTTGCAATTTAAATGCTTTTCTTTTTTTTTCCAAATAGGAGTGAGAGCGTTCTCGCATAGAGAGGAGTTGACGGGTTCTGCATGTGTCTTTGCTTCAGGATCCCTGCGGTGTGGCAAATGGCACTTTCTGTCTCCCAAAAGCCTCTCATTCACAGCTGGGGGCTGCATTAACGCCGTGCTGCTAAATGCCGTCTTTGTCTCCTTTCTGAGGTTGTGATCCCAGATGCTTGTCACCCTTCTCACGCAACCCATCATTGACTGTTGCCCACTCCAACAGAGAAAATCACAAGTTTACCCTCTATCATCTTGCAGATGTTTGAAACTGTACAATCTGGTGTTGTATGTGCAGAGCAGGATTAAAGCTCCAGGGTTTCAACCACAAGAGGGCAGACGAGGGCGGATCACAGACTTTAGTCCACCGCTGTGTCATTTAGAGGCTGCAGAGATGCACCGAATTAAGTCTAACTCTGGTTTATAGTACACACATTGGGATCTTTTTGCTTTAAGTTACTCTAGATAATATGAAGCACATTATTATTAATTAAAACATGCATGGATTTGAGTACACTGACTTATCTTGCCACTCTGTGTTCTGTGTGCCTAAAGTGTGGGCGGTTGGTTCTAAAAGCAGGGTGAATGGCCTCTGAATCTTGGGCAATGGTCGCTTTAGCATTACAAACAGGCCTTGAAACATTACACCTACGCACCCAACGACGTATTCCACAATCCTAATGTTAGATTGCAGTGTGCATTTGATTCTCTTAAATCTCTTAAATTGAAATGAAATGTCATTTGAAGTTAGGAGAAGCAAAGCGTCCATTCTGATCTTTATTAAGCCACAGATTTTAAAAACGTCAAACCAATACATTCAGAATTTTCATTGCAAAAGTAAATGCAAAAGGAATTTACCAGTTCAGTCCTAATCTGCGTACTTTTATCATTTAAAGCAATCAGATAAATATAGTGAAGTAAAAAGTACACACTTTATCAAAGGAATCGTGCACTTCGGGTGCAGAATCAGGCAAAGTTCCAGTCTATGAAAGACTACCATTACTCACAAAATGCTATCTGTAGTAAAGAATTACATCTTTGGCCATGTAAAGACGTTGCGTTTGCATCATCAGGTGCAGCGCTTCAACTCAGCACGTGTTCCAATTATCCAGACGGGCTTAACTGTGCACTTCAATAAGATAACTGCATTATCTTTGGAACGGTCTTAAGAGCATAAAAGGGCTACAGAGGCTCATAAAAGGAGAAGATAATGTTCCCTATCGCCGGTGGTGTGTCCTCATTATTTTCCGACTGCCTGAGTCTCTGTTAGAATGTGTTTGAGACTTATTCAACGATATCCCTCGGCGACCGTATGTCTCCTTAACTCCGCTCCTCTGAGGATTTAGGTTATCTGAGTTCAGGGATGCTTTTTCTTGCTCGACAAGCTGTGCAACCCACAGGGCGATGCAACCTACAGTGACTCCCTGCGACCCGGGCGACGGTCCAAATATCTGTATTAAAGCAGAAGCGACCTCAACAGATGTGACATTGCAAAACCACTTCGGTACACAGCTCAGGAGACGCGGTCATTACGCCGAAAACGAGAGCGAGCTCCAAACTGTTGCTCACAGCTGAGAAAACCTCCCCTGCTGGTTTGAGAACAGTGCTCCATCACGGAGGCAGCTGGAACAATGACGTGACCTTTGAACCTCAGCTAGGGCCTGATCAAATGGGGGATTTTTTCTGATTAAATATTTATCAGCTTCGGGCAATTACTGCACATCTGTCCGGCTGTTTGATGGTCACCTTAAAACCGGTTGTTCGATCATCAACCAAGACAATTTATTTATTCAAACGCATGTATTGGGTTAGAAATCCGTCGGCTTTATGTAGCGGTTGACATTAAGATCCTTTGTGATTTCTTCCCAAAGAGATTTCCCTTAAACCCTTAAATTTTTTCTAAATGTTCTCATCGCTCCACGTTACATCAGCTGCCTTGAGTATCAGGAAACATGCAACCTTAGCAATGATCTTGCCAGCGAGGTGTTCTGAGTTTATATTGATCACAATTACGTAAGCGGTAATCTATATAGATCACCCCCCCCCCGTGTGGATGCGGAGTCGAGGTGGTGCAACGAAAGCAGTCTCAAAGGTTGCTGTTCCAGATAAGAGAAATTCTTCTGTTTGTCTCCTGGTCAGCAGCTCTGAGCTCAGAGCGGCGCCGTGTGCGCCACCCTTGTTGTTGATCATTACTTTCATTGGATATTAATTATTTTTCAACCGTCAGTTTCCCCTCACTCTGAGACCAATGGCTCTAAGCCATGCGGGGCCTTGCTGTCTCATCTAGGTGTCTGCTGCGTTTGCTATTGATGTGAGACAAATGGCCAGAGCTGATAACGTGGGTTTGAACCCGGCATGCAGTGATGTGGCCGCTGCAGGCCGCGGCCTTATTGCCCCTCCACGTCAAATTATCCGCAAAAGTGAATGAGTTTGTAGTCATGGGGCGAGGGTCGAGATAGACGTGATGGTGTCAAATGATTAATAACAGAGGGAAGTGGAGGTAAGGAAAGACAAAGAAGGGACAAATGGGATTTGGATTTCAAAGAGACGTTGCTGCAGTTTTTTTTGTCTTTTATTGCTTTTAATTCCCTTTGGTGAACTGAGAGTTGCATTTTTATCCTTTTAGTCTCATTTCTCTTGAACACCTAATATTTAATGTATATGACGCTTGCCAGTCTCCTGGCCAGTTGATTGCCATTGACCACTGATGACAATGATTAACTTTGCACCTAATAACCCTGCACTATCAGACTAGAACACTATTTACAGCACATTACTGTACAGCTGTGTCTGAAGATGTCCTCCGTTACTCTCTGTAAACTCTTAAGCAATTGAACCCACTTTGTATCTGTTTTTGTTCTAATAAAAAAATATATATATATATTTCACTATGTGGACATCTGAAGAGAAAAGGGAAGAAACCTTTTGAGGGTAGAGATTGTGCGACAGGAGACATTAAAGTACCTTTGATGATTTACTAATATATGTGTATAATTAGAGATCCCTTTGAATACCACGATCATTCCTGTTTCTCAAATTACACAAAGCCATGATGACAAAGTCCACTGGTGATAGGACAACAAACAACAGCATGGCACACACACACAGCTCTTTGACCTATTAATCATCACACACACGCGCACACACACACACACAGACACACACACCGGCCACAAACTTTGTTATCCGTAAATTGAGATATTTGCCTTGTTCTTGGTTGTTTACTGCCTTCTTGCGTGGTTCTGTGTGGGTCTGCGGTTATTTTGATGGCGACAAGTTACCGTCCTGCTGGCTCACGTCTGTTGCTCTTGGCAGCACAGCGATCGGCAATAGCGTGGCTTTACTCTCATCAACACGCTCTTGTGACAAATGGTATGCAAGAAAACCAGTTGGAGAGAGCCTCACCCCGAGCTGTTGTTTCAAGCGTATGTATCAAAAATGTGGAAATTAAACAGCATCCAGTACAAACACCTGAGGGACACCTTTACTTGACCTTACAGAGGGACGTGAACCCGTAGCTTATTCACTTGTTTTTATTTCCAGATTTTCTCCCGTCTCCGCTCTCACATCTCTCTACTCAATTTATTTTCACCACTTCACATTTGCAGTGTATTCACACTCCCTTCCAAGGTTAAACCGTTTCCGTCTTCTCATATTTCGTTAAAGCTATCACCATTAAATACCTGCCACTCAGAAACAATGAGGGGAATTTAAGAGGACGGTCAAGCTCCTTTGTCAACACATGCCGGGTTGAAGTTACCGAGCATTTATGGCGCTGATATTGTAAAGCAAATCTATGACTGTGTCCGCGTGTGTGCTGAGTGATGTCCTCCCAGCAGGTGACCATTGAACTCTCAGCACAGTCCCCCTGCTGAGGGAGCCGGTAGGGGGGTGAGGTCCACCTCCACGGAGACACACAAGCCACACACCTCTACTCGCACCCCTCCTCCCCACACGGAGTCATCGCTCACCCAGGAACTATAAAAAGTCTGGCTCTTGTTGAAGTTTTTCAGTCTCATCACGAACTCTACCAGGTAAGACAAGAAACAGCCTTACAGCCTTATTTTCTCATGCATGAGTTGGTGTCAAAAACTAGATTTATCTGTCAGGAAGATGCATTTTGACTTTGCGTTTAACTATCGACGGTTTGGCTTGTTTTATATTATGACTTGACATACGAGTCTCGGTATCAGGATTGTCTCTGAGCTCAGGGAGACGACTGTGTTTCACTGCTGAGCACCAGTAGAAGTCCAGAGCTAATCCGCTTGAGTTGCCTCTCTGCATTTGTTTCCGTCTCTAATCCACGCGGATTGCAGGCGACTCTAATCAGCCGCCATATGTTTACCCTCAACTCATGACCCATTCAGGGATGAGTGAGTGGCTTTAACAGCGAGTTTAACTTGTGTGTACTTCTAAGCCTGCTCATCTAGTCTTAACGTTGCTTCAAGGGACTCACTAAACTCGTGGTCTCAAATTTAGGATTTCTTAGTGCGATTTGAACCTTTTTTTAGCGTTTCATTAAAATCCCTTCAACTGAAAAGCCTGTTTTTCTACTCCAGACCATCATCATGAAATTTGTGGCCCTCGCTCTCGCCCTTCTCCTGGCTGTCGGTGAGTACTGAACGCGCTGCTTCTCCCGCAGCCTGAATGCAGAGCTTTACTTCCTAGAATATCAACATCTTTTCTATCTCCCATTTGAAATAATCCCTCCGTCTCTCTCTCTCTCTCAGGCTCTCATGCCGCTTCGCTGCAGGCTGATGCACCATCCCAGCTGGACCATGTCCGGGCTGCCATGGATGTCTACCTTACTCAGGTGAAGGAAAGTGCCAAGAAAGCCCTGGACCACCTCGATGACGCCGAGTACAAGGACCTCAAGTAAGTGCTGCGTCCTTCTCCACAGTCGCGCTCACTTTTTGGAATCCACACTTGCTCTGTTAAGGCTCCAACCATTTTTAACTCAAGAATACCGTAACATAACGTGTGCTAAATCCTGTCCACCCCCCCCCCCCATAGGGACCGTCTGTCTCAGCGCATCGAGGACATGCACGTCCAGGTCAAGGCTCTACAGGGTTCCGTTTCCCCCATCACCGACAGCGTCGTCAGCACCATCGCCGACGCCACCTCCGACTTCCGCGCCTCCGTCATGGCCGACATCGAAGCCCTGAAAGCCGACCTTGCACCCAAGCGCGCCGCGCTGAAGGAGGTCATCGACAGGCACGTCGACCAGTACCGCACCATCCTCGAGCCCATCATCAGCGAGTACTCCGCCAAGCACTCGGCAGATATGGAAGCCCTGAGGGGCAAGATGCAGCCCATTGTGGCGGATCTGCAAAACAAGGTGTCGGTTAATGTGGAGGAGACCAAGGCCGCCCTGATCCCCATCGTGGAGGCTGTGCGCACCAAGCTGTCTGAGCGTCTGGAGCAGCTGAAGACGATGGTCGGCCCTTACGTCGAGGAATACAAGGACCAGATGAGGAGCGCCTACCAGCAGGCACAGGGCGTCAAGGCCGAAGACCTCGCCGCCCTGAGGGAGAAGATCGCGCCCTTGGCCGAAGACATCAAGGTCAAGATGCAAGCCATCTTCGGCCTCATCACCGAATCCATCCAACACAGCTAAATCCTCCCCAGTTCCTGTAACTAACCTCACCTACTTTCCAGTCCTAGACCCAGTCCACCATTCTCTCCATTCCTTCTTTCCTCGTAATGCGCAGCCATACCATCTCCCGGAACGAAGCCGGTGCCTAACTTGCTGTACTTGTTTGGAACACAATGGCGGGACTCTTGCTCTATCCCCGTCTCTCCGATGCGAACGCCTTTTTTGTTGCGCACACGCTTGAGCACATGCAAGCAGCAGACACACACGAACTCAGCGCACACACGCTCTACTCTTCGCATCACACGGCCAACTGCTTACGTTTTGTGTAGGATTTGTATGTGAATATCCACAAGTGCCTGAAACTCTGTGTAATGATGCTTGTCTGATGAAAACTGTGCTTTGACAAAATACAGCTGAATAAACAAAAGACTTGTTTAACTACCTCGCTCTCCGACTCCATCTCTGACATGATTTGCTTGTAATGAAGCAAAATACCGACACACTGCAATTCACCGACGGCAGAATAAACCTATGAAAATACATAATGCAGTCTGATAACAGAAATGCAACAGCACACCTTTGGCTTCATTGAAGAGCTTTTGACCTCTAGGGTCACATCACACAGAAAACATCCAGAAGGGTCATGATTGATCACAAGGCCAATGGAAAAAATACCAATATCAATACAATCAGTTGTACTTAGGAGAGACACCCAATGACACGTGAGATATTTCCGCCCGCGGGCCTGAAAGCTGTGATTAATGAGCCGATCGCCTCAACGCGAATTGGCCGATCGGCGAGCTTAAGTCGCGCCGTGCTTTATTAGGGGGAAGCCCGCTTTCCTGCTTTGGATCCCTCAGGCTGGAACCCTTCAACGCCGTCCCATCATAGACCCCCATGAGGCGACACACGTCACAACCACGGGGCCAAACACTTGCAACAACTCTTGCAACACTTCTACTCAGATAACTTTCATTGAGCTCGTATGAGAGAAGGAGCACAGACGGGGAGGTGTGGGGGGAGCCGCAGGGCCGCATCGGGCAGGCATCTCGGGATATGCAGCAAATTCCAGCAGTATCTTAAAATCATCAGCCTGTTTTGCCGCCTACACGGGAGAATGACCCACTTAAAAAGCACTAACGACACTGACAGCAAGGACAACAACTCTTTATCAGCGGCACCGTCGCGCGTTTTAAGAGTGTGCTGGAATGTTGCAATTAACCTAAAAGGAATAACTGACTCCAATTACAACGGTGTTGAAATTCTGCTCCGAGAAAGTATGCAATGAATAATAAAAGCGCTCTGTTGTCGTCTTCGTCTGTCCACACTCAGTAACACCGGGCTGACTAGGGTGTTATTAACGTCCTACGGGTCGGTCAAGAAGGGCTTCGGGCCATATGAAACAATGGGAAATGCAAGGAGGGATGTGTAGATGTCCCAAAAAGGATTTGTGTGTGTGCGTGTGCGTGCACGTTTTTGTCTTCACAAATCTCGGGGGCCACATGCGTGCATGCGCGTGCAGCTGTGATGTATTGTAATGGATGAGGCAGCCATCGGGTCCCCAGTGAGACTCTCGTGGTTTATAAAAACCAGCGTGCTCCCGGAGACAAACGGCCACAGCACTCGGACGCACGTCTACCTCAGCGCCCCGGCAACGGACCGGGACGAGGACTGTTTGTGCCTCCAGTTCTCTGTTCTGTAGCCATCGTTTCGGGTCGGTTCCCTGCTGCTGTCGGGGTGACGCAGGCGGTGCCCTGTCAGAAGGACAACAGTGAATAAAAAATATCAAAGGAAGCGACAAAACTGCAAAATCTGTTAGTTGTGTTATTCATCTTGTAAACCTGAGTCATGGATGGTAAGTGTTTTATGATCACAAGCAGCTGAGCTCAATAGAGGAAATATAAATTGATGACAACGCGGACAAAGCCTTCACGGCTCCTCTCCCCTCGCCGCAGGTCCTCATCAGTCTCGGAGCTCCGAACTGTCTCTGCCCTGCTGTGCAGACGGCGGGTCTCTGTCCGGTGCCAAGGCCCCCCAGGTCAGCGGGGTCAGAGTTCAGCTGGAGATGCATGCCCTCTGGCGGCAGTTTGACCAGCTGGGCACGGAGATGATCGTCACCAAAGCCGGAAGGTGCAGATAGCGTCTCGTCACCGTGCCCTTTTCTTCCCGCGTGTCTCGCTAAATGATCTTTTTTCATATTCGGAAAACCGTAGGAGAATGTTTCCAACCTTCCAGGTGCAAATCTCCGGGATGGATCCCGCAGCCGAATACGTCCTGCTCATGGACTTTCTCATCGTTGACGACAAACGATACAGGTCCGTGCGGTCTGCGGTGCTCTGTGTTAACCAGAGATTCTGCAACACGTAGTTTACTGTTTAAGCTCATGTATGACGAGTGTCTGGTATCGTTTTATTCAGCTGCTCCTTGGTCACTTTGATCTTCACTATTTTGCGCGTGTGTCAGATATGCCTTCCACAGCTCGTCCTGGTTGGTGACGGGCCGAGCCGACGTCGTGGCCCCGAGCAGGATGCATTTCCACCCAGACTCCCCCGCCTGTGGAGCCCAGTGGATGAAGCAGACCGTCTCCTTCGACACTTTAAAGCTCACCAACAACCTGCTGGATGACAACGGACATGTCAGTGATGGCCTCCGTCGCCACCCTTTCACTTCTGAGGACATTCCTTTGATACAAATGTCTGTGCTTTGACCTCCTGTTGTGCAGATGATATTGAACTCCATGCATCGGTATCAGCCGCGCTTCCACGTTGTGTACGTGGATCCGACTCCCGACAGCCACGCGAACGCACACAGGAACTTCTGCTCCTTTTCCTTCCCCGAGACGCGCTTCATGGCCGTCACTGCCTATCAGAACCACCGGGTAGGTGGATCAGTACGCTTCTGTGTGTTATTTATTGGGAACGGGTAAAGAATTAGGGAGTCATTTCTGTGATTTTTAACCTCATCTCACAGATCACCCAGCTAAAAATTGCTAGCAACCCGTTTGCCAAAGGGTTCCGGACGACGGACCCCCAGGACCGGTGAGTGTCATCCAGTCATGTCTGAACCCAGGACGCCTGATTAACAAAATCCTGTGGAACACTATCTGTAGTAAAGGCCAGGCGACTAGATCATATCTTTGTTGCTTTAATCAGCTGGTACATTGCGATAAGGCGGCCGTCTCCATGATAGATGATCTTTGACCTTTGTATTCGCAGCAGGTACGTTGTTGGCCATAGGTTGAAACTGTGAGGACATGATTATTGTGATATTTGTATAAATGTAAATATGTGACGGTTTACAGTATCTGTGTGTGTGTGTGTGTGTGTGTGTGTGTGTGTGTGTGTAGAGTGGGTTACTCGGGGGCCCTGCCAGTGTGTTGTCCACCAGACGGTGGAGCTGAGCTGCTCTCCACCAAACCTGGAGATCAGAGAGAGAGCTGGGGACCGAAGCCTTCGACCGGTGGGTATTTCTCACTCGCCGATACAGATTTGTTTACATTTATAAGGTGTAAAGAAAACGTTTGCTGTGATCAGTGATTACACGCTCTTGCGCTCTCAGGGCAGGAGGAGCCAGCTCTGTTTCTGGTGGAACGGTGTGGACTGCTGCACCACGGTAACGAGTCTGTGGGACTCACCATGGAGGGGAACGATGCGGACGGCGTGCTGGCACCTGCTTCCTTCCTCGCTGTTCCTTCCTACTGGGACTGTCCAGGATCACCTGAGGAGAGAGGCACTCTGTCGATAGGAGAAAGAACTAACTGAATTTTGGATTGTATTTGAACTGCTGCAGTCCAACTTCATCGTTTGTTTCATAATAAATGTATATGATGTGTGGTCTCCCTCACAAAGTAAATGTATACGGATACTATGCATTGTTCTGGTGTTCCATGAGAATGTTGTGGGCCATTTAACAATATAATAGATTACACCAGATGCTACCGACATCACATATAATAAGATCTCTACAGCGTCATGGTTAAGTATTCTTATTATAGCAACAATACAGCGACGCCCCAAACTCAGCTGAGAACAACGAACAAACCAAAAGTTTAAAAACTCAGTCATTTCTTGTTATAATACGTGTGCAAGGTGCATGCGTTGGTCATCTGAGATAATAAAAATCCCTTTTTGAAAAATGTTCGGGTTGCAAGTGTTTGGTCACGTGACTGTTTCTAAATTTTTAGAAAATAGAAAATGTGTGAAGTAGGTAGCTGGGCTTCAAATGCACATGTTGCATGCAATCTGCATAGCGATCACCGTGGAAACACCATTACCCAGAATGCTCTAGTTCATGGTGTGCATGAACGAGACCACTAAAAATGAAATAAAGAGAACAATGAAAATAAAGCAACCAGAGAGGAATTATTGGTATGGTACAAGCCGCTTTGATATGAATGAAATCTTATTTCAAATTGGAATTTCAAAAGAAGAAAATATATTTGCCCAACAGAGCACATCTCACAGGTTGATTAGAGTGGTTCTCTCGCTTCACCGTCTTATTTTGAAAACGCTCACCGGAAGTCACGCTGCTCAACTTGTTCAACTTGACGGCAGCGACGCCCGCTGCTGCTCCCGGCGGCTCTGAAAGGATGCAGCGGGGTGGATGGAGGAGGAGGCGGAGGAGGTGAAAGACTGCACGGCGGAGAACTGAATGAACGGGCCGGGGAAGGATGCGGATTACGGCGGCTCGCCGGTCAGCCTGCCCTCCCGACGGAGGCTTCGGTCGTTAAAACGTGAGGGTGCGCGGGGGGAAGACGACACGGGTCCGGCGGGTTTTGTGCCCGCGAGCGCGTCGCGACGATTCAAACCGTTACCTCGAATTACCCGTGACCCCGATGGAGGGCTGCCCGGCGACACTCACAGCCATTTGTGTTTTGCCTACATGGCACTTTGTCGCGCTCTAAAAACGGGTTTATTTTTATTTTATTTAATAAGATAAGACACAGTGACCTCTTATTTTGCGGCGCACCTGCCATCATGTTTTTTGCCGTTAGCTCAGCATCATCGCCGCCGGATCTCCTGCCCTGCGTCCTGGATGTCACACTGACCGGGGCGTCGTGAGGTAAAAAAAACAAACAAAAAACAGTTACCGACAAAAACCCACAACCCCCCCACCCCCCCCTCTCGCCGAGCTTCAGCATGGCGGCGTCGACCTTCCAGGTGACGTGTCTGCTGCTGTGTACTTCGGCGTGTCTGCTCGGTGGCGGTCGATCCGCACCGGACGCCTCGGGCCTGCCTCTGGCCATCCGCGTGCCACTGCGGCAAGGCGCGCGGCCCTCGCCGCCCTCGCCGCCGCCGCCGCCGCTGCGGCCCGCTGCCGCCCCCGCGGCCGCGTCGCGCAGGCGGAGAGGGGCGGCAGCGCGCAGCGTCAGCTTCGTGGACATGGTGGACAACCTGCGTGGGAAGTCCGGCCAGGGCTACTACGTGGAGATGGCCGTGGGCTCTCCTCCGCAGAAGGTAACGGCTTCCTTTGACGTCACGCGGCGCGGTCACGGCTGGGTGTTGTCAAAGGACTCTTTAATACAAAACAAATCATCTTTATAGGATGACACGCAGGTTATTTAATTACCATGTCTCGGTTCCCTTTCAGTTGAATTTAGTTTCTGCTTGATTGACAGGAATGTTGCATTGAATACCAGCAGCTACACTTCAACGAAAGGCCTTAACGAAAAGGCCTATATTTAAATTTCACACTTCATCTTGTTTTTTCCCCTCATTCTTGCATGCCGATGTGTGTCTGTGTGTTTATCTCTCACTCTGTTTTAACGCTATTGAAGTAACAATATGTACATTTAACTCATTTCAGGGCACCACACACACACACACACTACATCATGGTACAGTCTACTCAACACAACTTGACATCACACTGACATGTCGTTTACCAATGTACAAATGTCCTCACACTTACTTACAGTATTAGATGTCTCTAATTAAATGTGGAATGCAAAATGAAAGTAAGTCGACAGTACTTAAAATACACGGTCCAAAACTGTCGATGTCCTTGCACTAGACTAGCGTTGTTTCCACGGACTAATGGGCCTGTGTGTGTGTGTTTAAAGTGAGAGACAGGCTTCAATGGTACACACAGATAATGGAACCGTTAATTCTGCAGAGGGAGGAGAGCCAGCCGGGTGCAGCTGCGGCGTACGGGCTGACACACACGCAGGGCGACGGGGCAGTGGGAGGGAGAGAACGTGAGAATATATAGAAAAAAGATTTAATGTCAAATAAAAATGTATGACAATCACTGCAATGTTCAGCTCCATCGTCTTTGACCCTAACAAAGAATTTAATTAGAAGAATCCTTTAACAGCACCATGAATGCGATGGTCACTGACCTCAATTCAGGATGTCCATCTCCACAACAACACACTTTTATTACCAGACCCTACATGAGCTCTGAGATATCTTAAATGAAGAGCTCTGAATGCATTTAATGCTTTTAACGCGCCACCATCTCGATACATGATCAGTTGTTATTGGTCATGAACAATTCCATCATAACCGCAGAAGTGATATAAGGCCTTGTATTAAACATTGGGTTGTGGAAATGACCATTAGGGCGTTTACAGTAACTGTCAACGGTAGCATGTTTCCTGGTAACCACGAGATGATTTGTCCTCTGTAGTGGAGGGGGGGGGTACAATGGCTGGAACAGACAGACAGGGAGACTGCCGGAGAGGACAGGAGGACACAATGGACAGAGAGCGAGCAGGGAGGGGCGCAAAGTCTGCGCGTATGTGTGCGTGCACCAAAGGAAACAGGTCCACGCTGAGCGTGCGCGGCGTTACAGTGACGCGTTTGCAGCATATGCAGGCGTGTGCGTGTCATTCATTCGGATGCATGCGTGCGTCAGAGCCAGCATGTATATTGTGGGCGCCCGGCCTGACGAGGGTGAACAGTGGCTGTCCAAACTGGAAAAAGAGCAGTCGGAACCTTGAGAAGTTTATTTGTTATAAACCGAGGGGAGGGGGCTGTAACTCAAAAGTTTCACCGGGGTGGCCGTGGGCATCCGGGGGCTCTGCCGGACTCTTGCTGGGGCGAGAGAGAGACAGTTAACCCTCTTCAGTGGTACGGGGGCAGGCCGCGGGCCTCTTAGCCTACGGCTGGATTCCACAGCATCTGGTGCTCGCTCCTCTGCTCAGAATCGCCTTCCCTCTCTTTGTTTTCTGCTTATACATTTTTCATATATATATATATATATATATATATATATATATTTATTCGGGGCTTACAGGAACAGCATCGAGACAGAAGCACTTTCTCTGCCGTGTCTGCTCCTCTGTTTCCTGTCACTCATATTCATATACAATTCTCTTTGATTCATTGTACAATAAGTCAGTAAAACATAAATGTAAACATAAACTTGAACCATATGCCTGTGACATGTGCCACACAGTAGCACACAGTACTTTATGCTCTATTTTTTAATAATAGAATATGTGTAATGCTGGGAGGTGTTTTTCTGTCTGTGCTCCATTCACACATTCAATCACTGTTTTGGGCTGATTGGGCAAAATGTGACACTCTCACAGATATGCAGACGGAAGAGAGGGAGTAGAATGGGCAACCTGAGAGGGAGGTAGGGGAGGGGTGGGAGTAGATGAGAGACGGAGGAGACGGGGAGAAGGACATCTAGGGCAAAAGGAACCAGCACGGGACACTACGAGGAAAGATGAAGCCACACAGAGAATAACTGAGAGATAAGAAATGTCTGTCAATGAAATGCCAACAGTGTTAAGAAAGTAAAAGTAAAGATAGCAGAATAGGGATATATTTAAAAAAAACAGTTACCAAGGAAGCAGTAATTAAACTTGCCCTTCAGCGATTTAAACACATTCAATTCCACAATGTAACCCGAGTGTCCGTTTCACGAACCCAGAACGGGCCAAATGCACAGAGAGTATTAACCGCATGTCTCTCCTCTGTCAGCTGAACATCCTGGTGGACACAGGAAGCAGTAACTTCGCTGTCGGGGCGGCGGCTCATCCCTTCCTGCGCCGATACTACCGGCGTTCGCTGTGAGTAGAGAGTCTCTTCATCCAGCTCATTTTGTGAGGAATGATTTATATGATTTTAAGTCTCCTCCTCTCCACAATCAACACAAAAGGACATATTGCAACGATGTGTTTGTCCATATTCAGATGTCCCCTCCCCTTTCTCCTCCACACCCTATTCCCGCTCCCTCCCCCCTTTTCCCCAGCTCCAGCTCGTACCGCGACCAGGGCAGGAGCGTGTACGTTCCCTACACTCAGGGCCGGTGGGAGGGGGAGCTGGGCACCGACCTGGTCTCCGTCCCTCATGGCCCCAACGCCTCGCTGCGCGCCAACATCGCCGCCATCACCCAGTCGGATCGCTTCTTCATCAATGGATCCAACTGGGAGGGAATCCTGGGGCTGGCCTACGCTGACATAGCCCGGGTAACAACATACGCCATTCGTGCAAGACCATATACGACCGTATCATATGTCAAATTGTGGATTAATAATAAAGCTCTAAGGAACGGAGCATAAGTATCCGCTGCTGGTGGAGATTCCTCCTTTACGAGGTTTCATCGTGCCCCATAAACAGTAGGATGTCGCACCGTGGGTTTCTACTTCACGATCTTCTTTCATTTATGCTTCATCGCGTGAGAGCAGTAAAGCAACATACGGTACAGAACCAGGCTTGTTAGAGGACACTTTACTTATTTTGATCTTTTCTGAATTCCTTTAAAGATCAAACCTGGTGAAGAATAAAACATACAACAAATCCAACAAAATGTCTACTCCAGTGTTTAAGCTAAAAACAGCAGCTTAGTTTGGTCTCATTCAGTCATGAAGCTATCCTCTCTCTCTCTCTCTCTCTCTCTCTCCCTCTCTCTCTCTCTCTCTCCCTCCAGCCTGACGAGAGATTGGAGCCTTTCTTTGACTCTCTGGTTCGGCAGACTCCCGTCCCCAACCTCTTCTCTCTCCAGTTGTGCGGAGCCGGCTTCACCCAAAACTATTCCCTGGGCAGCGCTACTGTCGGCGGCAGCATGGTGAGACACACACACACACACACAGAAATCATCTAATCACCTCATGTCATATTCGGAGCCGCTGCTAGATTGGAATTGTCCCGATGCTCTTAGATCATCGGAGGAGTGGACCCATCGCTGTACGTGGGCGAGCTTTGGTACACGCCCATTCGCAGGGAGTGGTACTACGAGGTCATCATCGTACGCATCGAGGTGAACGGGCAGGACCTCAACATGGACTGCAAAGAGGTGAAAGAAAGAATGATTTAATAGTAAATGGCTAAAGACGCCGGGAGCCACCTAAGTGATGTGAAGTAGAAACTGTCGGCCTGTTTGTCCAGTACAACTATGACAAGAGCATTGTGGACAGCGGCACCACCAACCTCCGGCTGCCCCGCAAGGTCTTCCAGGCCGCAGTCAAAGCCATCGAAGCAGCCTCTTCGGTAAGTCCTGTCTACTCCGTGTGTTACCCGTAAGTCCTCACTGTAATCCGCACGGAGCTTCTGTTAAGGTCACCCTTTGTTTCGCAGACCGAACAGTTCCCCTCCGGGTTCTGGCTCGGAGAGCAGCTGGTGTGTTGGCAGGCCGGCACTACACCCTGGCACATCTTCCCGGTCATCTCCCTCTACCTGATGAGTGAAAACCACAACCAGTCCTTCAGGATCTCCATCCTGCCGCAGGTATGTGGCCGCTTCAGTGTGCGAAGGGACACGACGTGGAGGTGCAACCATAGAGGACGAACCAAACAAACACCTTCGGGGCGCCGGTTTTGTTGATCACGGTTGTGCTCGGCACACGGGAGGAATCTCAGGATTTTGCAACCTCACCGCTAGATGCCGCCACACCCGACGCACTGCCCCTCTGAGCCTGAAACGCCGTCCAACGGATCAGAAGCTACCGTGTTTGACTTAAACTTGACCGGTTTAAATGAGATTCAAAATGATATGTCGCTACCATGCGTCACGCACGGTGCCGTGTGCATCATCTGTGATTCTGTGACAGTGATTTCCCTGTTATCCTGAATAAACGGAGCTTTCATCGGCCTCCGTACGCCTACAGGATGTTCCATCCGATGATCCGTCAGTCACACAAGCTACCAGGAGGGGGAATGAAATAAAAAAAAAAGAATAAATATATTTTCCCAAAGCTTTTCATAAATCCCTGAAAAGTCATTAAAGGGTTTTCACTGAAAGCCTCCCGGAAAAGCCTTGATGGCTCAATGAGGATGATTTGACGGTGAGATTTAAATCTGCGGGAGGCCAGCGACCTCGATGCTGACAGCTGAACGAAAAGCTCGTACTTTCATCCCTTTCGGGAGCAAATCAGCAGGTTTAGATTGCTCTGAACTGAACTGTGAGGTTGGTGGTTTGAACCCTGGCTGCTCCATGTCCCATGTTAAAGTGTCCCTGAGCAAGACACCTGACCCCGAATTGCTCCCTGGGCGAAATGTAAAACTGTGGGTTAAAAATGCAATTGTAAGTCTCTTTGGATAAAATGACATGTGATGTAATCACTGTTAATGTTAAAGATGAATTACTGCTGAGACTGATCAGCGAGCATTCTCCTAAACAATCAAAAGAAATATAACACGAATAGTGGGATTAAACAATCTATAAATTAATGATCTAATCCTGGTAAAACGTTAAGGTAATAAACCAAATAAAGGAAATATAACACAAGGTTTTTATAATTTATCAGTCTGTGTCTGACCGGCTGGCCTTGATCTTTTTTTCCTTTTCCCCTCATGCAGCAATACCTGCGGCCGGTGGAGGACGTGGCCTCGGCCCAGGAGGACTGCTACAAGTTCGCTGTGTCCCAGTCCAGCACCGGCACCGTGATGGGGGCCGTCATCATGGAGGGCTTCTACGTGGTCTTCGACCGCGAAAGGAAACGCATCGGCTTCGCCGTCAGCACCTGCCACGGTGAGGGGGGGGGGGTGTCCGTAAGGTTTGAGACGGGGGAACAGATGGAGGATGCTAATAGAAAGAAGTAGTGGGATCGAGTGAGTCTTCTTAAATACCCACAATCCCGCTCTGCCTTCTCTAGTGCACGACGAGTTCCGCACGGCCTCCGTGGAGGGCCCGTTCCACGGCGTGGACCTGGAGGACTGCGGCTACAACATCCCTCAGACGGACGAGTCCACCCTCATGACCATCGCCTACATCATGGCGGGAATCTGCGCTCTCTTCATGCTGCCGCTGTGTCTGATGGTGTGCCAGTGGCGCTTCGCCCGCTGCCTCCACCCACACGGGGACTTTGCCGACGACATATCGCTGCTGAAGTGAAGCGGGAGGCGAGCAGGGCGGGGATGGAACGTGGCGAAAATACATTTTTTTTTAAAAAGAGACAAGTACGTCGCTGCAAAGCGCCAGGTGTTGACAGAGAGCTTTAAGAGGTTCGGGAATACGATATGTAGAGTATAGCAAGCGCCGGCGTACAGCGAGCAGAGCATTGAAGGATAACGAGAGCCATTCCTAACCTGAGGGACGGACGAGTGAACGCTGGCGTCGTCCCGTTCGAGCCCCCCTATGCAGATCGGGGGAGATGCCAAACAAAGCTCCTTGTTCTAAAGCGATGTGTAATTAAGACTGGAGAGGTGGATTGGATTAAAGAGAGAAATGATCATTTACCAAACCGGGAAAAGTGAAGAAAATCACGACCTGGTGCACGTTGGTGTGATTCCCACAGACGAGTGTGTGGCTACATGTGGCCGTGAATCGATGTGCTCTCTGTTGTTTATGAGGGGGGTGAAACCGGTCGATGTGTGTGAGCATGCCTGTACGTGTGAACAGCTGTAGTGCTAAATGAGGAGTATACGGAAAGATTTAATGTGAATTGAAATTATACTACTACGAGTACTAAAAGCATCTATGAATTTAAACTATTTTGCTTTATGCCAGCAAAGAATCCTGCTACGCCAATTAAGCATTAAGAGGTTCATTTGGTGAAATATCTTATTGGAACAGAATTTATCGCATTAAATCGGTTTTGCCGGGTGGAAAACTGAGACTACTGAATGCCACCAATACCAGATGTCATTTTCTCTTATTATATTGATAGCTTAAATGTATTTATTGTAAATAAAATGTGCGTGTACCAGATGTTCTATTTGCGCAGACACTTACACACAGACACTTACACGTTGTTGATCGTACCGCTGCGCCATTTGATGATTTGCACATGTAACAGCTCATCACATGTTAACTAACCAGGACTTAACAGGGCTTCTTCACCACATCTCTCAATGGGGACCACATATGTATGCTCGGAACAAGGAAACCAGCCCAAATATGTTATACACGTAAGAATATTATGTATGTCTGTAATGAACAGTTTGTTTTGTCTCACAGCAAACTGTAAATGGATCAACTCAGAACCGCATATTTATCTGTCTGGTGCTGGCAGCACTGTGGAATCAATAAAGTACTTATTGTAACTGTGACACACTGTCGCTTTTGTTTCTTCTAACAAAACGGGAACAGTGAAAAACCTATTTAGAGACTGACAACATATAAGGTCAAAAGAAAAATTAAAAAAAACTTAAAATATAATTCTTGGTAGTATTGATTCCATTGTGGAACTGTTATTACAACCAAGATCCCATGACAAAATAATATAACAGCTGTGCATAACCAAGTAAAGATTAAATATGATTGTTATTATTATATTATCTGCATTTCAATACAGTATTTGTCTGATACAGCCAATTTTTAAACTCTTAAACCAATTGATTTGGCTTTTTCCACTTTTCCATCTTCATTTACACTGAATGCCGGTTTATTGATTGTTAGTTTGTGAGATTATGTAGCTGGGATTGCGTTTGAAATGATTCAGAATAAATATGAATTGAAATAAATGAAGTTGGTTGGGGTTTGAACTCTTTTAATGTGTACGTTTTGTCATCACACGTTTCGTGTAGAAGTAGTTTCCCCGCACCGCGCATGCGCAACAACCGTGTGACGCAACACGTTTGGGTTTTGGTGCGTTACGGAAGTGAGATGACGCTCCCGTTATTCACACCTTCCACACGAAACAGATGCTACGCGAGTTCGGCGGAGAGGTACGAGATAAGTTTATTTGTTTTAATTGTAGGATCCAAATGAGTTGCCATGGCTTCGTATTCAGCTTTTCCTTGAAGTATCAATAATTAGCTTCAGCACAGCGACGTTAGCTAGCGAGGCTAACTGTCAGCGCTTGTTGTTGACAGTTAGCCGCGGGTTCTAAAACTCGAGTCCCACCGCGAGTTCTGACTTCGTTGTGTGGTTGTTTATTTAAGCGTTCGTTTATCTCATCGCTGCCGTTACCGTCCGAGTGTCACCGGCCGCGGGTCAATACAAGAAACCAGCCTCGGCTAGCCGCCCGGCTAGCTAATCGTTAGCCTGCCTGCTGGATTTAATACAAAGAAACAAACAATCAGCAGAAAGCGAGTGCTGGTTAGCTTAGCCTTCCGGCTAGCTAGCGGCGCGGGTCAGGTGGCTTCGCCCGTCGAAAAACCGCATGTTCCTGTGTCCACCAGATGTTCCGCGAAAGCAGGCTACACATAAGCAGCTGGATTGGTATTCGGCTCTGATCGCTGTTAACGTGGTGTGAAGAGACAACGCTTAATAACTCCCGTCCAGTCTGCTGGTTATAATTAACGCGGTATGTGTCATTTAAGACGTGTGGCAGGTGCGAGATCTTGACCCTTGTGTTGTGTTGTTATTTCCCCTTTTCGTTAAGTGTTCACAATTTCACGGCGATGTGCACATTTGGATTTCAGGTTGTTGATGTTGTTGTTGTTTGCTGTTTGTATTAGCTGATGGATGATGGACAATGATCTTGAATTTTGCTCTTCTAGTCTTAGATTTGTGCACTGATTCGGAGTGAGACACACACACACACACACACACACACACACACACACACACACACACACACACACACACCCCTAACAGGTTAATCCAGCCGCACAGTCAGTTCTTACTAGAGTGTTGTTATTGCTGCTTCAGAAATAATAGTTAAGCTGTACTTCATGTGCATGAATATATTCTCAACTCTGTGTGCCGAAACGGGAAGTTATAAATGAAGAGATGCCTCGCCTAAACTTAAAGGTGTGTTTTTGTGTCTGATGATTTACTTTTAAGCCAATAGAATGGCTTCAGTGAGAGTCTTGTCACAGAGGTCCGTGCAGAATCACTGATGTAGCCACGGCGTGTAAATTGGATGCGGAGCTGCCACAGCGCTGTGAACTGCTGTCCAGTTAGTGGCACGCTGTGAATTCGATGAGCGGCCTCCCGACGCGGCGCACAGCCGCTGGTTCTCATTCGCCCCGCAACTAACGGCGTCCTTTGTGTCTCCCCGCCCGTCCTCCAGGTTGCTGTTCAGATGAAGAGGGCTCGCCTGGCTGACCCTGTGGCTCACCCTCCGTTGCCATGGCAACGCCCTATTTCCCCACATTCCTGCTCCTCCTTTTCCTGTCCTCCTTTGCCCTCCTGCTTCTGACCCTCCGCCGTCCTGCGGTCGCCCCGTCGAATCCCTTCTCCGCCTCCTCCCCTCCGCCGCCATGGCCGCCACTCTCCTGCGGCCGGGGTCAGTCGTGGGCCGTCAGGCTCCACTCGGGCCCACGTCAGGAGGGAGAAGATGGCGAACAGAGCTCCGTGGAACTGGATGCGGTGGCCAACAGGGTACGGTGCTGCATGAGCCCTCTCAGGCGAAGCATTTTGATCTTTTTTTTAGAGGAATTCAGTTTCTCTGACCCGACATCTTCCCTGAAAACAGAAATCAACGGGGATACAGTTTTTATGAACTTGGTACTAAATGTCCTTGATTTGTACGGGTGATGAATTTGTTATTGCCCTCTCAGTAATACATCCCGTTAGCTTCACATATATATCCATAGCATGCCACCGTCATCTAGCCTTTGTTTTTGTTTATTTAAATCAACTGTACATTTTTCATTTTTTGCTGTTTACTTTAATCTGTATCCTATTTTCTGCAACCACAGGAGACATCTCGGTTTCCTCTTGGATCGGAGGAGGGTACACCAGTGTCCCCATTTCCAGAATGATGGTCCCAGTTTAATTTATCATTCCGTGTTCTCGCCTTCCCAGGTAGCACAGCAGGCCGGGCTGAAGAACCACGGCCAGATCGGAGAGCTTGAGGGTCACTACTTGCTGTGCTCCGTCACGCCTGAATCCCTGGCCGGCATTTGGAGCAAGAGTGTCCGGCCCGGTGACGTCCTGGCAGCGCACCCTCACGTCCTGTGGCACTCCCAGGAGAGGGTGCTGAGCCGCTCTAAGAGGTCGATGGCCTTCAACGATCCCAATTACCCCAAACAGTGGCACCTGGTGAGAGTCTCCGCTTCCTTCCTGCTCGCTCGCTGGTTGTCCAGAGGTCTTAGTGCCTAAGAGTAATTGAATGACTGTCTAGAATTGTTAAATTAATTACTTGCCTGACAAATGACTTTTGTTATTTTGTAGGGTTATACTTGAATTCTTAAAGCGCATTTCAAGGGGACAAAGTGTCGGGAAAAGAGGCGGGAGAAGGCTTCCCCTTCCCGTCGCCTCTCTCTTACCTCACCCTCTCCTCACGTTTCTTGTCCTCGCAGCACAATCACCTCAACGAGGGAATGGACATCAACGTAACGGGAGTGTGGGAGCGCAACATCACTGGCCGAGGCGTCACGGTGGTGGTGGTGGACGACGGGGTGGAGCACACCCACCGGGACCTCCAGTCCAACTATGTAAGTCAACACCAGCAATCCTTCTTTGATCCGTGGAATACTCCGTTCATCCTGTTACTTGGTCACTCACTGTGTCCTGCCGTCACGGCGCGCAACACTTGGGTTTTTTTTGAAGCTTGCCAGCAATTTCGTTTCTGCTCATTACCTTTCTGTTCATTTATTTATTTATTTTCAACCCTCTCAGAGTCCGGAGGGCAGTTACGACCTGAACTCCAACGACCCGGATCCCATGCCTCACCCGGACGCCCACAGCGACAACCACCACGGGACGCGGTGTGCCGGGGAGGTCGCGGCCGTTCCCAACAACAGCTTCTGTGCCGTGGGCGTGGCCTACGGCAGCAAGGTGGCAGGTACCCAGAACCCAGGAGAATCCCAGCGCCGAGAACCACTGAGACCCTGGATCCATGTGCGTCACACATCTCTCCTCCCCCCCCCTCGTTGTTGTTGTTGTTTTGTTCAGGCATCAGAGTGCTGGACGGCCCGCTGACCGACAGCCTGGAGGCCATAGCGTTCAACAAGCACTACCAGGTCAACGACATCTACAGCTGCAGGTAACAGTGCTCCCTGGTCCTCCCAGCCAGAGTGGCTTCTATGAACAGCCCAATATCCCAGACGTGTGCACGTCTCTGGATTCCACCAACATTGGAAATCACTTTGCCACATGTTTTAATGCCAGAATGTATTACCTTGTTGTTTAGTTTTGCCTAGATCCAGATTTTGACTCTTTGTCTCCTGTAGTTGGGGTCCAGATGATGACGGACACACGGTGGATGGACCCCATCCTCTGGGCAAGGTGAGAGGAAGTTTGCGTGGAGCCTTTGTCCTGCAGAGGGCAGTGCACGGCAGCAGATGCGTTACAGCGGAGACGGCGAGAGGGAGACAAACGGAAGGCACAAAAAGTATAATCATCCCTCTTTTTCTTATCACAGGCTGATTCTTAGTTCTCTCCCACCCTTCACAGGCGGCGCTGCAGCACGGGGTGATTGCGGGCAGACAAGGCTTCGGCAGCATCTTCGTGGTAGCCAGCGGCAACGGAGGTCAATTCAACGACAACTGCAACTACGACGGCTACGCCAACTCCATCTACACCATCACAATCGGTAGGACGCTGAGGCCCGTGGGTGGTTACTCTGGTGTGAGGGTGTGGACATGTCGGGTGATAAATAATTGTCGGTGTGTGTGTGTGTGTGTGTTTTGCAGGAGCAATCGATGAGAAAGGCAGGATGCCGTTCTACGCTGAAGAGTGTGCGTCCATGCTGGCCGTCACTTTCAGCAGCGGGGGAAGCAAGTTGAGGAGCATTGTTAGTCTTATCAGAGAACACACACACACACACACTCGCCCGTGACTCCAGACCAGAGAATGGATGGCAACGAAATAAAAGCACAAAGTCAATAATAAGTAACTGTTCAGCTGGAAAAAGTCAAAAGTTTTGGGCTTTTTTTCTACCCGTTCATCTTTATTTATCAATTAATAAGTATATATATATATATCACTGTTTCCAAACGATCATAACATGATCAAATTTGCAACAAACACAAACGCCTGGCATGTAGAGGCTCGTGCACAGGTTATTTGCTCTGGATGAACGTGCACAGCAGCACATTGCAGGGTCATTCTGCAGGTCCCTTAACGGCATGCACGTCGTCCTTGTGTAAACACGGCTGGGGGAGGGGGGGGACAAGACTGCACTCGCAAATGAGTGGGTTTTTTTTTCTTTGTTTGTCTTATCTACGTGTTTGAGATCACACACGTAGATAAGACATTTATTTCGCTTTCTCGTCAAAGTCAATCTCCACAAACTCTCTGTTTAGATCCACAAACTCTCTGTTTAGATCCAGCGACATCAGGATTTCAAACTTTAGGGCACTTCCGTGTGTATACATTCTCCCTTTACCATTGTAATTCATGCAATGTTTTCCTTTTCTCTCGACATCCTGGCATGCCTCTTAAAGCTGTCCCTCCCCAGGGCTTTAAACCCTTGTCACACACTCTTTTATGTTTTCATAACCCTAACCCTAACTGTAAACGCGCGCACACACACACACTGGCACTGGATGGAGTGTTCGCTAGTTGTTAGCTCTGGATGAGATCCTTGGATATACTCTGAGAAAGGTTTGCCTTCCCTCATCCGTCTGATGTTTACCCACGCTGGCCTCGTCCCAGAGCGGTTACCGCCGCTGCGCTCGTCTCCCGTGGTCGTCCCTCCCCCGTCAGTCACTCCTGTCCGTCTGCGCAGGTGACGTCGGACTGGTCCATGCAGAAGGGCACCGGCTGCACCGAGGGCCACACCGGCACGTCGGCCGCGGCCCCGCTGGCGGCGGGAATGGTGGCCCTCATGCTGCAGGTCCGTCCCTGTCTCACCTGGAGGGACGTGCAGCACATCATCACCTTCACCGCCACCAAGGTAGGCCCGGTGAAAAAGAAAACGTGCCTCACGGGGACTCTGAGGGTCTCCAGTGGACCTTTCTTGTAAACATATGTGGACTTTAAAGTTAGCAATCACTTATATGTCCCCCAGATAAATACACATTTATATTTAATCTTTAAGCTGATTTCCTTAAACATGAAGTTAATTAAATTTTCCTAAATGATCATAATAGGCTAGCTTCAGTTTGTGTTTCTGGCTGGTCCTGCTGAAGGGATGACACCGTTTCTGTGTTCATCAGTGTGACAGCAGTGCCGACTGGAGGGTGAACGGAGCCGGTTTCCACCACAGCCACCAGCACGGCTTCGGCGTGCTCAACGCATGGAGGCTGGTCAATGCTGCCAAGGTGCGGGAATCTGTTGTTTCTTTAGTGACTCGTTGAGCCGGGGGGAACCCACAGACGTGATTTCATACCTTCTCGCTCCTCTCTCACAGGTTTGGGAGTCGGTGCCGTTTCTCGCGGCCTATCAGAGCTCTGCGATCAAGGAGGAAGCGCTCATTCCCAATTATCCACACGAGCTGATCCGGACCTGGGAAGGTAACTGCTCTCGCGGCCTCGCCTGTGTGCGGAACAGCTGCTGGTTGAATTTACACAGTGCACCGGATGGCTCCCTCCCTCCCTCCCTCCCTCCCCGCCTGCTCCTCAGTCAGTCTGCCTCTCCATATTAGGTCATGTTCTCTCTCTTGTGAGTCCCTGCGTACGCAGTGAAACACTGGGTGAGATTTTCCCCAGATTCCTCCTTTTTCTTCCCACTCAGTGTCAGTATTTTACTCCTCTTGGTAACTTCTGTTCCTTTTTATTAGACTTCTCCCACCCCTGAATCTGTCCGGATCGACTGTCCGTGTCCGTCACGTGATCCCTCGCTTTATCCTTCACACACGCTCGGGGTCCCTCTGTTCACTCGATCTGTATCGTCCCTCTTTTATGGCCTCGTTGTGGTCGGGCTCACAGCCAGAGGGGGGGGGGGTGTGGGGTGTGGGGTGTGTGTGTGTGTGTGTGTGTGTGTGTGTGTGTGTGTGTGTGTGTGTTTTACATCTACAGAGCCGACTCACAAAGCGCCTCCGTACTTAAGTTCCTAACGTTTTGGGAGAAACCACCACGAAGCTCATGTGTCCCTTTTTTTAATTTCCTCTTTAATAGAATCTGTCATGTGCACGTCTGCCGTCACGCCACTCGGCAGAGCCTGTTTGTGTGGTTTCTATGTGTGTTGGCTGATGCCCAAACCGCTGGCTTCCCCTGGGAACACATGTGTTTATGCACAGAGTGAAGTGACCCATTTTTAAGAAATCACGTTGAGTCGGTGACTTTCAATCAGAAGCTTTAAAACATGCGACGTACGTCTGAGACGTGGAGCCACTTTGTGAGGTTTTTTTTTGTTCACTTTCCATTTCCTCCCTCGGCTCTATTTTCTTTCCACTCCTTTTGCCCCTCCACACGTTCCACGTTATTCGCCCTCTCAGTGCCTTGACTCCACATGCCTCCATCGCTCCCCTCCCTCTTCCTCCGCGTCTGTCCCCCGACACCTTCCTTCCTCACCTCTGTGTACGCCCATCCCTCCCGTCCCCGAGGATGTGCGGGGCCGTACTCAGTCAGACATGGTATTTCTCCCACAATGCAACTCTCAGGCTCGTCCGGGTGTAGTTTAGCTCGTTAAAATGAATCATTTTAAAGTATTGTATTTTTTTAAGCTAACAAGGTGTAACATAGTCATGTAAAAATAAGTTTGACTTTTTTCCATATTTTCCATATAACTGGAGAAAGTAAAATGACACACACAATTATTATGATTTAATCAATACAATTCTCTTGTTAAAAAAGCTGAATCTGAATTCCTAAACGGGAAATATATGCGGCTCATAAAAAAGTGCTATAAAGAGTGATTAAGTAATAAATAATTATCTCCCATATCATGCGTTTAATGGCCTAATTGTTGTTGATAATACGGGTAGTAAAATGTATTCTGCTACTGAAATCTAAACGTAACTTCTGAACGCCGCACACACCTCGCTGAGCTGCTCCCTCCTCCGCCCTCAGTCACTGCCGCCGACCTCAGACAGTCCGGCCTGGAGACCCTGGAGCACGTGGCCGTCACCGTGACGATAAGCCACCCCTGCCGCGGCAGCGTGGAGATCACGTTGGTCTGCCCCAGCGGAATGACGTCGGTGCTCGGGGCGCGCCGCGCCATCGACAGGCAAGAAACCCGGCGCGCCAAACGCTCGGATTGAAGCCAAATGAAAACGTGTTTTTGACTTAACTGAGGAAGATCTGTTTGGGCTCTCAGGGACCCCGCAGGCTACCAGGACTGGACCTTCTCCACCGTGCGCTGCTGGGGGGAGAGAGCGAAAGGCCAGTACACCCTCAAGATGTCCGACCACAGTAAGCTCCGGTCCCTCCCCCCCCCCCCCGCAAACGTTGTATCCCTGTGAACCTCGCTCACGCTTCTCCCCGCTCCCGCAGAAGAGATGACCCTGGCGCAGTGCGTCAGGTCGGGCGCCTTGAAGCAGTGGCAGCTGACCCTGTATGGTTCCTCCATGACCGACGGCGAGGTCCAGGACCGACGGAGGTAAGAGCTCCTGGGCGGGGCAGAGCGCAGTGGTGATGCTCGACTGACACGAAAGAGAAGAAGATTATAAACGATGCGCGTGTTTTGCTCGGCAGGCTGGTGGAGGAGGCTATGAGTGGCGAGTATCTGGACAGCAGCTTCTCTCTGCCCTGCCCTCCGGGCCTGGACATCGCTCCGGAGGTCATCCGCCCGTTCTCCTCCAACAACCTCAAGGTAGACAGCTCACTGTTTACCTCGTCCCTCTGTCTCTTTGGCCTCTCTTTAAACGCTCTGTCTTCTCTTCTGTGATGGAAAATATAGACAGCTCAGCCCTTTTTAGAAAATCACTTTTAAAAGGACAGTTCCATGCGTCGGTAATTCAGAAATCAGATGAAATTGTTGCTCGATGCAGAATTGAGGAATGTTGAATCATCGGCCAAACATGGCGGGACAAGAACGCGCACGTTTCATCACCATCGGAACCGCCAATATTTACAACCTAACATTTCATTATTATCCATAATTCACTCAGGAAGTGAATCTGCAATTTGAAAGCGAAAAATCCAAGCTCCTGTTAGAATCCCAACACACGGACTTATGGGATGAACTTTCACCTCCTTGTGATTAACCTCTTCTACCTTCTGCTCCTCCGCTCCAGTTCCTGCTGTTGCTGGGCTGCTTTGCTCTTTTCTGGTCGCTGTACTACACGCTGGAGGTCACCCTGGCCCACGTGGACCTGATGGGCCTGCTGTGCCTGCGCAGCAGACGGGGCGGTCACCGGGCGGGGGGGGGGCGCCGAGGGAGAGGAGTGGAGGACGCGTTGGCGGAGGAGGAGTCGGGAGAGGAGTCGGGCGAGGAGGAGCACGACTCTGGGGTGGAGCTGCATGCGGTGGTGGACTCCGAAGCCAAAGCGCCGCTTTTGAACGCGGAGCGGCTGACACTGTAGCACGGAGCCGGTGGGAGCCGAGGAATGTCGCTGTCTCTGCTCGTGGGACGTCTCCGCCTGTCCTCCTGTCCTGCCTTTCACCTGTTTATCTGTGTTGGTGGTGGTGTGTGTGGGGGGGGGGCCAGAATTAACTAAAGTTATCTCTTTGTCCTTGACTGCTTTGTCCAAACACATGGCCTTTTTATTCAAATCTTTTCAAATTTGAGCTGTGACTGTTTGTGTGGGAGTGTGTGCGTGTTGTTGTACACCCTCCCACTCCCACTCCCAACAAATGTCAAATGACAAAAAAATGTGAAGACAATCCCGGGGGGTTGAAGTACCAATCAGGGTTGGCTGTTGGTCAGATTAAGGGTCAGGATGAACTGTGAGTCTGTGTCATAGATTGGATGTACTTTACAAACACTTGTGGGTCATTAAACCAAGAGAAAAACAAAATGATTTGCACTGCAAGAGAGAGTGTGTGTGTGTGTGTGTGTGTGTGTGTGTGTGTGTGTGTGTGTGTGTGTGTGTGTGTGTGTGTGTGTGCGTGTGCGTGTGCGTGTGCGTGCGCGTGCGCGTGTGTGCTTGTAATATGAGGTCTTCCATGGAAAAAGTGTCCTCAAATTTAAGATTCTAAGAATGCTGTTGATTTTTTTTTTTTAAAGGCTTTATATTTCTTCTGAGGTGTTATTGTATTTTTACATCTGGGTCATTATCTGCTGGTTATCAACCAACTACTGATACAAACTTGAAGTGGGATTTTCAAGTGTTGGATTTGTATGTATTTTTTTTATGAAGTGTAATATATACACACTGTGCCTACTGTACAGATAATTATATCAAGCTTGTCAGGTGATTTCTACTGTGTTTTGTAAAAATGTATTAAAGAGTTCTAATTTTTTAATGGGAAGGATTGTTTGGGCTTAAGTTGTATTGAAACTGTGTTTGCTGTGCAAGTCACAGGTGATCTAAAATAAATACAACTTGATGGTTGATTAAACTCATTGATGTTTACTATTATGACATTGTATTTATGTATGTGTGGTGAAAAATGTATCTTTTTATTAACCAACAGGAGTTTAACAGGACAGCGAAGCTAAGCGCCTCCTTTACTTAAAGAAAATGCCAGCATGCTAACGAATAAAATAGCTACTATCTGATAACTATGCTAGCACACTTATTTTATCCTGATTGTGTTGAGCAGGTACCGTCATAGCTTAGCATGCTCACGTGCTAATTAGCACTAAATAAAGGTTATTATATATATAAAGTTATTGTGAGTGTTCTTAGATTTTGTAAACAGTTTCTCTTAAACCAGTTTTTTTGCAGTAACTTATCAACGAGGCCCATCCCTCGCGTTACACAAAACTGAAGCTATATTTATTCAAATTAATTTGACACAAAACGGTATTAACACTAGCTAAGACATAATTGGAACAGTTAGCAACAATGTAGCCCACACATGTAGCCACCAAGCTGGCGTAACGCTAAACTGCAACGAAAAGTATTGTCCACGTTTTATCAAATGTGTGTTAAGACTCAGGTAGCATCTCGTATGTTAAGAGTTCATTGTTTCTGTAGTTTATGCAGACCACTGAAAGTTGCAATTTGCAATTTCTTTTGAAGTAATTATTTCCCAGAAGAAGTCCAACTGAATTACCAAAGATCACAAAGTCAATTCAGAAATGTATTTCAAAGTCATTATTTAATAAGACAATGTACAAAAATATCAGCGCTGATACAGCAGGCGTAGCATTGTGGGATGTGAGAAAAACTAACAGGGAACAATATTGTAAATGTGGGGATGTAATAGTCTGGAAAAAATATTCTTCTGCAAGTTACGTGGACACAGATCAAAATTTCAAATTTCACTAAAATCTAAGAAACAAATTCCATAATTCAAACATTTTTTTAAATTAAGTATCAGAGATGAGATGGTCAGTTGTGGCACATTGTCATCCTGTTTTTACCTCCAAGGCATTGGTCATTCGGTTACTTTCTTTCCGCTTAAGACTACAAAGATTGTACTGGTCCTTTTTCTGCAGTGGGGAGGACAAAGCATGGTGACGATCACCAGTGCAAGCGTAAACATAAGGGGCTCTGGGACACGTGTCGAGACCGGGGGAAGTGGAGGGGTATCTGTGGCTCAGTGGTTCATTTTTTACAGGATCTGTCGGGACCTTCCGTAGCTCATGCCCTCCTGGGAGGCTCCCTTATTTGACCCCATCTGTAGACCGATCACATTTTTCCCCGCCTTCAGCTGGTCGTCGCTAAAGTCCCGCTTGTTCTCCTGGGATTTCCTGCAACGCATTGTTTAAAAAGAAACGTCGCTGAACAATAGACCTTAAACTGCAGTGGTGCCTCATTCTAATTGGAGGTAGACAGAGCGGTTGACATTTCATGTCTCGGACTCACTTGAAGAACCAGTTGGGGTCTCCTTTGTATGTGCCTTCGTCCTTGGTGAAGGCCAAGCTTCCCAGAGCTGACAGAGTCCTCTGCACCGCCGCCAGGTCCTTACCTGTCCGCCCCGGCCAAACACACGTTATGGATTGTCCACTCCGTCATCACTCACATTACCATCCTTCCACTTGTGCGTCATCATATCAAACGAACCACGAAAAGCTTCCCTCACCTTCCCAAAGGTCCACGGTCTGGAACATGTCGGTCTTGGTGACGCCGTACTTCTCCGAAGCGTTGAGGAACTGGGAGATCTGCTCCATCTGTTTGAAGGCTGCGGTGGAGCTCTGGATCTTCTTCACGGGTTTGTCTCCGGTGAACAGACTGTTGATCAGTTCGCTGAGGACCTGAAGTGCGGAAAAAATGGAGGATCAACACAAATATCGCCTCGTGTCGTCTCCCATCAAACTTCCATTTTTGTTGTTTTGGCATTATATGAAATGCTTTGTTTTCCTATATTCATTTTGACAGAGGAAAGTAAAATAAATAATATCTGAAAAACCAAGCACAGGTTCCAGCCATTAAACAATCGATTTGGTAATCATTTTTTGTTATATTTTTGACATTTTTGATAAAATATCTAGACTCACACATCCGTCTTTCAGCCAGGCCTGGAAGCCCAATTTGCCCGCGTCTGGCTTTCCCACACCGGCGCCACACTGACGGCTGATCCACTCCACCAGGATCAGCTCCAGCTCGGGGTCGTACTTGCTGTCGATCTTATCCTGAACATGCCGGCTCATACCGAAGGCGGGACCTTTGTTAGCCATGCCGACTCCCTGGGACAGAGCGGGAAATTAAGGAGAGCGATTCAAAGAGAGTCGCAAAAAAACAACCTTCTGGAAAAAATATGAGAGCTTCGTAAACGTGACAATCCGTGGTCGGATCTTCAGTGGAATCATCCGTCTGCAATCTTGAGAATACAAAACGGAACGTACACTTATGACCAGACTCACTTACTGTTCTCTTTTGGTCCACAGATGTTTTTTTAAGGCGATACAAGCGGATGTTAACATTGCTGTGCTGTTGCACCAACATGCATCGCTGTACAAATAATCTACACACTCAGATACTCCTTGCACATAACACACTGTACATCATATGCAACACATGCAAGTCAAAAGCGTGCATGTAAGCGTATGCGCAGCGCTTTGAACCCCTTTTTCCCAGAACAGTGGCGTTGACAGCGTTGTGTCTCCTACTGCACGTCATTTAGCCTCACCTGGACCCGTGTCCGAGGACAAAGTGGCGTGCATTGGGAGCTCTACATCAGCATTTGCATATCACAAACACACAGTCGCTCTTTTTCTCCCCTGGTGTCAACACATATATCATTCTTTTTTTTGTCTTATGCCTTTAGGCCGACAGCCAAGTGCAAAAAAAAAGAAACCCATGTCAAAGTGCTGTCTGCACCATCCAACCTTTGTTGCCATCTCGATGTCAGGTCGGTTCAACTTCCTGTTCCTGGGGAGGTTCAAGGGTTAAAGGTTAAAACCCAGGAGACGAGTGGAGGAGGCTCATCACTGGGATTGGATGGGCCACAAGTGGTCACATGATTTTTACCAGTCGGTAGTAATATTCCTTCACTGTAAGACTGCAGTGTTGTAGGTCATTTTATGTGTTAGGTTAATCTGTCTCATAATACTGACAACACCCAAACATGCGCTTTCTTTATTAGATTTCCCTTTTCTTCATTTCCTTCCTTCGTTGCTCCCTTACATCCTTCCCTCCTTTTTCCTCTCCATACCATTCTTCAACAAATCTTCAACAGGCCACGTGACCCAGTAAACTTGTAAATACAAAGTTTTCTCTCCAAGTTCCCTCGGTAAACATTAGTTCTCGGCCTCAGTCTCTAGTCTCAAATGTGCCGTGAGGCTGATTTAGTGCATCAGGGTCCATTCAGAGCCAAACGGACCGTAAAGCGGAGTATTATTCAGGGAGGGGCTGGCTTGTGACTGACGTTTATAAGAGCTTTCGCGTGACTGCTGCAGCTGGAAATGATCCAATCAGAGTCTGATTTACTCTCATGATAAGTTCCAGGATTTAATGGTCGAGAGGTATTTCTGACCGTGCGGTAATGGTAAACAAAGCACTTGTGTACTTGTTCCACCACACAGACCCACTGCATGTCAGAGTCTGCAGGTCAACGGGTTCCTGCCCAGAAGCGTCTGCAGAGTTTTACCACCGACCCCGAGTACTATTCTCTGGCCACACAAAACAGGAATTGTGTAAACCACATGAACTCACTGGCTTCTAATGTCTCGTTAAGAGAAGAGATTTTAAGAGGTCAAGTAAGTGCGTCAGGGTCTGGTCTCTATTTCTGGTATTCGTGGGTATCGAGGGACCTTTTGTTATCCTTGGGACTCGGCCCAGACTCAATAACTCAGAACTATCCGCCAAACAAGCTCCTGTGCTGTCTGGCTGTTTCTCGTTAATATTTAAAGCAGAGCTCACATCATCATTGCACACTGAATCAGACCCAGCTGGGTTAAAGTCACTCTATGAAACATTATGTTTTAAGTGAGGGATGCCGCATTAAACTCTGTAACCTTTCATATCTTTGCTACAGCTGTTTATACAATTATTCCTTGTACAAGTTATCTAAGTACTACTGCATTTGGTAGTACAAAAGATACGTCTACTGCTGTGAACTACTACTGCTGCACCAACAAAATCAATAAATCCATGTAGACAATCAGTCAATGCAACTGCTACTGCTACTATTAATACTTTTTTAGTGCTGTAGGTTAAAATATTTAAAAACAGAAAAACCTTGGTGGTAGTGAGAGATTCATTACTAAAACTGACTTAAATAACTAAAGAAACATCACAACATATTTGAGGTTCTTCAAGAAACCCCCGAAAACAAAATGAGATTTCCCTCATTTCCAATTGGGTCTCAAAGTAAAGTAAGATGAGGTTCTTGGAGGAACCCCCAGCAACCTAAAGGCCACTACACTGAAAAGCACCTTTCTCCAGCCCACAGCTTCTGGAGGAACCTGATTTAAATGTGAGTGAGGATTCAAAGAAAACTCCTTCAGTGCTGTTTCCCACAAACATGACTTCATCCCCTCAGTCCCTCCCTGCGTCCGTCTCCATTGTGTCATGCTCTGTTTCTCCATCACCATGGCAAAGCAGGAAAGGAGGCCTGTGCCAACAGCTCGGGAGGACGTGGCCTCAGGCGGCCTCGCCTCCTCCACAAGTTAACCGGCCCCACCACATAATGATCTATAGACTGCCTGGGACCTGGTAACGGTCCCTGTGATGGTTGCATCTCGCAGAGGTTGTGGGGTTGTAAAACAGCCAATGGGACGCTCTCTCTCTCTCTGTAGCTCCATCCTCTTCTCTCTCGTGTCTCTGGTTTGGAACCTGCTGCTTTGCTCAGACGTGCCAGACTTTTACGAGCGCCGAAAAAGCTGCCAAGACCCTCCCGACGTTCGGCTCATTCTTCCGGGAAGCTCAACAGCTGGCGTGCGTGTGTGCGATGCAGTATCGCTGCGGTTGGTTCCTGTTCTGTCTTGTCCGTGTGCCGATTGCCGCTGGAGATTGTGTCGTCTGCTCTTGTTGTTGTTGCTGCTTGGAAGCTAAACTGCCCACTTGTCCACTTCCCCCCGGCCTGAGGCGTTCACTGGAATCACTGGGTGTGTCTTTTAACAGCAAGTTCTCAATACAAAATGATTTTGTAAAGAAAAACCTTTTGGCCGAAAAGAGGTTTTGCTGATTCCTCTTCTCAGGGCTGCAGACTTCTCCCCCTTGTTTTCAGAACCCAACACCCCTGCAGCCCGTTTTCACCTCACCGACTCCTCCCATCGCCTCACTTGACCTGTCTTGCCCCTCACGTGCAGGTGATAAATCGCTTTTATTTGTTAAGTACACCCGTGTGTCGCAGTTTGAGGGCCGGATGCTGTGTCTGTCTGCGTGTCGGTGCTGGTTGGAAGTTATGCTTTGGAATATCACAGGCGTCCGTGTTTGGAGGTCGATTATTTGCTTGTGCAAATAGGAGTGTTGATACGGACAGAGATATGGCAGCGCGTCAGGCGCCACCTTTCTGCTTCACCCTCGCCTGACTTCACTCGGACATGTTAACCCCCAAATAACGTCTTAATCGGTCACTGTGAACAACAGTGGGAATCCTAGTCAGCTGGTGTTTAACCAGGCCGCGTGACAACAACAGCAGTTTTTAACAATTGATTGTTACAAAACTGAATAACACTCGATCGATCACATGAATCTAATTATCACAGACATTGAGACACACACAAAGGATTTAATACAGCAGTAAATACTCATATCATGAGTCATCATATGACATACGTATATGTGATATCTATTATTCTATTTAAGTCTAGTTGCTTACAGACCTCGTCCTTGGACCTTTGGATGATTAAATCGCTCAAAACACGTAAAATAAAGAATATAGGAACCAAAGAAGGTCTCAAAACTAACTGAGAAGTCTATGGAGCCGTTTCCTACCAAATGCCCCAAATCTGGTTCAGGAGCGTCTTATTTTGAAATGCAAAAGACGAGTATACTCACTGTGAAGCAATAGGTGAGCTCTCTGCTGGCTAGGAGTGCAGCGTGCAGGGTGGAGTGTGGATGCTCGACTGAGTGTTTGTATGTCTGCGTCGCAGGGACCTCCCTCTCAAAAGTGCCGGCTTAAAAGGAGCAGATGAGGGGAGATGACTTCACCAGTCCACATAGAGAGGGAGCGAGGGAGGAGGGAGTGTGAAGGACAAATAGGAGGGACAAAGAGAAAGGGGAGAGGGGAAAAAAAGGAAACTTCATCCATAAAAGGGCACGGCCTTTCAGCAGCTCCCTTACGCTGGCGTCTGCTTTGGGAGTCCGGCCTTATTTGGGTAGAGCTGCTCCATGCAGGAGCCGGGACAGCAGCCAGGCGGCGGCGGTTGGTTTTGGTCGGCAGGAATTCTCCAAATACCTTCGCCACATCCCCGCTCGTCGGAGGATGACGGGGCGAGGTGGAGATTGTGACTTAAAGGCACCGGAGGAAGAGGGAGAGAGAGCGATGGGATGCAGGGGAGTTATGGCAACAAAAAAAAGACTCTTTCGTTCAAGGTTGCTGTGCATCGTGGAGGGGAGGAAGAGGAGATGTAGGAGGAGGGAGTGAGGGGGAGTAACAGAGTCACCATCATTCAGCCAGATAACTCCATGTAAGTCCTGGTGCGTCAGTAGCGGCACCCAGACTGTGTGTGTGTCACTCATCACCTTTCCATCACGTCTTCATGCCCATGCGTCGCTCTTTGGCAGCGCGTCAGAGGGGTCGGACGTACGTTTGCAGCTGGCTTCACTCCCGCAGCAGAAAGTCAGAAGTTAGACGGATCGCAGTCGAGATGTCAGACCCATGTGTAGCCACTCTTCAACCTCTGGCTTGTACACATTTTTCAGTTGTGCCGCACAAACACACAAGCCTGCATCGTCGGGCCTTTTGCAGTGGTCAACATCTGTCTCATATTAGAGGTGTTATTGCTTTGTGCTATTAAGAAACTAACCTCGCCAATATCACAAAATACTTTTTAACATGTTTAGTCTCATTGGTTGTTAAATTTTGGCTCATTTTTTAGTGGTCATCTCATCCCATCATCTGTAACTGGGAACCAAGCCAGATGTTTGTTGGTGCACAAAAGTTGCAGTGGACCGTGACTGCAGTCGACTGTGGGAAAACTACAGAGGATTTGTATTCAGCTCTGACTAACACGCAGCAGCCAAACATGATTATGTTCCCTTTCCCTGAAGTAAAATTAGGAATGTAGGACTTTATCTTGCAAAGTCATGATGAAATACAGACATTTTTAGTACACAAAAATATCTAATTTCCTTTTGTAAAGATTCACCCCCTCAAGAATGAATTGAAATCCTTTTGTTAATCCCTCACCTTTCCTCCACGTGCAATTTATTATCAATGACAGATACCTACAGTGTATAATAGGATACTTTGTGTATTATACAGGTGAAACTAGTCAATGTCACGTAATTAAAACTAAGTTTTTAATTAGTTAGTTGCTGTTATTTTGATAGAGTAGAGATATTGTAGATTACAGTGGTGTGTTAGCAAAATCAATGACAGTATTTTACAGTAATTCCACAGTAAAGTATTTCTGTGCACCCTTGCTCAGTCTTTCTGCGCTCCTGTGAGTTTAGATAACGGAGGTTAGAAAACAAAGATGTTTCGAAATACTTTTTTTGTCACGAACCGGTCGGTGGAGGCAGGACTCAAACGCAGAGTTTGAAAACAAAAAGGGACTTTAATAGTCAAAATTCTAAAAAAAAGCAAAACGCACACAGGACCCAGGGACAGACACTGAGGGTTGGACATTCAGGACTCACATTGACATTCAACATTCAGGATTGAACAATCAATGACGCGACAAAGGACACATGACACACAGGGCTTAAATACACCGGGAAGTGCAGGTGATTGGACACAGGTGGAAACAATCAGACAATCACAGGGGACGACAGGACAAGACAGGAAGTGAAGTTAACTTAGGAAACTACAGAATAAAACAGGAACCAAAACCCAAACCATGACATTTTTAGTGTAGATAGTGTTTTTGTTGTGCCATTAACCCCCAAAATCCACCTGCCTGCTAATCCAACCCTAACCTGGATGGAGCTCATATTTAACGGACGGATATCATGGGGCGTTTATTATAATTATTCCTTTGAAGTAGCAACACGTCATTCCTTCCTGCTCGCTCAGTCGGCTCCTGAGAGCCCGAAGCTGCTCCTACGTCATGTGTTTATTCAACTGAAGGAATTCACAGCCCGTCTGTGGTGTGTATTCATTTTGTCATAAGCTTCCATTAAAGGAAGTTGTTTACAGAGTTGTGCTCATGGGCCAAAACTAGCGGCGTAATAATGTTATTAAATCATCGCAACAGACTGCTACCTATTTCCATTAATGGTCTATGTGTCTGTCAATGTGTGTCTGTGGCAAGTACATAACAAATTAATAAACGAAAAGCACATCGCCTGTAAAATTAACTTTTATTATCTCCAAATCAAAAAACGTCACACTTTTGTGGTTGTCTATTTGCATGCATGTGTATGTGAACATGCAAATGCAAAGACGTAAGTGTGCACCACGCTGTACATCAAGGCCTGCGTACTTATTTATGTTCATGACCTGGACTCTGGAGGTTTATTACATGTAGTCACCAGTGTCAGGGTACAGTATGTAACCGGTAAAGATATTGAACGGTTGTTGTGTGCAGAGCCTCCTCCCAGACATCAGCTCGATGTAGACCTGGTCGCCTCTCTCCAGCTTCAGCACCACCACCTGAGAGACGAGACAGGAGTCATGCCAGCTTTGGTGTCTCCTGTGTGGTACTTTTTTTTTATCACCGTTTAAATCGCCTTTATTCGCTCTTGTTAAACTGTTTTTTTTTGTGTGTTTTACGTGATTGGCGTTGTCTTCAAAGTCTTCTCGGTTGTTCTCCCACACGCTGGCCTCCACCACGCCGTTCCTCATCAGCTGGACCTGCATCAGATACGACAAGACACGCGATGAAGACCTGCGGTCGCCGTGCGAGTGAAGCCGCAGAATGTGCTCAGAGATATATTCGTGGAGCCCATTCGGTGGGGTTTACTTTATAGTAGAGGCTCTCGTTCTCCAATACGCACGAGTGGACCGTAAAGGAGAAGACATAAACACCGGCACAAGGAGCAGTGAAGACACCTGGAGGGGGTGAGGGAGGAGTTAAGCATCATTAAATGGTAAAGCTCACTAAGCAAACATGTGTGTGTGTGTGTGTGTGTGTGTGTGTGTGTGTGTGTTTCCCACCCAACGCAGGGTTGTATCCGTTAGCATCGTTAAGAGTGACATTGGAGTAGGGGATCGGCACGTTGGTGCTGAAAGGACCAAAGCATTGTGGATCGGTCCCGGAACTCACGCGAGCGCCTGGATTCATGATGGCTTCGAAGGCAACCCTGCTGTAATCTGAGAGGAAAAGAGAGAGAGATTTATACACGAAAAGGCCCCAAAAGAAGATATTCTGTGTGTGTGTGTGTGTGTGTGTGTGTGTCGCCTTCACCTGTGAGCTTTTGCACCTTTTTTTCCAGCGACATGACATCACGCATCAAGTATTTAATCCTGTGGAAGGAATCCTCCTCTAATTTGAACATTCCGTCGGCTGCACAGCAGCAGCCGGGCTGCTTCTGGAAGGCGCAGTTGCAGTTCCACTCGCCGCACGGCAGAGACCCCTGCCACTCCCCTGGGCGGGGGGGGGGGATCGAGGGAGAAAACAAAAGAAAGGGGGAGACGTGAGAGACACGTGTGGGCGGCGAGGCGTTGGCCTCAGACGTACGGCTGACGGGTGACGTGCGGGTGCGTGCGGGGTGACGGGGGTGAAGCGTGTCGGCTTACTTGCGGCCTCCGTCAGCAGCTGGATGCCGGCGGACTGCAACTGGCCACGACCGCAGAGAAACTGCAACCCCAACAGGAGCAAAAGGGGTAATACAACCATCTGGGGAAGAAATGAGTCGGTTACGGGTCAATATGCACCAAAAGCAGAAAGGATGACGGCTGAGAGCAGTGGAACGGGGAGTTAAATTGCACTTGACGACTGCTGTTAAATGTTCTGTTCAGGAAATTTGACTCTGTGGTCACAGAAACGTGTAATAACTATTTTCACACTTCATCCCCTTTGGGCCTATTTTGGTGTCCAATATGCAAATAATAATATATATAATAAGAGCAGCCACTTCGACTGAAGAACCCGGGTTCAACGATCTGCATGACATTATGTTCATTTAAATGACGATTGAATGTTTGTTTTAACCAAGACTTTCATTTGAAGAAGAATTGGCCTGGATTTAATAGTAAATGCCTGGTAGCTGCTGGTAAATCTGCTCTGAATGAGTAAATGAGTGTAAAGAACATGGCAACAAGTTAACTAGTGGCTGTTAAAGGCACTCAAACATCCAGCATCTGGACTTATTGTAAGTCGCTTTGGATAAAAGTGTCAGCTAAATGACATGTAATGCAATGTAATGATCTCTTCACAAAAGCTTTAATTGTTACATAGAATAAGCATTGTTAAAAAGATAATCCAATAAGCCAGTATAAGTAAGTAAGTATAGTATAGTATAGTAAGTATAGATAACACAACTGACTTAATTTAACACAGATTTAAAACATAAACTTACTGTTTGTTCTTCCTCTCTCTCCTCGGCCTGTTCGACTACGTGAAGTTCTTGTGAGTTCTGAGCTGGGGATGGTTTTAGTTTCTCGTTGATGCACGTTGACGGGATCGTCCCCTTTAGGGGGCAGAAAGGACGCCTCCCCACAGGTAGACACACACACACACACAGGTGTCACAGCCAAACACCAGCCCTCCCCGTTCCCACCACGTGGAGGGGTCACGTGACCAAAGGGTTCGACCTAGTTGCACCTTTCAGCCCCTGTTTACTTGGAGGATGGTGATGGCCCTTATTAGCACAAAAGTGTCGGATTGCCATCGTTCCGGAGGACAACGCCTGCCCCCAAGCGTTGATCTGGAGAGCTTTGTCGTCAGGGTGTGATGGACAAAAGAAGGAGGCGGGAAGACGTAATCGGTTCATTCATCGAGGAGAACAAAATACGGCGTCACCCAGTTCTCATAGTGAGATAGAAGGAGCAGAGGGCGAGATGGCAGCGATACCATCTCGTCCTATTTACAGCGGTTGGGAACGCTTTGTCACTTCCGTCATGTACAAACGCAGGATTCATTTCTGTAGCCTATGAGGATGTTATCGACCCCCCAGGGGAGGAGAAAAGGAGGCCACGTTTCAAGGAGGAGCTGTTGATGCTAACTGCTCTTCTCCGGGGACGTTTATTCTTCTCATTGATTTAATCCGGTGTGACCCGCGTTAATTAATACTTTCATGTGAGGTCATGATATTGTGTTGGGGAGTTTGCTCCGTCAGCACTGTCGCCGTTAGCAATGAGCCGGCCGAGGAGGTCAAGGTGGAATTTGATCGTCGGTGTTTAGTTCGGTAAGTGTGTCAGGGGAATAAAACGTTCCCAGTAAGCCCTTCATGAGTAAGGTGAAAGGAACCAGGAACCGTACGTTCACAATGTTCCTGTGGCCAGTTTGAGTTGTTTATTTGAAAAGCCTTTTTGACTCACTCAAAGCAACCTCTGCTGTGGCCTTCTGTGCTTAAAATTACAGTGTGAATAAAATCGTATGACATTTTTACACATGTTTAAACAACTCGTCAGCTCGTCTTCCGGCTGTCAATCATCTCTACGTGTTGTGTGTAACCTAAATATGCACCGTCATCTGTTACTGTCTCTGTTCCTCCGCTAACAGATAGCGGTGACGGTGCATTTTTGGTCTTTTCATAAACAGGCCAACAGACCTTTTTTCCAGGGACGCTCGCTTCCTCATTGTTTGGACCTACAGACGATCACAACTCAATATGGGAGTTATCCATGAGAAAAGGAGACAATGATGTGAGGAGGCATGCTAGGTTAGCCGCGGCTAGCAAGACCGCCAGTGCACGCGGTGCTGTTTTTGGTGTGTTGCTCGGAAAGGTTTGTTAAACATTGTTGCAGCAGAGTTCAGGCATTATCATGTGTATTATCATGTCATTATTTTATTATTCATCAGTCTACTCTAGTCCAAAAATAGCCAAAAATAATCTCATTTTGCTCAAATTAAAACTCATTCATAGTTTATCTGTTGGCTTCATGCTTTTGTCTCATGCTCTAAGCGTTACTTAAACATTGCAATCTAACTAAATCTTGCCATCAATTTCTGAATGGGTCGTTGTGGCGCAGGGGTTAGAGATGGTGTGCTGGGAAGCACAAGGTTGGTGGTTTGAGTCCAGGCTGCCCCCTTGTTCCATGTTGAAGTGTCCCTGAGCAAGACACCTAACCCCTAATTGCTCCCCGGGCAAAAATGTGAAAAAGCCATGAGTTTAAAGTGTAATGTAAGTCTCTTTGGATAAAAGCGTCTGCTAAATGCCCTGTAATGTAATACATGTTGTGTCTTTTTAATGAAATCCACAGCTTCTCACGGATTGTTGTTCATGTGCTACAGAATTATTATTATTTATTTATTTATTTTTATCATTTCATGTTGTTCTGTAGCAATTGCGTTTCACGGGGTCACTGAAACTCTAAATAAATTAATTTATTTGAGAAAATAGTTAATGGTAAACAAGACGTGGTCTGTCATAAATAGACAGCAAAGCAATTGTGCTTTGCTCAATAACCCTCCATCTCCAGTTAAAGAAAAACAACCAGAACACCATCTGCTTTGTTTAAGGCCCTTTTTATTCCCTTGTGTCAGCACAGGCACATCGAGTGAATCCAAACGCGGGGAACCGCCGCGCGGTCACTCGGTGGGATACAGCAGGAAGCCGCTGAACGTGTTGAAGTGGCCGCCGTCGCCGCAGAGGGAGCACCCGACGGGCAGGCTGACGGCCACCTTGTCCCCGGCCGCCAGGTGCAGGGCCAGGACCGCGGACGCGCTGTCCTCCTGGTCCTGGGCGTTTTTCTCCCGCGCTGCCGCCACCGCGCGGCCGTTGACCAGCAGGTCGGCGCACGCGGCCAGGGGCACCCCGGGCGCGCCGGCGTCCCCGAACGCGGTGAGGGCCAGGCTGTAGACGCCCGACTGCGCGGCGGTGAAGACGCCGCTCGCCGGGCTGTAGCCGCCGCCCACGTTGACGAAGACGTGCTGGTAGGTGACGAGCTTCTCGGCGGCGAAGGGGCCGAAGCAGAAGAAATTGGGGTGGTCGGTCAGCGCGACGGAGAAGGCGCAGCGGCTGCCTGGAGGTGGAGGCAAAAAGAGAAGAAAGTGGGACGTGGGAGGCTCTTTTATCACTCTTGCACCTGCTTTTTTATTTTATTTTATTTTTTAAACTCACCTTCGATCTTCTCCAAGCTGCGCTTTGCTTGTGCGTATTCCTTCTCCAACGCGTTCAAAGTCGTGTTAAAGTACGTCGACATTCTGTTCACCTCTTTCAACATGAAGCAGCATCCACAGGAACCTCGGTCCGTGATGCACCCTGAACACAACACACACACACACATGAGAGGAAATGCACACACACACACACACACACACACACACACACACACACACACACACACACACACACACGCACGCACACACACACGCTGATTGTTCCTCACCGCTGCCTGGCACGTCTGGAGGCGGTGAGGGCCCCCCAGGGTCGACCCACCCGTATGGAAGGGCCGAATGCAGCAGACAGATCATCACAACAGCTGGGGGGGGGGGGCAGAAGGGGCAAAGGCGTCAACCATCAAGCAAAGAAGCTTCACACCAGTCCCTTGTATTGCTGTGTATCTCTTTACTGTGCGGTATGAAGTCTCACCTCTCATGTTGACGGCTTCAGATGGATGGAGGGTGTGAGGAAGTAACATGGGTATATATTTTTTTCTCCTTTCGGAGTCCCTCCCTTGTCGAGTTTTTTGTGTCATCCTCTTCATCGCTCCTCCTCATTTTATTTTTTTTTCTCCCTATTTGTTAACTGAAGACAAGTGGGACGCAGGTGGCTTGGCCTCCTACAAAGGCCCCCACACCCTGTGTGAATACAGCCCGCAGCGCTGCGGGATACTTTATTTATCTCATGTGGTACTCATCATTTTCTCAATCCTTTTATTTAACCACCTCCGTTGTCTATAGCAATATTCTGTATATATATATATTTCGAATACTAACAAACTTAATAATCTGTGAGCACCAGGTCATAGTGATTTTAGAAACTGCGGTTATATTATATATGGATGTGTTATAGGTCACATCTCATTTCTTGCTTTTAAAAAAGGACACTATATGTTTCAGGTAAATATAGACTGTCGCCTTCAAACACATATTTTAACAATGTTAAGTATTGGTTACTGCTGGTATTTAATCTGCCTGGATGATATGGCGTCCGGTTAAATCATCACTTTCTATGGGTGAGTGACCTCAGGTCTTTAATAGCATAGTTTAATAGTTTAGTATAATATAATAGTATAGTATTTACTAGTTTCATAATGTGGTTGAAAGGATTTATAACCCTAAAACATGCTTAAATGTTACTCATGTCAGCGGCAACACCTCTAACGTAAGCTTTGCTTTTATATCATCAAATACGACTCGGAATGCAAAACACTTGGTTTAAAGGTCTGGTTTATTTCACCTTCAGAAAAAACAACAATTGCCATCAACTTCCATCGTATCATTTCAACGCTGTTAGAAATCAACAACCGGGCCACATTGATGCTGCTGGAGCGGCTGGTGTCCACTCAGCACGGGTACAGCAGGAAGCCCGTGAAGGTGTTGAGGTGGCTCGAGTCGTCGCAGACCACGCTCCCTTTCGGCAGGACGACCGCCACCTCGTCCCCGGCCTTCAGCTTCACCGACACCACCAGGGTGGCGCTGTCCTCGCGGTCCCGGCTCTCCTTCTCCCGCAGCGCGCTCGCCGTCAGGCCGTTGACCGTCAGGTGCGCTCCGGCCCCCAGGGAGCCGTAGGCGGAGTAGACGGTGACGGCCAGGCTGTAGACGCCGGAGCGGGGGGCGGTGAAGCCGCCGGTGGTGGCGCCGTAGCCGTCGCCCAGGTTGAGGAAGACGTGCCGGTAGAGGACGCGCCGGTCGTCGGCGAACGGGCCGAAGCAGCCGTTGCCGCCGGCTTTGTCGAGGGCGACGGAGAAGGCGCTGCGGCTGGCTGGGAAAACAAATAAGAAACAAAGCAAATGAAAAGATCAACGGTTGTGTTTCTTTTGAGATATTTTCTTGCGTTCTGAGGTTTCTCACCTCGCTTGTCGTTGAGGGCCATCTTTGCATTGGTCAGATTCTTGCTGATTTCTTCCACGGTCTTGTTGAAGAACCACTCCATCCTTTGCAACTTCTTCTGCATCAGACAGCAGCCACACAAGGTGGGGTCCGGAAGACACTCTGCACACACACACACACACGTATGAATACGGCAGCACATACAGATTCACTGAGCATTAATTGACTGAAGGGAACAAGCTCTCACCATCGGGTTGGACTGGTCGGGTGTCGGAGGCCCCGTTGTCCCAGCTGAACACATTCTGACAAAAGGCTCCGTGCAGCAGACTCAACAACACAACAGCTGGTCAGTAAAACCGGGTGAAAAGATTTGCATTAGTTGCTTTTCTCGAGCAATAATTCAACGCTGAATTACTGATTTTTAGTTAAAATCTTCAATTACAGAACATCCATTAAACGGGTCGCGTAACGCTTCTTCCCAAAAGCTGTTGGTTTTCAATCTTAACGTACATTACTTGAACCATGTAATCTCACCAAAGCATCCAGGGAGGCTTTGTGATCTTTCTAATCCAAGTCAACTATAACACTTAAATATCAGGCGGCTGTAGTTGCAGCTCGTATCTGGTCTCACCTCGCATGTCAATGCCGTAAATGAAGACGGCCTCTAAAGGATGGAAGGTGGGTTGACTGATGGGGAGGCCGAAGTCAGGAATATATATTCCTCTGAAAGCCCCTCCCCTGTGACCTATTTCCTCCTCTTCTGCCATCGCCCCTACTTTTGTTTTTTTGTCTTCCCTATCTGCCTTTATTCGTGTATAACTGGAGATGTCATTCTTTGTGACCAGAGGCTCTTATTTCAACAGGGCTTTGTTGTTGATGCCACCCAGGTATCAACTATCACCTGATATGAGGCCTTCACTGTATGTGGAGTTCAGCCAAACATTGAGGTCCTTAAAGCTACTGCACAGATTCAAGTTTTTGTACATTATTTTCAGCCTTTAAATAGATGCTGCTGCCACTGCCTGGTCCAACCACTCTTTCCCTTTCCTTCTATTATAAGAGCAAACCCTAAAATCGTGGTGGAAAAATGAGTGTTATTGTTCAGAAGATTGCGGGAAAATGATTTATTTTAACCTCAGTAAGCATTACTAATCATACATTACGAGCCATTAATATGATTGAAATGTGTGTTCTTTCCCTTAACATCACTCTCTTTGCCCTTTAACTCCCCTTCATTCAATTTAATAAGGTGTGTCAAGACTTTGGACGGTGTATCCACTATAAATATATAAATATGCACTTTATTCAATGTAAATTGGATCAACTAAAGCAGGAACAAAAAGAACATCATTGAACACCAGACACTTTCTCTGACACCATAATAAAAGAATCACACATTTCCAACCAAAGAAGCAGGTTTTATTAATCTAAGTGATATATATTTATATCAATCAATCACTTGTTATTCCATGTGCAACTTAATCCAATTGGCAAACAGTCACTGTAGAACCTACTCCTGTCCAGAACCTGAAGCCCGGGAACAGTGGGCCGGTGAAGTGGCTCTGGTGCTGGTGGATGAGGTCCGCTTGGTTGTGGGCGATGCGGTAAAAAGCCAGAACCCCCGTGTGCTGGTCCAGATAGACGCCGATCCGACGGGCCTTAGGCGAGCCCAGCGCTTTCTCCTGGCCGTCGTGCCAGAAGGAGAAGCCGGTCCCGGACCAGTACAGGCTCCAGGACTGAGCGTTGTGGCCCAGGCGGCTGCCATCGTCAGAACCTTTACGCTCCATCTCCTTGTAGGCCAAGGCGATGGTGATCTGCAGGACGGAGAGGAGACCCGATTAGGGATCCGCTTTGTGCTAACGGCGGCATGCTAACAATGCTAATGTGTTGATTGTTGTCGATTAGCGTCAAAAGTGAACTGAATATTGTCTATGAAATCTGAACATATTTTGGTGAAAATCTGTATTTAAATTGGTTTAAGCAGTCCAGCTTTTTTTGACAGATTGCTGATTGATATGTGAAGGCGTCAAAGTCTGCGGTTTATTCAATTTTAGCCAATAGAACTTTCCAGCCTAAAAACCCCACAGCTGCTAGATGCAAATTTTGTACTTTAGATGCATATAGAAGTCTTTAATGCCTCCAAATGCATTTTGCACACTCACTTATTCACTTATTTGATGTTACGGCTTGATTAATGTTGCTCACTTTAGTCTCCTTTTGGGGTTTTTTACGTGTCTTTACTTTTATGATAACATGGCTTTTGCTAAAAATGTTTACCGAGACCAAATAAATAAAATAAAAATATTTCACGAAGCCCCCGCCACATTTCCCCACTGATGCGTCCACCTTCTTTCCTGTCCACTCCACCTCCCAGTAGTACGGGCTCCCTGCCAGGGCCTCCTTGCAGAGAACCTGCCTCCAGAAAGTGAAGCGCTCGGGATGCTCTGGCAGGTTCAGGTTCTCCGCTCGCATCGTGGCCTTGCGACCGCCGTCCGACAGCTGCACGTGCCGGTACACCGTGTCGCCGTCCATGGTGGGTTCGAAGCGGACTGTGAGGGAGAGGATGAGTTTCAGTGAAGGTTTCAAGGCTTTGAAACAGCGTTTTAAAAAAAAAATTCTGTTTCAAACTCACATTTCAGCATTTCTTCTCTTGTCATCGGCTCCGGTTGGACGTGTTCCACTGTAGTTACAGTGGAGGCTTAGAGGGAGAAAGCAAATGTAATATATCAAACTTCTCTTTGTAATTAATCGACGAGGTTTCCTGATGTAGTTGTATTTACATTGAGGTTGACGAGGAGGGACGGGTGGAGGTGGCACTGAAGGTTCGCGTTCAGAAAGGTGGAGGCGGAAAGAAGAGAGCATTCAAACCTAATTAGATCCCAACTCCGTGAAATACAGCTTTTCTTGAAAGTACGCGAGACGTTTTATTGAAACCCTCGTGCTCTTAATAATTGACGCAGAGATACTTAAACGCCTTTAGGTCCATTTATTTTGCGAGGTGCAGACGTACACTCACTTGTGAGGTTTCTCAAGGGACGTCGCGACGGTAGCAAAGGTGGAAGGTCACTCGTCGTCTCACACGCTACAGGACAGACGGGTTGAGTTGGTACAAGCGATTCATGAGGGCCAACAGTCAGAGCGAAAGGACGTTTAGGTTGTTGTACCTGTTTTAGGTGCGGTGGCCCGACCGCCGTCGTTAGCTGCTGCTGGACCGCCGTGAGTTGAAGCCCCGGAATCGGTATTCACTATCAGGAGAACGAAGGTTCAGACTCGCTGAAGAGGGGAAGCGGAAAGGACGAGGGAAGAGGAGACCGTCACTGACCTAATGTGGCGATCTTGGCCAGGCTGGTTTTGCACAGGTCCTGCGTCGACTCTTGCAGTTCTTTCATGGCCGAGCGGACGGAGGCCACCACCGCTTCCTCCTGGCTCAGTACGGACTCCCCCGGGGAACTCGCCTCACCCGGCGGCTCCATGACCAGGAAATTCTTGGGAACGAATGACACAAAAATGTATCGCCGTCGTCAATCGTTTGCCCGTCCTGAGCAATTCAAACGAAGCCCTTTGCGTCTCGCCCGCTACCTTCAAGAAGCAGATGTCGTCCTGCATGCCGGCCAGCCGGCTCAGCTCCTCGCTCTTCCAGCGCAGCGTCGCCACCTCCTGCTGCAGCCCGTGGACCTGCCCCTCCACCCGGCTGCCTAAGGCGGCCTCGTGTTTGCCGAGGGCCTCGCCGACCAGGGCGCCGGTCAGGGTCACGCTCTCGACGAGCTCCGCGAACACGTCCGTGCTCTCTTGCTTCAGGGCCTGCACCAAGGCCTGCGAGCGCAGAGAGGAGGGGGAGATTGTCAATGTGTGTGTGTCTGTATACAGGGAGACGTAGCTCAAAGAGGTTTGAACACAGACAAGCCGAACTGCTGCTCACCTTGTGTTGGCGGGCAGCATGTGGGAGCTCCGCCAGCCTCTTTGAGGTCGCCTGGATTCTCTTCTGTTGCTCCACCTGCATCCCAGCGAGCTCTTTCTAGACACACACACACACACACATCCGTTGCTTAGTGTAGACTGGTACAATATAGAAAATCGGCCGCACCCTCACACTGCTCGACAGAAAAGGACCAGTATGGTACAGTATTGTTTGGGTTATGAAACATTTGTGATGTCACAAAAAATCCCCATGATGACTTAAAGGACGAAAGTGGAACGTGCAGTAAAACCACATTCAAGTACTTTGAGTTCAGCTACATTCTCTAAATGTTACACAACGGGGTCTTTTATTCATCCACACCTCCTCACGAGGGAGGTGAATAAAAACTGCTTAAAGCACTGATAGCGTCCCCATGGGGACTTGTCCATTGCATACCTGTCTGTCCTTCCTCTCTTCGTGTGGTTTGCGCACACGATGTCCCTTGTGTCCATGCTGGCAGCACACCTCGCAGACGCACTCCATGTCCTCGCAGCAAAACAGGTCCAGGGCTCGGTTGTGTTGAGGGCAAGCCCCGGGGTCCTCCGTGGGAAGCTGAGGGTACACGCCGCCCTGTCGCGTCTCTCTAGCCGGCAGGACCTCCAGGTAGATGGGCATGGATGGCGGGGCAGAGGAGATGGTGGTGGAGGACCTGTGCTGCAGGCTTTTGGTTCTCAGCTGGTCTATGCACTCGGCGAGCACCGTGCTCTTGGCCAGGGAGGGTCGAGGGTTGAAGACCTGCCGGCACTGGGGGCAGCTGCACTGACCCTTGCGGTCTTTCTTGTCCCAGTGGCTCTGGATACAAGCCAAGCAGTACGAATGTCCACACGGCAGCGTTGCCGGGTCCTTCAGGGTGTCCAGGCATACCGAGCAGACAAAGGTCTCCTCTTCTGACCAGGCAGAGGCCATGTTGGGGAGCTGGATTTCTAGAAGAGGCCAGACCTGGGTGAACGGACAGCCCGAAAGGATACTGGTTTGCGAAGGTTAGAGAACTTCTGTTCAGTTGAAAGGAAATTCTGAAATGGCAGCTCATGTGAAACTCACACTGCTTAAAAAAACGAGGCAGTCTGAGCTCCGGTGGGGCTGGTAAAACTGGAAGGGTGAGGAGTTCCTCTCGCTGAGGTCATCTGAGCATTCCTTGAATGCGAAATGCCAAATAATGGACCTAAAGAAGCGCTCCTCTAATGACAACTTTCAGTCACTGTGAGAATTTGACCAACAATGGAATGACGGGACGTCAAGGAGAGGCCACACAGCAATGGGGGCTCCTAATACATTCAAACTATACTTGTGTCAAGACCCGGTTAATGTGCAGTGGAATTAGAACAGACCCGCGTAACACCTGAGCAGTGACGCAAACGTGAAACCACCGCTCGGCGTGCACTTCACCGGCGGCATCAAAATGCGCGCGGCGCGAGACGCGTTTGGCCCGTCGGCGCACTGCTGACGCGCATCGAGATGCGCCATGTTGACTATTAGCGGCAGCCGGCGAGCCGGGCGAGAGGCCGACCGCCGCTTATCCAACTTTCAAGGTGAGTGTTTAACGCTTCACCTGATTACTCTGCTCGGTGTGTTCTGACTCCGTTTACGACCAGTTGGCCGCTTCCCGATGAGCGCATTCGAGGTTTAGCTTTGGCGTAACGTTACGTTGACTTAACGTTAGCTTCGTTAGTTTCGTGCTCAGCCAAGTTAGTTGGCGTCAACGTTTTGCTTTTTTAAAGCCAAAATATGTACGGCCACCAAACCAGCGTTTGACGTATAACGTTAAGTCGGGTGCGGTGAGGACAGTTCAACCTGCTCTCTAACGTAAATGTGTTTTTTATTTTTAAACACCGGTCACGTTAGCTTTCGAAACTCCTGTTAGCCGGCTAGCTAGCAGCTGTAGCTAACGTTAGTTAGCCAAAGTTTGACTGGCGGGGCCAGCAAACTTACAGCTGCACTGCGTGGTTTCCACGACAAGGTGAAATAAGCTATGAGCTGATCGTGACGCTGAAGTATTGATTAAAGTGCAGATATGCGGTTTAACTCCTGCGCTCAGATCGGCTGGGTTGTGACGTCAGCAGCTAGCCGCTTTCACTCTTACGTAACGTCGACCTCCTACAGGTGTAACAGGTGTAGCCGTGTTGCGTTTACGCTTCACCTGAGCTGTCAGGTGGCCCACAATTAGATCACAAATTACTTCTCTAAACAGCCAAATAAGCTTAATTGGCTGCTGCGTTTAATTCCTACTGTTTGTGTTTCTATTTGTTTTTCAAAGATGTTCAGGCGGCCCCAGGTCCTGTTTGCTTCGTGTCCCAGAAGGCATTTGCAGCTTTTGAGAGAGTCCCACTTGTCTAGTTTCTCTGAGCACACTGCTGCTGGATGGCGGGGTGCAAGAGACGCGACGAGAAGGCGATACGATGGAATCCCTGGCAGTGAGGAGAGGTCATTATCTCGTTCAGCACAGCTGTCTTTATTAAACCCAAACCGCAACAATCCGAAGCAGAGCGAGGCTTCGGCCAAAGCCACGTCGTCCAGTCATCAACACCCTCCTCAGGGTTCTGCCTCACCAAACCCCAAAGCTGTGAGCGCACACCGAGACTGTTTAATCAACAAAACCGGCCTTCAACCCTGGAGAAGGCCGTGGGACATTCGCCAACCTTCCCACAGTTCCGCCTGCAATCCCGAGCGTGACCTTCTCCAAAGCAAGTCATGCTGCAGACAGCACTTTGTCAGATCCTTCAGCTCGTTGTCGTGTGCGCCGTGGATTTCGAACCACTTTCACTGTAGCCGACCACCCTCCAACCTCTCTGCTCCAATAACCCGAGCGCTTCATCGGGCTGCCGCTCGGGAGGCCGACGGCTGGAGGGACTGTCTTTCCCCGATGAATGAAACCAGGTGTCGACAGAACCTGGTGCCCAACCTGAAGCTGTACGAGGCCGGTAAAAGAGGGGCAGGTCAGAGCCAGGGAAAGAACAATGGGAGATGGGCGTCAGTCCTGGTGTCGCTGTGCTCTAATCAGGGGGAGCCGGCGTTTCTCTTCACCCTGCGCTCCAGCACGTTAAAGGGCCGCCACAAGGGAGATGTCAGGTGAGGGAGCAGGCTGGTAGCAACTACGTTGTTTTGAATCTACAGTCTGGTACTTGAGCTGTTCTCATTTCCTGTCATTTGTAGCTTTGCGGGGGGAAAGAGCGATCCATCGGATAGCGATGTGGTGGCCACGGCGTTGAGGGAAGCAAGGGAAGAGCTGGGTGTTGCTGTGGCAACGGAGAAGGTCTGGGGCATCTTGAAGCCTCTCAAAGACATGGTGAGTACAAGTGTTGTTAAAGTGAAATATGTCATTGATCAGGATATAAGAGAGAAAGAGTTTTTTTTTTTTTTGTCCAGCCAATTCCCGACTCGATCAAGCAATTATATTTTTCTAAAGTTTCCCTTAAATTAGTCTTCCCAGAGGTTGACTCTCTGCGTTCTCTAATGAAGAAACTGCTTTATCATAAAGCTCGGCCATAGATGAATGTATCTTGACAGTTGATGGTTTTGTCCTATCAATTTATTCCAAACATTATGGTCTCTCATCAGTCCGGGATGACCATCGCTCCTGTGCTGGCTAACCTCGGCCCCATAGAGGATTTGTCCTTCAAACCAAACCCTGGCGAGGTAAAGCTGACTTATCCATTCAATATCTGCTGTTTCTACTCGTGTTGATGTCTGTTGTGGTGGCGATCATGTGTTTAAGTCCTGTTTTACACTCTTTGTCAGCTGTCGATTTCTTATCAACACACTTTTCTGAGAGGAGCTTTTCCCCTGGTTAACAGTTAGAAATGTAAATAACAAAAAAAAAAAAAACACTCTTTTGGTGCAGCTTCAATCTAAATCCAATGTTTTTGAAGTGTGCTTCCTTTGCCTGTTTTCGGTCCCAGGTGGAGGAGATTTTCACCCTGTCCTTATCCCACCTGTACAATCCTCGAAACCGAGGCTACACAAACTTCCGCACCGGCGACAAGTACGGATACACTGTGCCGGTGTTTCGTAACGGGAAGCATCGAGTGTGGGGTCTGACTGCCATCGCCCTGGATCACACCCTGAAGCTCATCGTCCCCCCATAGCAGCTCAACCGGCTGTATTTATTTTATTTTAGTTCACATACAGACCTGTCGTGTGACTACGGATTTGATGTGAGGTCAAGTTTTGTCAAGCAAAATAATGCCAGGAATCATTTAGAATGAAGTATTTTCTTTTTATAAAGGTAAATGTCTTTCCAGTCGGGAGATAACTTTTTCTTCTTCTTCCAAGTGTGCACTTTCTGAGCCTCAGGTGTAAAAGAATCTCCACTGAACAGATCAGGTGTGTAAAGGTGTTGTTCAGCTGTGATGACGTTCACTGAAAAGCAGCATCAATACTTTACTTTATCTGATCACTTATCAGTATTTCTCTATATTGTGAGCGATTTTGTGTTCAAAAGCTCACTTATCCTTTATTCCTGAATTATTCTGTACCAGCACTTACCAAATGAATTCATGTTAACAAGCTAAATGAATGAGTCAGGCACCACAATTCTCTTATGAGGCTTTTTAATTTTTTTTGTGGGCTCAGCGAGGTGCAGAGACATCGTTTCCAGTGAGATTCAGCTCATGTCCGTTCTCACACTGGATCAAATGTTTAAAAACACTGGGCGGCAGATCATCGTTTGGTGTGTTGGTGAACAATGCAATAAAGATCGTTTTAAAGCTATTCTCCCTGTGTTGTTCATTGACATCAAGGTAATAAATGGTGCAAGCAGACAGCTGGTTTCTAAGGGAGGCAGAGTTTGATCTCTGAATCACACGAAACACATCCATTTTTTTTTAAATTTCTGTACGTTAAATCTTTTATTTTAGGACGGCTATCGTTCAATGATTGTCTGCATGCACCAAAAGCTTCACAGGCAGCAGTGTTTAATGAGCTTGCCGGTAACGCTGCTGTCTGCAACCCAACTCGTCAATGTTGAGGACCTGGAGGCCTGAGACCAAGTTCTCAGTTCTGTAAAACGCTTTCCAGTCCGATGTGAAATAGTGTGAAAAGACTCCTCGGGGGGGGATTCTGTCAATGTCAACATCAGGGCAGCGAGCACTCCATGGGGTCCTGGGAGTCCGGCAGGAGGTGGCAGTTGAAGGGCCAGCTGAAGGAGAAGAGGTCCAGGGCTTGGCTGCACTGCTGCTCGGCCGAGGAGCAGACGGAGCGGCAGGGCTGGACGACCCCCCCCTGAGGGCTGCACTGGGGCAGAAACATCCCACACAGCAGCCTGCGCAGGGGCTCGAAGCACGCCAGCTCCATCAGCACCTGGACCGCGGCGGTTTGTGGTTAAAAGCAACTGCCGCCGAGGAGCCGAAGTTTTGAAGAAGTTAGCGAGTCAATAATGAGCGCGGATTTTACCCGGTACTGTCGCAAGAGCGTGGCAGCTTCTCTCTGGTCGGCGATGGACAGCCAGATGTTGGGGAATGAGGTGAGGTTGTAGCTGAGGCCTTGACACATCTCCACCTCGATGAACTCGCACGATGAGGCTGAGGAGAAAACAAATCGTTCCTTTTTCTTATTTTACACTTTATATCTCCCCACCACAGGACGAAGGAAGTTATAATGTAATTGCAAACTTTTATTCTGACCAAAGGATTTGGTTTTTTTTTCCCCCCGTCCTAGGCTAGGAGACAACGGGGACTCACTGAAGGGAGGGTAGGTGGAGTTGCCGCAGGCCTGCTCGTCCGCTCCGTCGGGGCAGTCGCTCCATCCGTCGCACAGCCAGTGCTGCGGGAGACACTCCCTGGTGCTGCAGGCAAACTGCCCGGGGCCACACGTCTCTTCAAGTCAACAAGGACACAAACACGTGAGGGTCAAAGGGAGCAAATAGTGTAAGCTGACAATTTTTGGGGGGAAAACCAAACGTGGGTCGTCTAACAGGAGGAACCGAGGGGATCCTAGGGAAGGAAACAAGGATCACGCAGCCGTTTGGTTACATTTCAATTTAAACGTGTCAAGCACTCACTGTCCTGGACGGACACCGCCCGGTATGTAGCGTTGAAGCCGCTGTCGGCCACTCCCTCATCCGCCATAAACACCACCGTCATGTGGGGGCCGGAGGAGGTCAGGTCTGGGGGGAAGGTGGTCCCGCAAAACCTGAGACGAAAGATGGGGGAAGCAAAAGCGATACAACAAACGCGTGGGGGGGGGGGCATCTTCGGCATTTTAAATGATTATATTAAATGTATATTGGTCGGTAGTGGCTGCAGGCACCTCCCCATCACTCTCCTGACTCCAGCTTCGCCGCCGTCCTGAACCTCGACGTAGTCGAACTCGCACACGTCCTGCGTCTCCAGGCTGAAGTTCTGGAAGCTCAGCGTGACCACGTGGCCCTCCTCAACAGAGATGTACCACGCGCACAGCTGGGGGGGACACACAGAGGCCCGGCAGCTCAGTGGGGGGTGTGGGGGGGGGGGGGGGGGGGGAAGGAACGGCCCCGTGACCCCCGGCGCGCGGAAAAGCGGAACTACCTCGCTGTGAGGGGAAAGGCCCGGGTGGGTTGGGCTCCATATTGAACCCTAAGCCCCCGTCTTCTGCCCTCCCCAGTCTGTGGGAGAGAAACATGTGTGTGTGTTTTCTCTCAGGGGCCCTTTTTTTTTCGGTCACGCGCTCTCACCTTTGCGCTTGTGGCTGCAGTTGGCCTCGTCCGCGCGGTCGCGGCAGTTCGGGCGGCCGTCGCACACGGACGCGCGCAGCAGACAGCGACCGCCGTCGCACATGAACTCCTCTCTGGAGCAGCTCTCTGGAGGGAGACACACAGCCGCAGGAGACACGCGTGCGCTTAGGTAGGTTTGGACGAACGCGCGGGGGGGGGTCCACGTGCTCGGAAGGCGCGCGCGCGCTACTGACTGTGCGCGGGCCGCACGGCCCGGTACTGCGCGGTGAAGCCGTTCCCTGCGATGCTGCCGTCGGATCGAAAGGTGACCCGCACCGCGCTGCTGTTGGTGTTCACGGTCGGTGGCGCAACGTTTCCGCAGAACCTGCAGGAGAGCGAGACAGAACCTTTAATAACTCGTATTATTTCTCAGTATTACAGCTTTGGAAGATGCAAGTGGGAGTCTGAACTTTGGCCTCTACAATTCTGGAACGGGATTTGTGATCCGGTTGTGTAACATTGTTTATTACGACACTTTCCAAGAAAGAGTTTCCTCATGCGTTGAAATCTTTCCAAGAAACCTTTCGACTTTTTTGGTGCCACCTACCAACCACACGCATATTTATTTGAGCTAAAAATGTCACGTCTGTCCGCCATTTAAATTCATTAAAATTCATTAAAATTTGCCAAAAACTAAACGTCGATCTTTCGTTCTATTTCTTTTCATTGGAAAAAAATCATGGGATCTACCAAAAAATGTCAGGGTCTTCCTACAACAGAAGCCTGGGCCTCTAAAGAAGAGCATTAGGCAGTTGTGTCTGAAGGCAAACTGACGTCTCGGGGGACATTTGGGGTCCGACCCACCTGGTGACCACAGCGCTCTGCTCTATCTGCTCCTGCACCTCGAGCCAGTCAAACAGACAGGGAGACGGCCCCTCCACGGTCAGAGAGGTCACGTGGATCTGGACCAGGGAGGGGGGCGCGACCCGGATCACCCACACGCACAGCAAGTTCGGCGGGTAGGAGCCGGGGTGGTTTGGGGAACTGAAACTGCCCTCCGAGTCGAACAGCACCCCCCCACAACCTGAGAGCCAGAGAGAGGGGATACCGGGGGGTTCAGCTGCACGAGGAATCGCACGGAAAAGATCAAACGAACAGCTGGAAACCACTCACGTGTTTCGGGTGTTGGGGCCCCGGTGGGCGGGGGGGCAGATGTACTCTCTGGTGGGCCTCTGCTGGCAGAGGTGGTGGATAAAGTCTGGGACGCACCATCTCCTGCATTCGGCCGGACTGGGGAGCCTGTGGACAGCGAGGCGTCCTCCACCGCCCGGCCCTTCATCTCTGGAGACGCGACACGGAACCGGCTGTCATCACAGTTTAGAAAACCCCCTCAAAAGACCTTTTACGACCCCCGGCGGAGACTCACGCGTGAGGACGAGGGCCAGCGCCAGTCCGAGGGCCGCTAACAGGACGCAGACCGCCGCCACCACCACCCACCCACAAGCCGGGCCGCGCATCACACAGACCCCGAACAGGCCGCGGCCTAGACATCAACCACATGGTCACACGTGCACAACGAACATGTGGGCTAATTGGACTTGGAATTGGAAGGGTCAAGTCACAGAAAGCTGCAGACCGATTGGCGGACTCACCGGCGGCAGGCGGTTTGATTGGTTCGGGGGTGGACGAGGTGGTCCTGAATCCCTCCACTCTCTCCTCTCGCTCCCCCTCCAGCTCAAAGGCAGGGTTACAGAACACGTTCTACAGAGAGCAAAGTAGAAAGGTGTTGCACAACAACTCTCACTCACTGAGCAAACAGTTACATTACACACTTGGGGGAAAAATAAATCAAATATATCAAATATAATAAATTTAGTTCAATACTTGAACTAAATTCGTAGCCCATTTCTGAGGGAAAACATCACCTCAGCTGCAGATTCAGGGAATTATTCTCTCCAGATTCATCCCTATCTGAGGGATATCTTTCAATTTGTCGTCTTGAGTCGTCATTATTATACCAAGATCAATTATAGCCGCTTTGAAGTAACTGACGGAGGAGCATCTCGGGACATTTAGGGATGCAACGCGCTGTCATCGCTCAATTGCTGCTGGAGGCGTCTGTGGCTGCTGTTACAGCCTCGCTTTGAATATTTACCCAACATTTACTGCTACATTTATACATTTACCGCACACATGAGAGACTCTGGACAAAAAGGAAACCACTTGGTCCAAATCACCCAATAAACAGACTAAATATAACTGGTATAACAGGGTCTCAGGACCACAAGGCTTTAGGTATAATTAACTTTTTAGGAGGTGAAAAAAGCCTCAAAATGAATCCAGGTATTCTAAGAAAAAAAGATCTGATCATAAAGAACTAAATAGGATACAGTCTTCTGCTAGATATCTCAATAACTGACCAATCCCACATCCTCACTCACCTTATAGAGCTCCGAAGAGTCAGAGTAAACTGCGACTTGGCTGAGGTCAGACATCTTTAGTCCCCGTCTCCGTGCCCCCCGTCCTCAAAGAGGCCGACGTTGCGCCGGATACGTCGGCGGTGACATCGTCATCAGATCCGCTCCGATGGAACGTTTTCTCAGCGTTGTTCACGTTTTGCTCCTGCAGCTCCGCGGAGACGCGGTACGTTTACGGCCTTAGAATCCTCCATCGTGAAAGAGCTCTTTGTAGGGTATCCAGATCAAGATAACACATTTAATTCAATCTTCTAACTAGGGTTTCAAAAACAACATCCATCCCGAGGCCTTTCGGCTGTGTTTGCGGCATCAACCTGCACGTCTCCAGTCTTCTGTAGGTGGCCGAGTGGTTACAAAGGAGTTTTAGAAACTCCTTCAATGTGTCGAACAAAGCCAAGTCAGCTGAGAGGACTGAGCCCCTCGGAGGAGGAGGGGGAGGGGGGCGGAGGTGGACGTGGGGGTCCATAATCTCCAAAATCCCTTTAATGATCTTTTAAGCCTTTTTATTCACATGCAGGCTTGCATGCCCGACCGTGACGAGTAGGTGCAGAAACACACAAGTACTACACACCGCTTTAGACCCCCGAACACTAGTAGTAAGACATTGAGCCTGTGTTGGGGTGTCGTAATGTAGAAAATATTAAGACAAACTCCATAATGTTAAAAAGAGAGAAACAGAAGAAGCAATGATGTGAAAGTAAGAGCTGAAATCTGTGTTCTTTCCCAGATTGCTCAATGCCCCCCCCCCCCTCGGTGTGCAGCTGCCGCGTTAATGGGTAATCAGTCATCAAACAGAGCAGCGATCGCTGTGGTTCTGGAATACGTTCGAGTGTGGTCATGTACGTCTGGACGGTTCTGTGGATCCTGCTCTTCGCCTCCGAGGGTGAGCGTTCCCACTCTGTTATTATCTCCTCTTCCATTTTCACACCATTTTCATGTCAAACGGTTTGCTTGTTATTTCTTTGTGCTCCAGCCGCGCTGCAGGAACACGACTATGGAGACGAAACATACGAAGATCCGCGGCCTCTGAACTGCTCGACCACGGAGAGCATCAAAGGTGGACATGTCACCTACTCACAGGTACAAAGACACGCGGAGCTCCAATGATCCGCTGATCAATCACACTTTTTGACTGCATTTTGGGGGTTGGTTGGTTGGACAGACAAAACAAACACTGAAAATTCACAATTGCCATTTTTGAGAAAATCTTCAAATAAACGTGCAGTGAAAATAATCAAAACTTCACTCAAGATTTGAGTCACAGAGGCGTGCAGAGGTCAGAGGTCACATCTCCAAAGGGAAATATTACTCCTTTAAGTGTTTACGTGTGTGTGTGTGTGTGTGTGTGTGTGTGTGTGTGTGTTTGTGTACATTTGTTCAGCTCTGCTGCACTGATGCAGTTTTATGTATAATCACAGTAAAAGTGAAATATTTCAAAAAAGAAATAGGCCAAATGGAGGCTGGTAAGAATAGATATATGTCCGAAATAATGACCAAAAGTGTATTAATAAATATTCTCATTATTATTCTCGTAACTAAAACAAATTGCTGAATTAGGAGGCTCGTTTTCTGATAAAAAGGAACTAGCGGTGACTGAAAGTGAAACCCGGTAAGCCTTTTGTTTCCCCCCCAGGGAGGACTGGAGGGCAGCGTGCTGACCTATCACTGCGGCGTGGGCCGATACCCTTTCCCGGTGAGCCAGCGGCTCTGCGGCGCCGATGGGGATTGGTCCCTCGTGAGGTTCACTGACGGCAGACGTGTGCACCGGGTCACGTGCAAAGGTGACCGTTTGAAGAGTCCCTGAAGGCATCGTGGTGCGTGGAGTTTTCTGCTGCATCGTCACCCTCTTCCTCGTCCCCCGTCCCCCTGTCCTCTTGTCCTCCCGCCCCATCTCCAGACGTGCTGTGTCCCGCTCAGCTGCAGCTGGATCACGGGGACCTGTTTCCCAGAGACCAGTGGTCCCGCGTCGGGGCGACGCAGAGCTTCTCCTGCCAGGACGGCTTCACGCTGCACGGGTCGGCCCAGAGGAACTGCACCGTCTCCGGGGAGTGGACTGGGAGCGCTCCCGCCTGTGTCGACCACGGTGAGGACTTTGCGTGGTTATATTTCCCTCCGTTTGAGAACTATGGAAAATATCAACTTACATAAAGCCCTGAGCCCAGTTCATGTGCATTAGAGCCGTTGTTCTGACTAAGCTCATAGTTGCTGAGGTTTACATTTGAAAGCAGCTTTTGTTGAACACAAACAAATGAGCCCTGCAAACAGATTTTAACTGTTGTTTGACACAAAATCACAGCGAGAACCCTTCTTAACCTAATAAGAGGTTTGCATATTAATGCATTTATTACAATGCGTCTTCGACGTCCTTTGCTGGGACCTAAAAAACTGACACCGTGACGAGTTTTGCAGCGGACGACTGCAGTGACCCGGGGATCCCACCGGGGGCCCTGAGGTCAGCGGGCCGGTTCCACGCCGGGGAGAAGGTGACCTACCGGTGTCAGGCTGGTCTGGATCTGCTCGGGTCGGCTGAAAGGGTGTGCCTGGAGAACCGGGAGTGGAGCGGCTCAACGCCGCGATGCCAAGGTGACAATGAGCACGGTTATAAACACGGTTTCACATTAAGTAATTAATAATGAAACATCCATCTGCAGGCGCGAATTCCTTTGACTCCCCCAGCGTTGTGGCAGCAGCCCTGGCGGGGTCACTTGCAGGAGTCATGGACGTAATGTCGCCGGACTCCAAAAAGAAAGGTGCGTATCAAAGCAGAGAATAACCGGACATTTTAAAGTCCATATATTCAACTGCAATGAGCTTGTGTGTGTGTGTAAGATGTAACAGGGTCCTTCGCCAGGACCTTCCGCGTGGCCGAAGGAAGTCGCATGAATGTCTACATTTTACTGGACACGTCGGGGAGCATCAAAAAGCAGGACTTTGAACTATCCAGGAGCGCCACCATTGCTCTCATCAGAAAGGTTTGAGCCGAATGAGCTCCGCCGACTCGACGGGGAGGTTCGCTTTCCTTTTAACCACACAACCACGTGCCTCCTTCCAGCTGGACAGCTACGAGGTGCAGCTGAAGTTCCACGTGTTGTCGTTTGCCAGCGAGACGAGAGACATCGTGGACATCATGGAGCCGGAAAGTGGCAACGCGGACCACGTCGTTTGGAGCCTGGAGCAGTTCGACCACCTGAGTAGGACCCGCCGTCGCTCCACGTCGCTCCACGTCGCTCCACGTCGCTCACTCTACGGCCGTGCGCGCCGGTTTGATCATCATCATCGTCAGCCGTTTTTGTGTTCATCTGCAGGCCACGGGCGTAAGACGGGCACCAACCTGCACGCCGCCCTGCATCGGGTCGCTGAGGTGATCAGCTTCTTGAAGCAAAACAGCGCCGGGAACCATTTCAACGAGACGCAGAACATCATCGTCATAGAAACAGATGGTAGCGACACACACACACACACACACACATTCTGTGGAGCATCTCCAGCTCACGGCTTACACAAGACCAGCCTCATCAGTGCCGCAGCCACTCATCGTCTCCTCGTCCGCAGGTAACTCCAACACCGGCAGAAAGCCTCAGATCGCCTTGAACCAGATCCGAAATCTGCTGGGCTACAGCGCCGCGTCCCGCTATCACACAGACGAAACCATGCTGGGTATCAATGAATGCTTTAATACGTTTTATGCTTAAGAAATACTGTCACTGATTTGTTTCTTGGTGACGCGCTTTGACGTATTCGTGGATACAGAAGGTAAATCAATCATCTGCTGTGTTTTTAAGACGTCTATGTTTTTGGAATTGGGGATCAAGTCAACAAAGCTCAGCTGAACTCCATAGCCTCAAAGAAACAAGGCGAGAACCACTTCTTCGTGGTGAAAGACTTCCAAACCCTGGGGGTGGTGTTCAACAAGATCATCAGTGAGTAGCAGAGTATTCTGCTGTGTGCGATTGGTGGTTTTCAGCAGAGAGAACGTTAGAGACTGAAGAATCAGGTTAAAGCGTTGGTGACATTCTCTGTCCTGATGCAGGTGATCACAGTGTCACAATGTGTGGCGTAGCTCAGGAGCGGGAGGACGATATGAGGACCTACACCAGACCCTGGCATGTCACCTTGGAAAGGTCCTCAAAGGTCAGTCACCATCCACCTGTTTTAACGCTTGTGATTTAGATTTGTATTTTTGGACACGTGGACTTTTCCTTCCCCGAAGGCTGCGCTGTGTGTCGGATCCATCGTGAGCCCGAACTGGGTGCTGACAGCCGCTCACTGCTTCAACGGGCTGAGCGCCGGCGACCTCCAGCAGCTGCACGTAAGCCACGGTCAGTACGGGGGAAAACGCCCACGTGAGAGAAAAGCGCTGCGTGTTTTGACTGAGCGATCACATTGAATCACACGCACACACAGCGCGCAACAAGCGTCGACTCCCTCGACTGCTGCAGCACACGGCGGATCCGGATGAGTCCTTTTCACCCTCTTGCTGACTCCGCAGCGGGTCCTGCGTTACAACCAGCAGCTTGTTTGCTTCCCAGGTGACGGCGAGGCGGTTTCCCAGAAGGTGTTCATTCACCCGGAGTACAACGTCAGGGCCCTCGAGCACAGGAACGTGTCCGAGTTCTACGACTACGACGTCGCTCTGGTTCAGCTCGACAGGAGCGTCCCGCTCTCCTGGAGGGTCAGGTGAGATAGCGAGGAAGGAGACGGCGGCGCCGCGTGGACACGCCCACCCGGGAGCTGAAATGTCCTCTGATACTGTCATTAATGTTCCTGATTGCCACTGCGTGTGTGTGTGTGTGTCTGTGTATACACACTCATACTACAGACCCATCTGCTTGCCATGTACCGTACCAGCGGATCGAGCCATGAAGAGAGTCAACTCCACCTGTCAGCAGCACAGTAGGTGACCTTTTGACCTTCGGTTGACCAAAATAAAGGCATTTATCGTAGCAGCAGTGTGGAATCACTCGTCCCCTCATCCCTCTGTATGTCTAGTCAAGACTGAACATCCCAAATAGTGAAATGCATGTGCGTCTTCAGGGAAGGAACTGCTTCCACGCGAGGAGACCGCCGCCTTTTTCATCCACAAGAACGACGCACGCCAACAGACGCACGTTCACACCGAGAGCCAGGTGGGCGACAGGTGACGATTTTCAGACTGCCGTGGGAGCGAACGAGTCCGTGTTTATGGGAACTCCTCCGTCTCCGTCTGCAGAGGCCCGGCTGCGTGGAGAAGGCGAGGCGAACGCTCAGAGAGCCCACCGACGTGACTTTGGAGGAGTACATACCCGACAGGTTCCTCTGCTCCGGGGGCTCCTCAGGGTACCAGGACGCCATCAGCTGTAAAGGTGCTCACTGCGCTTACAGCATCACGGCCGCCACTCTGACCGACACGGGATGCACAGCGGTTGCACTTCATCTCTTTCTTTGTGCACAGGCGACTCGGGTGGATCCCTGTTTCTGCAAAAGAGAAATCGCTACTTTCAGGTCTGCAAGGTTCTTTACTCATTAAAGCTTCACGGGGCGCGCCGGGTGCGGCATGACATTTCTCCCGCCTTTTCGTCTCCAGGTGGGAGTCTTGAGCTGGGGCACGACGAACGTGTGCGACTCCCCCGGCAGGAGAGCGCACAGCAGCTTGAGGCCGCCCCCGGACGCTCGGGACTTCCACATCGACCTGTTCGCGGTGATGCCGTGGCTGAAGCAGCGGCTCGGGGGGGAAGTCCAGTTCCTGCCCGACGTCGACTGAGGACGTCCAGAAACGGCCTCGAGTAAGAAGCAGTAACGCAGTGCAGAACTCAACAGAGCGCGTCTGCGAATGTGGGAATAATCATAGAGTGTGTTCTAAAACTTTATTGTAGAAAGGAATAACACTGATTTTTTTTCACTTGTAAAAGTTTGGAAGGTTTTTATCATCCGACAAAAGTTCCCTGAGCTGGATTCTTTGTCAAATCAACATGAATAAATGAGGTATAAATAATGGAAATTACTTTAAAGCAGGTCCAGTTACCATAAGCTGAAACAAACTTGTGTGTGTGTATTTTCCATCACTGCTGCTCATCAGTCGGATTTTTGAATTTGAAAGTGAAACGACCATCAGCCCTCAGAAAACTGCCGGTACAAGGTTTCTGATTGGCTGTCCTTGAAGTTCGGGACAAAGTGGATCTGGAGGATCTCGGAGAATCCCTCATCGAGAGCAGGAGCCACAAAGTGTTTCCTGTCCAGACAGAGAGCGGTTACTAGTAAGTCTGATGCAATATACATGAACGAAAGGTATCATTATGAAAATGCATTAAAACAGAATGCATTTAAGCCTCATTGCATCAAACGTGCTTACGTTAAGCTCAAATCACTCACTTGTAGCTGTGGAAAATCATGTCATTGACCTTGGCGTGCTTGACGTCTGACGGAACCATCTCCCGGAACTTGGGATGACAAAAACAACGACAACGTTTAAAAAAAAAAAGAAAAGAAATAAAAGGATAAACAGACCAAAGAGTGGCGAGCAGGAGGGGCCTACTCTGTTGTTGTGCTTGGCTCGCTCCAGAGAGGCCGAGAAGTGGAAGCAGCGGCACTGCACCCCTGCTGCCTTTGCAACGTCCACATATCTGGAAAAAGTATTGTTGTCACAAACAAAGATAGACAATAGATGCACGTACAAGCAGCAGGCAGGAGCATATCCAGACCACAAAACACAACAAGAGTACACAAAGTATTCCCTAAAGACACACATGTATTGATTTAAGAAGTGAACATGCGTTTTCGTTCCAGTTGCATAAAAAAAAAGAAAACACTGCAGCAATTTCTTTTGATGACAGTTGACTCTTAAACAGTGTGACAACAGTGAAATCACTAAACGCAGGAACACAAACTGCTTTACCGTTTGCGAGACTCTGCGTCCGGGTTCGTGTTGTCCACGGCGACGCTGCGGCCTTCTTTCACGGCGCGCTCACATGCTGAAACGCAGCTCTGCCACGAGCCGAGTGTGTCCTGATGCGGGAAAAATGGCAATGTCAGGTGGGTCTCGATGTGTCGGGAACTTTAAGAAAAAGGCCCCCGGCAATAAGAATAACTATCTTTGTATGTGTTTCTCATCATTGTTACAATACTACTATTCAAAGCAGTTGCACATTGTGTGTATCAAAAAGAAAAAGCTGAGTAGCATCAGTCAAAATCCTGAAGCCAAAATGTTCTGCGTGCGTTTATGATTAAAATCCACTCACCCTGTTGACGTACACGTAGCCTTTGGGAATGACGTGCGTGTGGAAGAAGGTGGATTTACCAGCTGCGCAGAAGGAAACGAGGCGGAAACAAGGTTAGTCGGTGGTGTCGGAGGGACGAGGGAACAGACGAGCGGACGAACCGTCCTTCATCTCTTACATGCAGGGTAACCCACGGCAACCAGGACCTCGGTGCTGCTGGAGGTGAGCGAGGCCGACGGGGGGTCGTACTGCCTGCAGGCGGAGTCGAGCTTCCTCTAGAAGTTTAGATAAAGGAAAAGATTCACGTTGTTTTTTTTGTTTTTTTTACACAATATGGAAAAAAAAGGAAAGATAAAGCAGAGAAGGGACGCTCGTGGTTCTCACGGGGTCAAAGTGAGGCAGGCTGTAGGGGGCGCTCTTCCAGCCCAGGAAGTACTCCTCTGGGGTGTGGAACTGTAGTCCAATGTTCAGAGCAAACTGGGAAAAAAAGAAAGAAAGAAAGGAAGCAAAGTTTTGCTCATCTTTTTTTCCATTAAAGTGTAATTTAGAAACATGAATTCACCTGCTGCCTCTCAATGACATTTACGACACACACACACACACACACACCACGAGTCACAGCAGAGGGGAGGGGCATTAAGCGTTGTTGGAAACACCGTATCAGTCTGTCTGTAAACACGGGGTGTTTGTCGCCAAGGCAACACCCACTAACGGACGTGGTCTTACCAGTCTGTCACTGCAGGAGAAATCCTTCTTCTTTCTTCCTGGAGCCCAGTTTTCCGGCCTGCCGGCAGCATCTGTGCACAGAGGTGGAGTGTGTGTTCATGTTTCTGTGTGAGTGTGTACTTCTCAAATTTTTATTACGCATTAGTAAGAGGATTATGCTTGTTGCATATCTGCACTTTGAAGAGTTAGTTTTAGGTTTTCATAGATTTCAGGTAGTTAGTTTTGGGGTTTAGGGTCACAGGACTGAGCTAAAAGTCTCCATATCAGACCACTGAGGCGCACGGGGAGTTCTTCACGCCCAAACTCGCTCACCTCCGACATAGAAAGTCTGCGTCTTGTCAATGGTCACGCCATCATTCGCCTGAGCAGCAAAGACACACCCGATGACACAGTTAATACTACTAGAATATACAGTGTATTGTCCGACACACAAAGAACTAAATGCCGGCTCTCATGACTCAGCTGAATTAGCGTGAACGGATCTTTGCTTTTGTTCTATCTGTCACTGTGCAAATGCTGTGTAGGGTGTGTGGCTCTTCAATAACACGGGTGTGTGTTTATGCGCCTCCACCGACATTCACCTTCTCACACAAGTGATCCCACATTCCCGTCACCGGTTTCCGGTAGATTCCCGGACTGGTTGACACGAACACCTGAGATGGAAAGAAAACTGTTCTGTTTTGAAAAGTAATCAGGAGAAAAGATGAGAGCTGAACCACAACACCACAAACCTGCACCGGCAGCTGCAGCTTGGCCAGGATCTCCTCCACTTTGGACCTGAAGACCTCCGGCTTCAGTTTGCCTCTGGCGATGCCCATCTGGTTGGTGAAGAACACCACCTGCAGGAGAGAAAGGGTAGACCAGGAAGCCGGGCCTCACGCTGCACACGTTTTCATCCCCTAGAAATCAGCGAGAGCCGCTGCCTTTGGCTCGTCCTCACCTTGTATCCTCTCTTGAGCAAGCTGGCCAGTCTGGGCTGAATCTCGTGGTACAGAATCCTGTCAGTGGAGCACAAAGGCCGATGAGTACCACGAAAGACCGGAGAGGGACAAAGGATTCTGAAAGGGAAGGAGCAGACGTACTTCCAGTCATCGGGCGCAGTGGGGAAGACTTTCCCGGACTTGGTGGTGATGATGCAGCCGTCAATGTCGAAGCCAGCGATCTGGGGGACAAGAGGAAAGAACAAGTGTTCCGGCTTTCACGCGTGAGACTACGCAGCACTTTAAATGTGTTAATGTGAAAAACCACAACGAGTAAATGTAGAACTTTACGAGCCGGAAAGGAAATTATCGTGCAAGTTAATAACTGAAGTTCGGCAACAGCAGCACTGAGCTGAAACCTCCACAACGGGGCAAATGAAGCCGCTCCCACCTTCTCGCTCGCTCTGACGCCGGCGGCCGTGTAAAGCATCAGACCGCCGACCTGCTGCCAGCTGCCCCTCAGACACGCGTTCGAGGAGGAGAAGGATGAAGGTCGGGGGCCGTTGCTCCTCTCTGTCAAAGACTCCTCCGCCAGCTTCTGCAGCTGCTTCAACTTTTCCTCCGCCATTCTCTCCTCTTCCTCCTCCTCCTCCTCCTCCTCTTGCTTCATTCGTCCACCTGTGGCTCCGTCGTCCAGCCTTTGACGCTTCACCTCAGGGTGTCCTCTCTCCGGACTCAGCTGTCTTTTAGATGACTTAAGGGGAAAAAGACGCAATTTCATACAATTTAAAAATGTTTGTCTTTGACTTCTCTTCATAATTATTACTTCTTTTTTTTTTAACATTACAGGAATAAGCAAATGCGATACATGACATAATACACTAAGCCAAAGTCACAACAACAAGGATTCACCCTCAAACTCGATCACAACACGGTTTACTTTTAAATAGTATTGCATCAAACTTCTAAACTTTAAACCTTTTTAGATGGATTGAGCAAAAATAATCAAGTTTGCGTACATTTAAAAAAGGGACAAACTCAATCTATCAGAGTTTTATGAAGATTTCTCTGTAGGAACAAGAGGCGCTGTTTTTTTGTCATTGGGCCACATTGTGCCTTAATGGGTGTCACCACAATAACCGTACACATGTGATACCTTCATGGGAGAGGTGGGGAAGAAATCCTTTAAACTGCGCTTGGGAACCCGACTGGACTGCGGCTCTTTTTCTTTGCCGTCTCTGCCTCTTGTCGTCTTATCGGCGGCTTTGAGGCCTTTCCGAGCGCCGCCGGAGGCCGCTCCGTTTGATTTGGGGCCGTAGTGCAGTTTGAACGGGTGGCTCTGGTTAACCAGGAAGAGGGTGCCTCCATGGGTGAGTTTACCGGACTGGCTGCGGCTCAGCTTCTCACCGTCCAGAAAACTGGGATTGGGACCCAGCTGTAGGAAGAAAAGAAAAAGCGGCATGGACATTGTTCTGATTCCTTCATGCATGCACGGTCCAGAGGGTGTTACATAACCAGCGCGCTGCCAACTATCAACGTCCTTCTTTTGCCGGGTGTGTCTGGTCTCCACAGGGAGACTGAGTCATAATACGGGGGCCGCTGAGCCGGGCTCCCTTGTTTGTCTTCATACCTGAGTCACAACAACATCCTGGTCTGCATAGCGAGCCACCACCTTCACTGAAAGACACAACGAGACACAATGGCCGTCACGGATACTCACAGACACCTGCTCACAGTTTCATTTTGAGCCGCTTTCTGGTATTTTAGAGACTAGATAACTAATCAAGAGCATTAATGAATGAATAATGAGCTCATATATTAATTACAAAAAGTTTGTTAATTCCACCATTTTATCTTTTTCTATTTTAAGCACAGCAAATCACTGAATCGCTGACTATTGTTTCATTATTAACTACTCAAATCCCCAAAACACAGCTCTAAATTGCTTAGTGGTCCGACCAGACTAAGCATTTATTTGTATTTATCAATTATTAAAATATGTAAGAAATGTTAAAACATTAGAAATGTTTTATATAGATAAACTCACTATAATATCAGAGTGTAATTCTTTAACTCTAAAGGATGCAAGATATTTTACGAAACGCCTTAGATGTTATTTGATTCTTCTGTGACTTAATAATCACACAACTCTTTATGCCAAAACAAACAGTTGACTCGGTCCTCGCGAGCTTTTGCTGTATTTTTCGCACTAATACAAATGATGCATTTCTGCAGAACCCCCTCACCCCCTCCCTCCCTCCCTCCCTCACCCTCACCCTGGTGCCGGGAACATTGCTTGTCGGCGACTCCGGTGTCCGGACCCCGGCCCAGAATCACCGCTCGTCCGTCCTCCAGAGGGACCCGAACCCCGGACGGGCCGAGCAGCGCGCACGACATCTTTTTGTGTGTTCTTGGGAACCCGAACGAATAACGCAGGAATAAGACAACGTTACTTTTCACGCACGAAGGAGTTCCGTTTATGTTACGAGCATGAAACGTTCCTACTGTTGGCCACAACTTCTTTGTGACTCATTTGGTCGTTAAGTGCAATAAACCGGAAAAGCCCCCATTTTGTGTTGCACCCGAGGTCCACCAGAAGAAAATAGGCTCGTTTGGAAACTATACTGTAGTTAAAAGGTTCCGCTCGTGACTTCGACTTTTCCGGGTTTTCGAACGATTCGCATAGTCTTAAAATCCTTAATAACTGCCAGAGAAAACCAAATCCACGTGGTAAAGTACATTTTATTTAATTAATTTCGGTGGGTTTTTATTAATGAAAATGCTGTTTCTTGATTGGGGAGTTTCGTGTTAGGATTGATGCGCAGTGGAGTGAAGTTAACCTGCCTAAAGCCTCAGCGACCATTTATAACTTGTCACTGACTTTGTTACTATAGAAACGTTTTTTTGTTTAGAATTATACTTTGGTTTGTTTGACTTAGATGCGACACTTACAGTGTTTAAGATGTGTTTGTACCGCCAGTATATCGTGTCCTCCTCTAAACATGGAAAAATGTTGACTACCCAACAGGTTGAGCAGGTATCACATCCAGGGTGTAGTCACACACTTAACGCCATTGATGTTGGAACCTGGGCTTCAGTCACTGGAGTCCCTCCTCCTTTTGTTGTTGTCCGCGGACTAGTCATTGCTCTTCTCACTCTCGTTTCACTCCTCTCTTCTGTCAGATAGTCTTCCTTGGATTACCTGTGTGGGAAACTGTTTTACAATACAGGCAGTAGGACAACTTGACTTTCAGGTAAAACCCTTAAATACCTGTTGCCTTAATTTGTTGTTTGGTTGTAATGAAAACTGTGTAAACTCTCAGGCTCCTGTGGTGTCAGTTTTGAGGAAACTGGAATATTTTTGCTCACTGACAGCGACCAAGTGTTTCAACATTTATTTAACTGCAATCACCTCAAATCAGCTTTGACTTCACACTCCTCTACAGCGTCTTTGTCCGATCTTCAACCAGGCCATGGAAAATACACATGAAGCGGACTATATGTCCCTGATGAGAGGCTTGAGGGAGCTGGACCTCCGTGGCCCCTGTGTTCCCAGTGACCTGGTGCTGACTGGAGACCACGCTTTTCCTCTAGCGATGAACAGCAAAGGCCAGGTCCTGATGGCGGCCTCTCTGTACGGCCGCGGCAGGGTCGTGGTCCTGGGTCATGAGGGCTACCTGACGGCCTTTCCCGCTCTGGTAGAGAACGCTGTGACCTGGCTGAGAGGAGAAGGGTCCGACAACGTGTCCGTGGGGATCCACAAACAGATCAAGGGAGTCGCCGATAACCTCAGTAAATCCAGCTTCCAAGTCTCAGTTGTCGGGGCCTTCAGTGAGAACCGGGAGGTCGGCGTGTACGTGACGGACGCCTACAGCGTCGAAGCAGACGGGAAGGAGCTGGTGGCTTTTCTGAAAGCTGGAGGAGGAGTGCTGATAGCGGGGCAAGCGTGGCACTGGGCTAAAGCGCACCCAAAGGAGAACACGCTGCTCCAGTTTGAAGGGAATAAGGTGTGTGGTGTGGCAGGGATCTACTTCTCCCACCATCCTGGTCAAACAGAGTGCCTGCCCGTCTACCCACAGATCCCGGCCTCCTGGATGGCTATAGTGTGAGTGCACACTTTTAACCCGCAATCCACGATTTATGGTCGTAATATTAAACATATGCTAATATCGTTTTATTTTGCCGTAGCTGTTTTTCTAAATAATGGTTAAGTGTTAGGCTGCATAGACCAGGTTAGATCCACGCCATGTTTCTCCTGTACTACCTATACTAATATACAGTATCCGTCAAAGGTTTGGACACATCTAATTAATCAATTCAATATGAAAGTGGTTCCAAACTTTTGACTTGTACTGCATATATATATATTAGTAATATCAATGCATCACATTCGGTTCTTTCTACTTTTATCTATTTGAGTCTCTTTGAGACATAAAATAAGTAGAAGAGTTCTTGCCAGCTTGTCTTGCTATGGCGTGAATTACCGTAAACATTGTAATGTTCAGTCGTCAAGTCTGATATGTAGAGTGAACATTTAGATCTACATTTAACATTTACATTTAACATATATTTAGATTTAACATTTAGATTTAGATTTAACATTTACATTTAACATTTAGATTTACATTTACATTTAACATTTACATTTAAACATTTAGATATAATATTTACATTTAACATTTATATTTAACATTTACATTTAACATTTAGATTTACATTTAACATTTAGATATAGCATTTACATTTATATTTAATATTTACATTTAACATTTAGATTAACATTTACATTTAACATTTAGATTTACATTTAACGTTTACTTTCCTCTTTGAAATGCAGAATCGGAAAGGATTTTGAGGATGACTTGGAGTTCTTACTCCAGGGGGTTTCAGACTTCGACCTCCAAGGTAATATTACAGCTTCTGAGATTCTGGTTCACGGCCCGCTGGCCTTCCCCATCGGGACCACAGAGGGTGGACAAGCGTTCCTGGCAGGAAGCTACTACGGGCAGGGACGAGTCATTGTGATCACACATGAAGCCCTCCTGGGACGAGAGGTAGAGATCAGACTTGTTTAATGTGCAATGTTTGCATTCGTAAGTTAAATACTAAGATAATAATCAAGTAGGCCACGTGTGTCAGAGTCTTTTTATAATGATTTGTTTTGCAGTTACATATTAACGTGCAGTGGGATGTTTCTAAATAGTTGTGAGTTGTCTGTTGACCTGCCTGTCTTGTAATAAATTCCTTCATCGCAGACAATGGCTCCATTCTGGAAAAATGCTCTTCATTGGCTGGATGAAGGTCGGCAGGGAGTCGTTGGTGTCAAGCCAGATGTCCCCATCGATGTTCTCAGCAAGTCAGGGTTGCAGTGTGAGAAGACCAACTTCAGGGACGACCTGAGTGTATTTGTGTGTAAAGCGTACAGCGATGATCTCAAGGAGAAAATCCAAAACTTTGTGGCAGAGGGAGGAGGCCTGCTGGTCGGTGGACACGCCTGGTGGTGGGCACAGTCGCACCCCGGACAAAACGAAGTAACGGATTTCCCAGGTACGAGTCGTACCATAACCCACTCAGCTCATCCCACGAAACACCTACATAATGCATGCTCAGCAAAAATGACTCGTATCAGGGACATCCCTTCACGATGCCGTTCACATTTGCAGCCATAAGCACATGGTGTACAGGAATAAGTGATGGGATATATTATATGTCAGGTGTTAGAAAAGATAAACCAGAGACCATGAGGCTCATGATCAATCAGAGAGCTGAGGAATCGCCAGGTCATCTAAAGGCAAAAGTGTTTAGACTTAAAAGTCATATCCGGTTTGCTTGAACGTCTTCCAGGGAACACGATGCTGAACGTGATGGGCTTGAGCATCCTGGGGAAAACCGTCGGTGGTGGTTCACACAAGGCCCCCGAGCCGAGCCAGGCCATCAAAGATTCCTACCACTTCCGCCACCTCCTGCGCCGCTTCGCCAGCCACGTGTCTCACGGCGGGGAGCTCAGCAAGCACGAGGAGGAGAACCTCCAGAGGCTGGGCTCAGACTGCGTCACCTACCTGCGCATGAAAGCTCACGACTGCCCCTCCTACAAACAGGTGCTGTCCACCCTCACTGAGATCATGAAGATGTCAAGCATGCCTCAGGTCAGTGGGCAAAAACACCACGAGAACTTTGTTAAATGGTTCCGATAGAGCAGCGCAAAGCTGACGTCCAGCCAGATGTGTCCCGACAACTTCTTTTGGTCATTTGTCTTTCCAGGCGTCTGACCACTGTCCCGTGAACAGTCCCAAAGACCACCTCCTCCTCAGTGTGGGCACAGAGGTGTACAAGGTTTGCCCGGATCCCGATGCCCTGCTGCCCTACCTCATCAAGGATAACCCCTTGATGCCGGTCGTCTACAACCACAGAGTCAAGATCAACGTCAACACGACAGGTCGGCCCTGAGGACAAACTCGAAAACTGTTTATCACTGTTTATAACGTTTTTAAGTTATTTCCTCTTTCACGCCGACGATACCACGGTTACACTACTTCCCTTGAGGGGAACATGTCACACTCACCATCGGCAACCTGTCAGGGCGGCTTGACCGCATGCCACACCACAATCCTGTTAAGTTTGTGTGTGTGCGCGTGTTTTCCAGGAGGACATGAGTGGATCAGTACAGGGGTCTACCTCTCACCCGGTATGAAGACCTACGTTGCCATTCCAGCAGAGATTGTCAACAAAGATTGGAAGGTACTCTTCACAAATAAAGAATTGTGTACGTGTTAATATTGTGCCCCACTAGTGGAGGTCCAGCCCTCTCCTTGCACAGCCATTGTCCCTGTCCAGTGAGTGAAATGCCCAGCAACAATGAGGGAGGAGGATGTGGGGGGGTACTCATGTACACGAGCACACATGTTCAAACCCGACACACAGACCTTGCTCTCCTGGTCCAAGAAGGCGAGAGACAATCAGTAACACACGTTCCTCCTCAGATCCAGATCGGCTGTCAGACGGACCGCCTGACGGAAGGAGTATTGAAGAGAGCGCCGTGTGTTCACGAGCATTTCCCCGTAACCTCTGAGATGATGCAGGTGTGGAACCTGTGGGGGGGGCTAATGTACCTGGTGGTTCCACCCAAAACCAAGGTGGAGGGGTTAGAAGTCATCGTGCAGATGGCCGTACCTGCGCCTTACTATAAATCCGGTGAGTCTGTGGTGGGAGACACTGGTATTCGTCTTCGGATGTGTAAATCCTCATGGGGGGTAAATGGTCGACGTGTGGGGATTGATGGTTGACATGGTTAACAATGCTGGGACAAGTGAATTGTATTCAGTTTACCAGGTTTCCATTGAATTGCGTAATTTCTCAGGTTTCTAAACACGTCTGTTTCTTCCTTTCAGGCGTGACCACAGCTGCCGAATGGTCGCTGCTGCGCTCCGCCCCCTCGCCTTGGGCAGAGCTGGAGTTTGAAAACATCATCCTCACGGTGCCATCGGAGGTCGTCCGGAGCCTGGACCGCCCCGATGAGTTGGCGGCCCTTTGGGATGAGATCATGAGGGCCATCGCCGACCTGGCGGCCATACCACACAAATTTCCTCGCAAGGAACGCTTTGTAGCAGACGTGCAGATTTCCCATGGTTAGTTGTATTTGGCCCTTATACTCTTTTTTCTGTTTTTGCTTTATCCCGGTTAAAATCACAAGCTTGCATCCACTTGCAGTACGATTTACTGTAAATGACTGTAAATAAAAAATAATGACATACACAGTACTACAATGTTTCTATGCCATAAATATGCCTCCTTAAAGATCCGTTGCTATGACGCTGTTTTGTACAGGTTGGATGCATGCTGGTTATCCCGTCATGGCGCACAAGGCCTCAGCAACAGAGCTGGTCGACGCTGACCACATGAGGACCCAAGGCATGTGGGGGCCTATCCATGAACTGGGGCACAACCAACAGAGAGGCTGCTGGGAGTTTGCACCACACACCACGGAGTGCACGTGCAACCTGTGGTCGGTGTACGTGCATGAAGAGGTGCTGGGCATCAACAGGGAAAAGGTGGAGTCATTGTATATGTATTGTGACATATTTTTATGCCAATAGATGTCACTAAAGACGCTCGCTTTTGTTTGAGAAAAGGGTTTATCTTTTCATTTGTATGACATCGTTTATCAATCATATGATTTCCCCTTGTTCAACGCAGGCTCATCCAGCTATGACTTTGGAAAATCAGAAAAAACGAGCGGCGGACTTCGTGGCGGGGGGCAGGGACCTCGGCAGCTGGTCAATGTGGGTGGCCCTGGGCACGTACATGCAGGTGAGAGATGATTGTACAAAACCCCCCAGAAAAATCTATGATAATAATCAGAAAGATAATGATATGAAATAAGGGAAGGCAGAAACCTGTGTTTGCCACATACTGTATCTTGTTTTATGCAAAATTCCCAAGAAAAATAGAAAAAATTGGAAACCATTAGCAAAATAGAAATATTCAAAAATAATTAAATAAATGTAAAAATATATTCAAAACATATTACAGATATATTCTGGAAAACAATTCTAAAATATATAGCCACATCTTTGTTTTCTGAAATTCCGAGAAAAACAAAAAAAAGTTGAGGAAACCAGAAAGTATAAATTGTGCTGATGAAGTCAGGTCAATGTCTTGATGCTAAATCGACTCAACTTTAATGCTCATTACACACAAAACTAAAATGCTGGATGGAAAAATGAAGACAACAATGCAGGTTTCCCTTAACCTCTGACTCCTTCTGTGCAGCTCCAGGAAAGGTTTGGCTGGGATGCCTTTAAGAAGGTGTTTGCTGCCTACCACCTGATGACCACCTTTCCTAATGACAACGAGGGAAAGATGAACCTGTACGCTGAGACCTTCTCCCAGGCTGTGGGGATGAACCTGTCTGCGTTCTTCAAGGCCTGGGGCTGGCCCATACAAACAGCCACTGAGGAGAAGCTCTCCATGCTGCCTCCATGGAGTGACCACCCCATGGTCCAGTATGACTGAGCTTCAAGCTGCTGCTTATTCAAATTGCAACAAGCTGGGTGGTGGTTTATGGTTGGGAGAGCATTTACATAACTGGGTTTTTTTTTCCTGACGACCAAAGTTATTGCATTCAACATCTAGTGGGCTAGATCTTTTCTTTCTGCTTCGTTCCATACGTCTTAACTGCTCAGCACTAACTCTGTAACCGATGCTGTACACACAAGTTATTATAAATTAGTTATAGGGTGCAATATACAACATTCAGAGGCCCAAACCAACAGCGTGGAAATATAACACAGACCTTACACACATTCTTTAATGCTTCTACTGTTGTACTTATTATTCAGAGTAAAGTCATCCTTTATAAGATCACATGTTTGCCTTTACTGTCCATTGAAAAGACACTAATAAACATTTGATGCAACCCTCTGCTATTTTTTTGTATTCATTTCGTATTCCAAAGCAGATTTAAAGGCACAGAAATTCTTTTTGATTTTTGTGGACCAACTGAATCTAGAAATAAAACAGACTTAAAAATTAGCAATAAAGTATGTACATTGTCCACTTTTATATTAACCGCTTTGCATGACTTAAGACCGAGATGAGAGTTCAGATATTTCTCCTGGTCTGCAGCCTCCCGTACTGTAGCTGCCCTGCAGTCACTATGCCAACATTCCGGAACAAACAATTTTTAAATAGCAGCAACTGTTAAGGAAAAAACTAACAAAAACAAATGTCTTTAATCACACTTATTATATACCTTTTCATTACCATGTTTTTACTACAGCAACAGCTTTGGTCGCATTTTTCTTCTCGTCAGATTCGTTGAAGGGTAATCTGGAGAGGTGCACTTCTTATTTGACGGTACAGAAACAACCAGTTTGTGTGTTGTGAGTTATTAGATAGAACCATGTCTGTATCATTTTGAAATGAACATATTGTATATGTACGCCATTTATTAATGTCCACATGACATCCATAGTGTAATATCCATCCTGGGTAAAGTATCTCTGTCTATTGGTCCTTTAACAGACTTCTTCCGTATTTAATCCTCCATTTAATGCTTTTGCGCATCCCACACGTCCTTCGCGTTGCCCCTTGAAAATTTGCCTCCTTCGCGACCTGTTGCGTCTCTGCATTGACTTTGCATGGAACACTTTTGGTGTGAAGGCAGAATCAGAGGATGAATGTGTTATGTGATATCCCATAATGTGTTACTTGAGGAAGCTTCCGACCAAAGGTGTAATCATGAATTGAGACATGCATTGAGGGTAGGGTAGGGTTTCGTTCGCTGAGCGAGGGATTCCAGCTTCGGTCACCAGGTGGAGCCAGATGGAGGTAATAAAAGGCCCGGGCGTGGACGACCGGCAGCGGTGACTAAACTGGTTGTCTGTGCAGCCAATCGCAAAACGGCTGCAAAATACACACACCCCGCGAGATACAAAAAGGGACAGTCCAGCACAGCAAAGACAGAAAGTTCCGAAGATCCGGATTTGTTGGTCAGATAAGACTGGGTAGATTCTCCATTTCGCTAAATATTACACTATTAATAGCGCAATTCCTTTTGTAACTTTATTTGCTTCGGTTAGTTATTAAATCATTTTTTATTTTTAAACTCAAGGAGGCTCAATCTTTGACTTTGTATTAGTGGCTGAGTGGAAGGTAAGATACATTTTTCTCTTGTGTTTGAAAATCGATTACTAGAGTACATTTGTGTGAGCATTTAACAAAGTGACCTCTCTTGGAAACTGTGTCCTTGCGCATTAACTAAGTGAACTACATTCAGGACCGAAACTGAATCACAGATGGGACATGTTTTATTAAAGCAAAAAGGTAGGAGAAGCTGTACTTTATCATACAATAATATAACAGTTCAAGGGCGTTTGTAGACCCGACGCGTAGCGGACAACAACACCCTTGAACTGTAACATTATTAGCCTCTCATACGTAATTGCTTTAATAAATAATCACAAACGAGCTTAAGATACTTTTGATTTCTCAAAAGGACATTATCCACTAATATACCCCACACAAAGCATATTTGATTGATATTTTAGAACAAACAAATAAATGGTTTTCGTTGTCGCCCACGTGCAGGCTTTTTCTAACAGTAGTTTCCTGCTCAGTCGAAGGCAGTGGCGGCTGGTCCATAGACGGTAATGGGGTGTGGCCCCACCTTGAGCCAAAAAATACATTTTAATAATAGTCAATATGTGTCTGTGTGTTTGAAACATGGAATGTTCCCAGTATTGTTTGTAAATTAAAATATCTGCGCAAAATATGCTTTTCCTGCACTTCCTCTCGCCATGTCTCAGCTGGGCTCGGGCCACGTCCCAATGCGGTGGGTCTAAGAAGCAATATAGCAAATCACTGACTAAAGTTAATAAGTGACCACCGGTACCACGGGGTGTAGTTATTGACCCAAGGACTAGTTATTAAAAAAATACCATGGACCCATGACCAAAGCAAACAGTCCAAGGCAAAGGATTCACCCAGAGTACAACATTTATCTGTCTTAAAATATATCAATGATACAAAACAATTAATTAAAGCAATTCCGTCAGCTCTGGGAATGTAGTAAAAAAACAACCAAAAGGGTTTTAAGGAACAAATTGGGTGCTATTGTTGGCTCGAAACAAAACAAAATACCGTCAAACGGAAATAAAGAACAAACACAATTTTGTGTGAAATAACCCTCTGGAGGAAAAAAAGATAAATAAATAAACACTAGAAATGAACAAAAAGGTAAACTGGGTCCGACTCTGCCCAGTGACCTTTCTGTGTGGAGTCTACATGTTCTTCCCGTGTCTGCGTGGGTTCTCTCCGGGTACTCCGGCTTCCTCCCACAGTCCAAAGACATGCTATGGGTATCAGGTTAATTGGTATTGTTAAATGGCCCGTAGGTGTTGGATGTGAGTGTGAATGGTTGTTTGTCTCTGTGTTGGCCCTGCGATTGGCTGGCGACCAATCCAAGATGTACCCCGTCTCTCGCCCCGAAGTTGGCTGGGATAGACCCCGGCACCCCCACGACCCTGTGTGCGGAATAAGCAGTTTGAAGATGGATGGATGGATGGATGACATAATGCAGAATTGGTCTCCGTGCCACTGTCAAAAATTCATGCATCATCCCACAAGCTGATTGCAATTCTTTCTTTTCCCACAAGACCGTCGGAAAACCCACCAAGACAACTTACCTCTGACTCAACACTCCTGCATCCAACCTTCTGCTCATCCATCCATCCCACGATGTCCACCCAACACACCCAGTACAAGGCTCTGATGAGGGGGTTGAAGGAGCTGGACCTCCATGGCCCCTGTGTTCCCTGCGAGCTGGTGCTGACTGGAGACCACGCTTTTCCTTTAGCGTTGAACAGCAAAGGCCAGGTCCTGATGGCGGCCTCTCTGTACGGCCGCGGCAGGGTCGTGGTCCTGGGTCACGAGGGCTACCTGACGGCCTTTCCCGCTCTGGTAGAGAACGCTGTGACCTGGCTGAGAGGAGAAGGGTCCAACAACGTGTCCGTGGGGATCCACAAACAGATCAAGGGAGTCGCCGATAACCTCAGTAAATCCAGCTTCCAAGTCTCAGTTGTCGGGGGCTTCAGTGAGAACCGGAAGGTCGGCGTGTACGTGACGGACGCCTACAGCGTCGAAGCAGACGAGAAGGAGCTGGTGGCTTTTCTGAAAGCTGGAGGAGGGGTGCTGATAGCGGGGCAAGCGTGGCACTGGGCTCATGTGCATCCTGAGGAGAGCGCAATTGTACGCTTTCCAGGGAATAAAGTGTCAGCTGTGGCTGGGATTTACTTCACCACGCGCTATGGGGAGGTAGAAATCCTGCCTGTTTCCTCAGAGCCCCCATGCTCATGGAGGGCTTTAAGGTAAGTGAATACTCCTCTGCTATTTCAATTGTCATCATTTACAGAGTAGTATAGAGTTTGACCACATCAAATACATCGCATTGTTTTGGATGATGAGCAGGTTTTATACGCAAAAACTTGGATACGGATGATTGACGTCAGTTAACTTTGTAGATTCTTCTCCCGGTCCACCCTTCAACCTTGGTGTCTCAATCTCTCCCTCCTTTCTTCCCTAACGTAGTGTTGGTAAGGATTTTGCAGATGACCTGGAGTTCTTACTCAAGGGCGTTTCAGAGTTTGAGCTCACGGGGGATATTTTAGCTTCCGAGGCTCTGGTCCACGGCCCGTTGGCGTTCCCCATCTGTACCACCGAGGATGGAAGTGCGATCCTGGCAGGAAGCTACTATGGGCAAGGACGAGTCATTCTGATCACACATGAACAGCCTCTGGAATTAAAGGTCAATGGATGTTCTTTGACATTCTTTCTATGAACAGAAATCATTCTTTATCAGTTAAATTGAGCAACGTATTAAACATTTTTTCATTACAGGGACTGGCTTCATTTTGGAAAAATGCCATTGGTTGGCTGGACCAAGGCCGGCGGGGGGTGGTCGGTGTTGCGCCTAACCTCCAACTTCAATGGGAGTCAGGGTTGAAGCACGAGAAGACGGAGTTCAGGAAAGACCTGAGTGTGTTTGTGTGTAAAGCGTACAGCGATGATCATAAGGAGGAAATCCAAAACTTTGTGGCAGAGGGAGGAGGTCTGCTGATTGGTGGACACTCGTGGTACTGGACACAAGAACATGCTCCGCAAAACCCAATGACAGATTTCTCGGGTATGATGATGCAAAGAAGCTGTATAATACGCTTTCCATTTCAACACCGATATAGATTACATATATATATATGTAAATATATATCTGCTGAGCCCATCCATGCTGATATTGTAGTGGACTGACACGTATCATCCACATGTTAATACAGCCCCACATAATGATTTCATCAACGCTAAATATGATTGTTTATCAGTGATAAAGTACCTCTTCATTTATAAAAAATAATGTGTATTTCCATGGAAGCTTTTTGAATTGGAATCATTTTGGACCCATAAAGGTTTCTGGTCGTGGAAACTCTAAAGCTAAACCTCAGGGATTATTGTCGTTCCTTATCAACAGGCTACAGTTTGAGCACATGGACACCAGTTAGACTATTTTGAAGTTTTAATTCTGGCTACCAGCATATCAGGTGATATTTCCTTTAACTGTGTTACAGGAAACAAGATCCTGAACAAAATGGGCCTGAGCCTGTCACCGGAAATCATCCGTCAAAAGTCCTACAAGGTCCCTTCGCCTTCCAAGACCAACAGTGACACCAACCACTTCCTCTCTCTTCTACGTCGCTTTGCTGGTCATGTTACCCAGGGTGAAAAACTCAGCAAGCATGAGGAGGAAAAGCTTGTGAAACTGGGCGATCATTGCATAAGATTCTTGAACATGAAAGCCTACGGCAGCTACAGCTACACCCAGGTGCTGTCCCTCCTTACCGACATGTTGAAGTCCACAGGCATTCCACAGGTGGGTCACAAATTACCTTAGGGCCCATGATTTAATATATATGGGGTCTTGAATGTATTCTCCTTTGTGGTTGATATGATATTTGTGTCAAACACATATTAATATATTTGTACTTACAAAACAGAAGTAAGAGTACATCGGCTACAACTACGACGCAATTGGTAATAGTAGTAGACCGCTCACCAAAGATTTGACTAGTGCAAAAATAAATGGTGAGAATCAGTAGTAGTAGTAGTGTTGCAGGGTATGCTACCAGAGTAACATGGCGGAATGAAGACGCCAGCTACCGGCTAGATAGCTAGCTTGATAATTTTTCGATACTTAAATGCTCCACTGAATTGCCCATTTTAGTTTTTGTCACTCCTCAGTCCTTTTGGTTAGAACTAAGCTAGAACTCACAGCCTTCAAAACCTGTCGGCTGTCAACCAATGCGGTTGTGATGCACGGATCCGTTTTAAGAATTTTCATGTTCATTTTATTTAAAGGTGGGTTTGAAGAATCCTGTGGAGAAACCCAAAGACCATCTCCTTCTCTCTATAGCAGCGGAGGTATATAATGCGTCCCCAGATCCCGATGCCCTTCTGGCAAAGCGAAACCAAAAGCTCAACATTAACGCTGACACAACAGGTCTGATCTCACCATTTGAACAAATGTGTTAAGTGATGGATACTGTTAAATCCCTCTTGTTGCTGACACGGACCTTTTGCTAATTGTTATTCTTGAAGAGAGGACGTGGATCAGCACCGGCCTGTACCTCTCTCCTGGTATGAGGACCGAGATGATCATACCAGCAAACATTGTCAACAAGAACTGGATGGTACGGTACTCATAATCAAATAACAACTGAGCACACTATGTTTTTTTTAAACTCTTTTGGAACATCGAATCACAAATGTGTCTTAATTATTGAAAAAGCAGTCACACTCATCTCACGTCTCCCTCAGATCCAGATCGGTTGTCAAACTGACTACCTGCGTGACAAAACGTTGAAAAGAGCCCCGAGTGTTTGTAGGCACTTTCCTGTAACCTCAGAGAAGATGCAGGTGTCAAACCTGTGGGGCGGACTCATATACCTTGTGGCTCCACCCAACGCGAAGGTGGAGGGGGCGGAGGTCATAGTGCAGATGGCTGTGGCTGCTCCTTATTATAAGTCTGGTGAGTGTGTCTCTGTGAGGACACTAATGTACATCATGCAGCAGTATGAAAAATGGGAGTTTAATGAAGTAAACAGACACAAATAGACCATTAAAAAAACTTTTTAAGGGCAATTTTTATAACAAACTGCGCTCATTATTTACTTTACTGCATCGTCTTTGTTGCCTAAATGTTAAGCAACAATGCAGTAAAGTTTATGATGACTCGGGGTTCAAAGTCCAATATATAATTTCCGATAACGTATTGAACAAAAGCCCACTACTATTTTATTTTTATGTAGTTTTTCAAACTATTAGTTTTTGGCACAAAGACATCATGCTGTATTTACAGTCTGCCTACATTGGAGTTTTTGCAGCAATTCAAAGCTTTGTTCTCTAACCTTGACTCTTTGCTGGTTTCAGGCGTGACAACAGCAGCTGATTGGTTACTGCTGCGCAAAGCTCCTTCACCGTGGGCAGAGTTGGAGTTTGACAACATCATCCTCACTGTACCATCAGAGGTTGTCCGGGACCTCGAGGGCATTGACGACCTGGCGGCTCTTTGGAATGACATCATGAGGGCCGTTGCAGATCTGGCTGCCATACCCCACAAATTTACCCGCAAAGAACGCATCGTAGCAGATGTGCAGATTTCCCATGGTAAATGTGTTTTGCCGTCGCATACCCACAAATTCAGTTGAATGATGCCCTGGTTAAAAGGTACATGGCAGGCTAATGCCAATGATCGAATGTAACTTTTGCTCACTGTCTGTGTTATTAACGTCTCTCTGTCCAGGTTGGATGCACGCAGGGTACCCTGTCATGGCGAACTCGGCTGTAGCAGCTGATCTGGTCGGACCAAGAGACGCCAGGACCAAAGATATGTGGGGGCCCATCCATGAACTGGGACACAACCAACAGAGAAGCCGCTGGGAGTTCCCACCACACACCACAGAGTGCACATGCAACCTGTGGTCTGTTTATGTGCATGAAGAGGTGCTGGGAATCAGCAGGGAAGAGGTGGAGTTAGTTAGTTAGTTAGTTTTGTCTTGGATATCACACATTTCGTTTGTTTTTCTGTGATGGCCTTATATCTCTGTCTGGTTTACATGATATTATTATGACTTCTTCATTGCAGGCTCATCCGCATATGACCGTAGAATATCGCAAGACTTTAGTCGACACGTATGTTACAGGAGGGAAGAAGCTCAGCGACTGGAATATGTGGGTGGCCCTTCAGACATACATGCAGGTGAAAGAATTACTGTATTTTAAATTCGGTAGAGAAGCTAGGCTTGGGTCACACAGGAGTCCACATGTACCTAGCATCGAAACCCACAGACACCGAGTTATTTTAAGAGAGTTACTGTATATTGCTTGGTAAGTAACTGAGAGTTTGGTTTCCAATTTTGCTATTTTGGGATCAGAGCTAAAGAAATGTTTGGTCAGATGAATTTACCAATTTGAAAAAGTGATTTTGAGTTGATAATTGAGTTATTATTCAGAACTTATACATCCAACAGTTTACATGCATCCAAACAAAAAGGTATTTCCTAACCCGCTCATGAACTTTCATTCCGCCACTAACCCACTGTTGCTTCAACGTTTCCCTCAACCTCTGACTCTTTCCGTGCAGCTCCAGGAAAAGTTTGGCTGGGATGCCTTTAAGAAGGTGTTTGCTGCCTACCACAAGATGACCACCTTTCCTAAGGACAACGAGGGAAAGATGAACCTGTACGCTGAGACCTTCTCCCAGGCTGTGGGGATGAACCTGTCTGCGTTCTTCAAGGCCTGGGGCTGGCCCATACAAACAGCCACTGAGGAGAAGCTCTGCATGCTGCCTCCATGGAGTGACCACCCCATGGTCCAGTATGACTGAGCTTCAAGCTGCTGCTTATTCAAATTGCAACAAGCTGGGTGGTGGTTTATGGTTGGGAGAGCATTTACATAACTGGGCTTATTTTTCCTGTCGTCGTATTTGCATGACAGAATATCAGCACTCTTTAAAGCCAACTCAAAAAAAAGACTCAAATTCCAGTTCATGAAGGCTTTACAAATGAATGATTTTCTATAGCAGCTAAAAGGTTTTTCAGAAACTATAAAATCATAAGAGTCATATTACTTCTAATAGTTTTAGATGTTTCCTTAGTTCACTGTTCTTTTCATTCATAATTTGCTTTAAAGGTGTAAAAGATACCCTGCTCTATGTACTTAAACATTGATTCCTGTTACTGCTTCTTCTGTATGTGTTTTTTTACATATTAACAATGGGTTGGTTCATTTTTTTGATGCATTCTCTAATTGGATCAATATATTCAACATATAAGTAAAGGACTTTGTGATACAGGCTTTGTTTGTAAGACAGAACCTTGTACACACCTTGCCTTTGATTTCAATAAAAGAAACACAAACAATTCATTTTTTTCTTCAATTCATTCATTTTAGATTTATTTGTCGGTTTTCATCATTCCTCTTACATCCCTCACGCCCTACAATTGTTGTAAAACAGTGCCCCCACTGGCGAGTTGGAGAACTGCTGGAGGAATTCTCCCAGTTCGTTCAGTGAGAGCTGCTCCACCCGGTTGGCCTGCGTGTTCCTCGCCGTGGCACCGCCGCTCTGAATGGGTACGCCATTGTTGTCCACGCAGCAGTAGGCGTTCCACAGGTAGTCCGGGATGTTGACCCGCCTCACGTTGTTTTTAACGATCCAGTTGTCTGTGGAGGGAACGGCGCCAACCAGCACGAAGGCCTCGGAGCACGTGTCCCGGTAGAGGTCAGTGAGCCGGGACTCGTAGATCCTCCAGGCGTCCTGGTTCAGCTTGGGGTTCTGAGGAACCACGTTGGTCAGGGTGAACGTGGCGTTGCGGCTCGGGACTGTGAGAGTAGTTGGGCATTACAGGAAGGTACGTCCAGTCAATGGTTTAAACTCCCCCACGTTCAACCTCCGTTACCTGCGTGGTGTCCGTTTGGGTTGAGGTGACCACGGTCGAAGCCAGAGTGCGTGTAGTCCTCATTCAGGGCCTGTCTCTCCCCTTGGTAGACCCCCGGGTGGTCCTTCCCCAGCCAGTAGCCATCCTTCATCTCGGCTTGCCAGGACACGTCCACTAGCTGTAAGGCAACAACCCCATGGCGTAAAAAGTAAAACAACAAACAAGCAAAAACAGTAGAACAGTAAAAACAAACCTGAGGCTCTACGAACCACCTTTTCTCCCTCCCTCCCCCGTTGCTTGGCTGGAATTTATAGGCAGCATAGACGGCAATACGGTGGTTAGTGTCATACAGGGTGGCAAAGTGGTACCTGGGGGATCAAAGCGGAAAAAATTAGGTGTAAGTAACATTTAACGGTGCAAAACGCCACTTGGGTTTTCTTCTCCACATCGAAGTGCTCTTGTGAAGTTCTACTTATGATGCTGTACATAAACCACATTGCAAAAGGACTGATTTATTTTCCTACCTGTTGCTGAAGCGATGACATAGACGCGCAGCACCGGGTGTAGAAGCCCCCCACTCCGGCACCTTCTCTTTATAGAAGTACTCCATGCATTCTGGCACATCCTGGGACAAATAACACAACATGTCGGTCTTCTGAGGGAGTCACATGTGTAACACACACGGATGAGATTTCTGAAAAGTTTTAAACTGAAGTGGGATTAGTTCACAAACCTGAAAGCGTTCCACCACGTCCGCATGAACAGAAAAGAAGAGCGAGAGAAGAGCGAACAAATTTACCAGAGTTTGCATCTTGGACTAAACTTTTGGTATCGAGGATCCTTGACTGTCCTGCAGAGTTCGATCAAATACAATAGAACCTGATTATTATTTAACAATGCACTGAAGGTAGTCTACTGGGACGGCTGTCCTTGCCCGCGTAAGACCGTTGTTTGTATTCCAACTCACCGCCCGGTGCACCCGTCCGTCGTCCTTCCTGAGCAGAAACTGTTTTTTTATGTGTGACTTGTCCTTTTATCTGAACTCCTGCTGACACGTGACACTTGTGTGCAGGTAAACACAAGTCGCTCAGCGCGTACGGTGCAGTGGTGGATGAGCAACATCGAGTGGGATAAAACCGTAGATATCCCGGTGGAATAAGTGGAGGACGCCACATGGCATCTGTATGTAAGGAGGATGTTTTGTGTGTTGACCGACTGCAACATAACAGTGAAGAACAAATAGATACGTTGATGATAATGCCACTTTTACTTGAGTTAAAGGGTATTTCTTGCAAGGCAATTTATAAAATCCTGCTTTTGCATTATTATGCGATTATTGCATTATATTCTCACCCGAGTTCTTATTTTGCAACTGGTTGAATATCCTGCAGTGTCAAGTAATCGTTAATAATCAGAGTTTATTTTACAGAGTCACTGTGAAACAAGTAAGTTGCAGCTTCGCGGTTATTGTGAGGTGAGACATTTAGGCGGAATGTGGGTTCCAGTGCACTTGAAGAGTCACTGATGCCACAAAAACACTTGTGTAACTACATATTAATTTCCCTGTTATCTGCTCATGTGTTGTTTTTCCCATCGGAGCAGCTGGGGGCCGTGTGCAAACCTTACATTTGGGCTCCTCCCACTTCTGTCCCTTACATTCACTCGACACAAAACCCCACTGAATGTTGGAGTAATTTCATCATTAAACAGCATACGGCTATTCCCCAATACACGGTACGAATAGGAGAGAGAGGGGGGGGAGAGGGGTGAGGATGGCTCATGAGAGCAGAGCCAGGTGAGTTGGCACAGTTGGGGCCTATCGACTAATGATAGTTTAAATGGTTCTGTTTAAATCCTGCTAAAATGGCTGAACTATGCCAATCGCTGCTAGATACCGGTACCTGCGCTGACCAAAAGACAGAAAGGATTGTGGGTAATCTTCTGCGCAATTGAGGATTTGCCATGAGGTAACGTGCTTATGAATGTCGAGACAATGTTTTATTTAAATATTCATTTATGGCGTGGCTAGCGTTATTATTTTGGATGTTTTTGTTAAGTTTGTGATATGTTTTATTGTCTGTAATAATAATGTCCGTTTTAGCTAACGTTAGCTAACACCAATACAATGTCGTCCTCCTGGGCACATGAAACGCAATCCTAGAGTGTCCTTTATTTATTATGTACAGGTACGTTACAGTTTGTTTAGTGTGACTAATCTGTATATATTTTCGGTAGTGTATTCCTTTGTATCTCTTAACCGGCTAAGAGACCGTTTGTGTTGTATTTCAGTTTTAGTAAAATCAATGTAAATCCATGATACGATCATCAGTATTTTGTTGTGGGTAATCCTCTGCGCAATCGAGGACTAACACGAGGGACGTGAAACGCAATCTTTTTGTGTCCCTTTATTGTGTACAGGGAATAAACGTGCATTTCAACCTGACCAACTCCAGAAGATTTAGCCAGACATCTCACAGTTACATACCGTGACTAAGACGGACCGGGCAGGTGTCTTCTCCCCACTGCATCGACCTGGAGCTGTGATTGTTTCTTTGTTGTTTCTGAATGTTAGTTTTATTTAGCTAACAGCCATATTCCCTTGAGTGAGTATTTTGCTATAAGTATGAGTTTTAATGACTTTGGTGCATCCGACGTGACTCCTCTCGGGTTTTGGCAGGGTTCCCATTGCACTAGCGGACCGACAGGTGGGGGGACAGAACAGCTTTCGGTGAGGATTTGGTACGCGGTCCTTCCAGACGTAGGAAAGTAGTGACACCTCATAATCAGCCTGGTTGAGTTACCTCCAACGCAGTGCGCTAGTACATCAGTTCCAGATCCTGCCCTGGATAATGGGAGACTAGTTGAGCACTATTGTGCAACAGATAGCAGCTAGCTGATGGCACTATGTCACATCTAAGCACATCGAGGGAAGACTCTCAGAGCATTAATAGACAGTGGATCTATGGCCTGCACTATAAGTGAGACAGTATGTGAGACATGTATGACCTTGCTGCGTGGTGGGAATTGTTACCTTCTTGTGGGGAGATGGCTGGGTTCCAGTCAAGATATTAAATCCCACTGAAAAGCCTCTCACCATTAAAAGAAATGCAAAGGTTGCAGGGGTTACTCAGTGTCATGTACTTGTTAATAATCAAACGCCCTTTTACAGTGAAACAGGAAGCGGTTATTGTGAGTTGAGACATTTAGGCGGAATTTGGGTTCCAGTGCACTTGGAGAGTCACTAATACCACAAAAACACTTGCGTAACTACATATCAAAATTTCCCCTTTTGGAAGGTTTATCTGCTCATGTGTTGTTTTCCACACAATCAGAGGAGAGGCCGTGTGCAAACCTCACACCTGGGCTCCTCCCACTTCTCTCCCTGGAGATGTGCGTCCTGCTGTTGCACGCGAGTGAGAGAAAGAGGGGGGACGGGGGGCTCATGGGAGCAGAGCCAATGTGAGTCGGCACAGCTGTTGCCTGTTGACTAATGACATTGTCCTTTAAACGCTGCACTGGGCCGGATGTCTGACGACTGCCGCGTGACCACGGCCTTCGTCTTTAGCCGTCAATACGTCGAAAGTGTTATCCCACATTTGTTGAATTCAACTTAATTCTCTTAATATTTATGGGTAACCAACATATATCAACACTGGTGATCCATTTTTCTAATCCTCCACTGAACTAAACTGTGTTCAAGCCAAGTTCCACGGGGGTAAAGTCCCCCTTTTTTGACGAATTGATAGCGTCATACCCTCAGGCTGAACTCTAAATCCTCCTCTGTCTCAAATTCAAAGTATTTAGGGGAGTTCACCGGATGATTCATCTTTTCGATGACATTAGAAGTTTAACGGTGACTCCAAACTGTAAACTAGTTCACGGATGCCTCGCCGTTGCTGCCCTCTGCCCATAAACTGTTGAAATGGATACAAATCTGACCGTGGGTTTCCGTGCTGGCTTCAATAGATCTTGATTTAAATTCATAAAATCATCTTCAATCCTCATAAAAGCTGTTTAGGGATAAAAAAAAAAAAAAAAAGTGGCCAGCTGAGGGTTGAACTGGATCAAAGCCACAGAGGCTGGTTGATGCCAGAGAAAACACACGGAACACTGAGGATAAGATAAAGAGCAGGAGCTTTATTTAATCAGCCTTGTATTTTCACATTACTCTGCTGACGTTTATTTTTCACTCGATCAGTGTTCATCTCACAGTACGATGGCTGCAGTACACCATGTTAGGACTGTGTTTCCTCAGCGTAACTGCTTTATTAGTATTAAGCGGAATAAAATAAACTTAGTTATTAATGATCCATACTATTTGGCTCTCTCACAGCAGCAAGAATTAAAAAATCCCAGGCAATACTAATGTATATCCTGCAACTTCATTATTCCTTTGTAGGGTCCCTCGTTCATTTTCTTTCACTTTTCATTTAAACATGAATTCATGAATCGCTCCTCCGTTGTGTGCATGTACGTGAGGGGATGACGGACAGCTGCACAGGTGAAGCACTACTTTCTCTCTTTGTGTCGGGTGACGGGAAGCTGTTGTTACCGACGTCTGCCTCCAGGCGGCACTGTTGAATCGCGATTCTTAAGTTCACCTTAAGAAGTCTGTTTTTTCTTTTGAACACTATTTTAATGGCAGATTATTCAAGCGTTCATCCACCTGGAAGAAAGAAGACCCTTCTGCAAACCGACGGTCCAAATCAGTGATGGGCGGATTTTATCAACACTCAAAACACGTAAAGTGCAGTTTGTCTCAATAGAGGATTTCACAGCCTTCAAAGTGACGACTGTGACAGATAATCATTAAGGATGACTCTGAATGACAGGAGAACGCATTAAACCGCCACTATGACGGATTTTAGGGAAGTCTTTCATCTGTTTTTTTTAAAATAAATTCTGCCCAGAAGTTGATTTTGAGTGGACTGCACCTTTAATTGACTTGACTAACGCCGTCGCTTGATGAGATCCCAGGGAGTCCGGTTCCCCGCATGTAGATTTAATCTAATCCTCCACCCAAAAGCCTCCTTCCGGTTCAACGGGAGGAGAGACCGAGGCCTGAGGGCCAAAACCGGTCCAGGAAACCGCATGCTTCCATTCACATTGATCCTGGTCACTTGATTGATCCGCTGGTTAGACCTTTAATTAACCACTTTGGTTGTTGAATGGCTCGGAGCTCTGTGGTTGTATCGATTCCTAGTAAAGATTATTGTTGCTGGCGAATTCTCTAAAGGAATCGGCTTGTTGATTTGTCACTGGACAAATACAAAAGCTTGTTATTCACATGAACCCTGATGTTCTGTTTTTCACGTTTGGTAAAGACCTTCACCCTTAATACCTTTTGTCAGTCTAAATATGTTTAAAAGTGCTTAAGCCACTTTGTAACAAACAAAGAAATGACCGCAATTAAGTATTGTTTTCAAATTGAATAGGAACAATTTTCACTACTATCTCTATGAACAAATGTTTGTATATGTATATATCCATAAATGTATACAAAACAGAAAGTTGTCCCTAAAATCCATCATAGTGGCGGTTTAATACGTTCTGATATCATTGAGAGTCATAGAGAGTACCTTCAGTTGGAAAACCTTATTGTAATAAATAAATATTGTGCTCTGTTACTCAAACCGCTCCCATATATATATATATATATATATATATATATATATATATATATATATATATATATACACAATATATTTGTTACGAAATGACTTTCGCACTTTTAAAGGTGTCGAGTTTTAATAAAGTCAGAGAAAGCTTAAGGGTTAATAATCAATTGGATTCAGTGAGAAAGCAGCTGTTGAATTTTCACATGTAGATTTTTACCAACACAAATTAGCACAGTCGTAAGATTGAATGTGACTTTTTGGAAGTGCATCGTTCTTCTCTGAGCGTGTTTCATTCTGCAGGCTGCTGAGGAGGCAGAAAGGTGAGGCTGCATCTCCTCTCTGCTCCAAGGACAGATGGACGGACATCTAGAGGGAAAGAGAGGAATTCAATCACATACGACAGAGTTCCACCCCCACCTCCCCCAACGCCATTTCCCAATATCACCCCCCCCCCCCCCCCCCCCACACACACACACACCTCTCACTCCTTCCCCACTGCCCCTTTATCATTTTCTCTCATTCTTTTTTTTCATCTTTTTAAGTCGCTTCATTTCAGATGCATTCATATATTTCCAATATCTTTATGTATGAGTCTGCCTCCCTCCCTCCCTCACCCTGCACTCCTCCCCATGCCCCATCCTCCGCCCCTCTCCCGCCCTCTTTCTCTTCTACCCATCCTCACCTCTCTCCAAACCTCCCCCCTCATTTCTTCCTACCTTCTTCCCTATCTTCCTCTGTCCGTCCTTCCCTCCATCCCATTACTGTAATCCATCACTCTTCCATCAGCCACCATGCAAACAGGCCTCCTGGTTACCATAGCAACCACCTCCGGCCCGGCAGTGCGCAACCCGTCTCTGATTGGCTGGCAATGCCTAGGCAGTCTCAGTCTGTCTGAGAGATGTGGTAATTGGCTGGGAAGTCACACACGGACACACACACACACACACAAACATAGTACAGTATTCACACATTGACATACAGTATGCACATTCTTGCACACACACATTAACACACACATAGACACACTTGTGCTCACGCTGGGCCTAAATAAATATACATATGCATATTCTTTTGGGTATTGAGTGAAACATACACGCACAGATAGTGCAGGGAGGCTGGGGTCAGAGTAATGAAGCTCATAAGAAGATGGGGGCTCTAGGCTGTGCGTGCGTGTGCATCTACTGTACAGTATGTGAGTAAGTGCACGGCCGGGTGCACGCGTGTCGTCAGTGTGTGTGTGTGTGTGTGGCACATTGCCGTTTCTGTGTGGGTTTCTGTGTGCACAGGATGGCGGGGGCTTGGGTGTGTAGTGCAGGATTTTGGATAAGGTTGGAGCTCAGCCAAAGGATGGAAGGAGGAATTGGTATTTGCAGAGTGTATTGTTAAAAATACCTATATTCCCCCAAGGAGTGTGCACTGCTTTTTTTTATTTTTTATTCTTTCATGGCTTCTTGAAGGAAGCAAGGAAGGAAAGAAAGAACGGAATTGTTGATCAGCTTGACTTCCCCCTGCTGCTGTTGCTCAGCCAGGTCTGGCCAACAGAGCAGCCATGATGAATGCCTCATCTCCAGGAATACATCACAAATAGCAAACGTGTACCTGCCCGGAATAGAAAAGTGTATTCTCTCCTGCAGTGTTCTTTCCAAAACAATTGCGGACAACACGGTTCTTTTGTCCCCCATTCACAGTTTTGCCGGCCGGCTCCAGAAGCAGAACAACGCGCTCCCCCCTTAATCTTTTGTCAATTCAAAGTCAATTTGTTCCTTTTTCAAGCTCCTGAAAAGGTTACAATAATTTTGGAGAGCGCCGCAAAATGAAAAAGGAGTTCTAGTGAATGTGTTTAAATTGGAAATGATAATTAGTTATTCACAGCTGCAGCCTTTGAACACTCGGCTTTGGTAGATTTGTATCTGCGCTGTGAAAAGAGGGAGAAATGGTCGGTGTGCGCAGAACGCACGAGTTAGACTGGATTCAAAGTCCTCTTTACCGGAAAAAAAGAATAAAGTCAAACAGGCTGGTAAGCCCCACTGGTTGGCAACAATACAGACAACCAGACAAACCGTCCAGAAACACACAAACATTCAGTGATTCACATCACAGGGACCAGAGCAAATAAATGCAACCACACACAGGTAGGGGTCATTTTTCAGTCTCATCTTTTTAATGGAAAAAATGAGTCAAGGGAAGAGAGACAAAACCGGGATAATTGATAAAGTCCGATGAATTCACAGAAAATGACTGACAGCAGTGATGAGGGGTGGGGGGGGGTTAAAAAATGTCCCGGAAGATTTGATCTTCCTCTCGAGTAAAAATACCAATGAAAAACTCATCTCTATCCAGCGTTGTTCACAACAGACGATCACGTTGAAAAAAATGTAATGATTAAAAAATAAACAGTTCACTCGCTCTCACACACGTACGTACTCACAATTAGATTTCCCATTTTTGGGGGGGGAAACGAAGAAAAGAAAAGAAAACCAAAGAAGTGCGAGCAAGATCACGGCACGACAATTTACACGAGCGGCCCAAAGTCTCAACCCCTCCGGCCCAGCCGCCCCCAACTGCTTAAAACGAGGAGGAGGGGCAGGGGGGGGGGGGGGGGGTAATGGCGTCAGCTGGTTTCTGGTGCAGCTTTGTTTGCCCCCCAAAAACATCATCAGCATCACCACCTTGGTTCGTCCCATTTGTACAAATAATCACACTGACCGCCCACCCCCCCAAAACCCCAACGTGGCGACCCCGCCCTCGCCAGGTAGTACAATCAAAATGAGATCGCCGCCAACCGTAGGTGTCATTGGATAATGGAAATACAAATGTGTTCAAGCAAACTGAAATGAACACAGCGTAGAACGAAACAGAATTCTCCTTTGCCCAAGTGACTTGTGGGAAATGTGACCACTCAAGTACACTGTTGTTGTTGTTGTTGTTTTGTACTCAGCCCTCCGATCCTCTCGCAGCGCTTTGCCACGCAAGTGGTTCCACTGAAAAATAATAATAATTCACTATTTTGGTTCGGTTTGCTCTTCTCTGACCTTCCATTAAAGTGGTAATACACACAGACACACACACACACACACACACACACACACACAGACACAGACACACACGCAGTCACGCACATACACCCAGAGGCATGAACACACTTGGGAAGCAGTGCAGCCACGCTGTGCAAAATGTGAGAAGACCCAGATTACAAAACCAAACACAGAGACAAACGGGGGAAATGAGAAGGAGTTAAAGGTTATTTCTCATCGTCCTTTAAAAAAATACTGACAATATTCAAATATGTGATCGGAAAGATTTCAGGTTGTCATTCATGCATCAGCGGAGTCACATCGAATCGAGTAGCACAGCACAGTTATTTGCACCTAATGTCTTTTCAGTATCAGATGGCAAACACAATTACAGTTGAGGTACATTCTCGCCAGCCATCTGATCCCGCGAGTTTCCATTCGGAGACACGACGCAGCATTATAACAAAATATATATCAAAAGAAAAACGACTGAAAATGGCCGTATTTTGACATGTAGGCCTACACAGGAATATGAAACTCTGTATGAAATGGCAATTTGTTGCCCTGGATTCAACCCCCTATTTACAGCTATCGTCTCCAAACGTAAAGCTCACACATAATCGGGATGGATGCGTTCTCGATGCCATCGAACCACTCGCCCTCCTAACGCTGCACCTCCACTTCGGCTGTCTGGTAATGTGCCCTTTAAAGTTGCCTTCAGAAGTCTGGTCTAACTGGTTGACAATAACATAATGTGCCTTTGGGTTAAAATGGTAAAGAAAATAGTTCCCAGTGAAAAGCTCACAAATGTACATGCTGGCAGGCTGACTGGATTAATCCCGTTATAACGGACTCAGGCGTAACATTGTAGCTCGGTCTTGAACTGCTGATTTTATTCCAGTCTACTGGATGCTGACGTGCAGAGCGGAGACGTGGACAGAATCTTCTTTTCCCAGCGTCTCTCGCCCGAGTTTCGATATCCAGAGCTCATGTTTGTATTATTAAGGCTACAAAACATTGATTGTTCAGAGAGAACCGTCACTCTCTCCTGGCAGGTCTCCATTCCACCTCTGCAGCTCATCCAGAACGCAGCAGCTCGACCGGTCTTTAACCTTCCGAAATTCTCCTCCGCTCTCGTCACTGGCTACCGGTGGCTGCCCGCATCCAGTTCAAAACACTGGTGCTCACGTAGCGTGCTGTGAATGGATCGGGTCCAGTCTACACCCGAGACACGGTCGAACCCGACACCCCGACCCGCACTCTCCGCTCTGCATCTGCAAAACTGCTCGTCCCTCCCTCGCTGAGAGCAAAACACTCGACTAGATCACGACTCTTTGCTGTCCTTGCGTTGGTGTTATCTGTCCAAGATTTGTCATACGAAATGTTCTGTACTAAAATCAGAGGGTTGTGTGAGAAAAGATCAATTTAAAAAAAGCATATTTTACTATTAACTTCATAATTTAAAATGGCATCGCTAATGAAAAAATAATAATCCTAATTTTCACTTGACTAAACATGATTTTTGCCTGGCGTCATATGAGACCGTCGCTGGTATTCGCACCTCTCAGAGCTGTCTTCATCCAGGAGGCAGTTAGCGTAGCTTAGCATTACAACTGGAAGCGGCTCTGTCAACCTGCCGGCACCTGCGAGTCCAATCTCGTTTGATTAACGGGTGCAAAAAGCAAAAGGGTGAAAAGTGACGAGCTGAGTTTTGCCGTGGAGGGGTAATGGGTCTTTTTTCTTTTACACTTTGAGTATCGCATGAATTGCCCAAAAGGTCAAACTAAGCCTTTAACGCTTCAAGGATTTCAGTGGAAGTCATGTGACTTGCAAAACAATGACTTTGGACAGGTCGATGTTGACAGTCACCTTTGTGCCACCGGGCCACAGCAACAAGTCACACAAACAGACACACAGTGAGTTCAAAACACATCCAGTTTGGCCAAAATAGTTCATATCATAAACACATTATTGCGAATTAAGTGTGCTTTCCTTTCCATTTCAAATAAAAGTCTACACAAACAATTCAAATAACAACATGCACATGGGAAGAAGAAAAAAAAACATCTTAAATAAAAAAGGAATCATAAAAAATATGTTTTTTTTTAGGCCTCAGCGTGGGCCAGAGAAAGTTCTGCATTGTCCACACGTCAATCCTACATTCTTCACACACAGGTAACGCACGCCGAGCTCGAGCAGTGTTCCAGTCCCACATTGGCGTCACAGTCACTGATTCATAGACGGCCGACCCAAGTTCAGGTCGAGGATTTGTGAGCGACGCTGAGCCTAAATTGTCATTTTTAAACACACCGATCGGCTGATTGGAGAGCGATCCGACACCTCCCGGCAACGATGCCCGAAAGAACGCACCGTTCATCAGTGGGAGCCTCGTGCAAGGAGAGAGGAGGCGGCGAGCTCGAAGATGGTCTGAGTTCCTGGCCAGAGGCTCACTGTTGCGTCTTGAAGACTGCACGGATGGAGAATCAGTCTGAATTCTGTACAACTCGCCCCCTCTTTTGAAAATCGCAGAGGGGCAGCGAGCCCCCCGCGCACAAACAGCGGAGCGGAGTTCAACGTCTCGGCTCTGTACAAGAGGGAGAGGACGCAGGGAGTAAATTCAATTTCGGTTAGGTGTACATTTCACAGAAACCTACTGCTCCGTGTGTCACCCGGGGTCCCCCGAACCCCGTCCTCAGCCCGACACCCGTCCGTCTTAGTAATTCTCACTCGCTACTTGACTGAGCTGCAGGTGAGGATCATTAGGGCTCTTCCGAGGCCCCTTAAGAGGGTTCTTGTGGAGCAGTGTACCTCTGAAGTACTCTCGGCAGGCCAGTGTGTGTGTGTGTGTGTGTGTGTGTGTGTGTGTCTTGCTGGCAAACACATTGCCGGCTGATGGGTTCCGTTTTCAGTAAAGGGGGTGGGGGTCAGGTCAAGCATTAGGGCGCGTCGATGTGGAACCCCCCCAGAAAGGACGGAGGTCGGGTTTGCGGCTGGAGAGGCGCTCGGAAAAAGGTCGCTGCGCTGAGGGGTTGCTGTGCGCTCCGTCGGGTCAGAGGTCACCGGGACGGATTCTGGAGGAAGCTGCGGCGACAAATAGATGAGGGGAGGAAGAGGAGGGGAGTCAGGGGGCGAGTGGGGGGGGAGTCGAGCTGAGGCACGGAGGAGGGGCGACGGTGGGGGAAGGATGAGGGCCGAGAGGATGAGGCGCTGCTCCGCGGATTAAGTGAGGGTGATGTAGGCTGAGGCCTTCTCCTTCAAGTGTCTCAGACACAGATGACAGCTCCAGCTCCCTGTACAACACACACACACACACACACACACACACACACAGGAAGTTCAATCACTACAATTGTGAAGCCTCTTGGATTAATCCCTCATTTTAGACAGAGTGTTAAGCAAATACTGTAAATTAAAGCCGCATGTTAGAACACCACACGCTGTGCCTGTGGATTGTGGCCGCAGGGGGATTCCAAGTCGTTTGGTTTGGATTTGAGCAGCGGGGGATTTGTGACATTAATTAAGCATCACAAATGGCGACCCCGCTGAACGGCGCCTAAAGATGCCACGCACGTCCGCAAGCGTGCGCCCGAGAGCTCCGTCGGGTCCCAGAAGAGCGGGCGGGCCGCTGAGTTTGAGACGCCTTTCCCCCCCCCCCCCCCCGTAAATCGAGGAGCGCCGCGTGCGCGGGCGGAGCGTGACACTGTTAGCGAGTGTTGAACACTCACAACAAGTGCCACCGCTACTGTATGTTCAGCCAAGTGACGCTCTCGCCATGGAAACGGGTTCTCTTATTCCACTACTCGTCTCCATGACAACGATGCCATCAAACACCCCCCTGGAGGAGCCATCTTGCTTCCCGCTCCTCAGTGTGGGTGCCTCCCCGCCCACACCGCAGGCCCTCACACCGCTCTGCGCCAACAGAGCCCCGCGAATGACGCTCTGACGCGGCGCTCCCGGGGCGTGTGTACGTACCCTCCGGCGGTTCGGACATGGGGGGGCTCAGACAGTACATGTGGTAGCCTCTGTCACAGTCGTCACAGAACAACAGCTGGTCCTGGAACACAGGGGAATATTCACACAGGCAGATGTGGTTATGCGGGATTTAAAAGGAGCGGAGCTTCAAGTGAATGCGTATGAATGCGTTTAGCGCTCGAAGATTCTCAGTTGTATACTCATAAACTGATAAACGGTTGAGGTGTGTTTTATATTTTCTCAATTTAGAATCCAATTAGACTTTTATTTTGGCAGAAATAGTTCCTCTCTAATCCCAACGATTGATAATAAGCTGCACTGTGACTTCAAATCTTCATGAATAAAAAGAAGGTTTGACATGTAAGTATCTTTAAAAATGTTTCATAGATTTAAATCTATGAAACATTTCTTTCTCCCACTCGGTGTGTCAAAATGTCGTGTAATTAAGTCTTTGAGCCAGGCGATGTTCACAAAGGAGATTGAATTAAGTCAACTTGCTCTTTTATATGAAATAATGTATCAAAGCCAAATTCAAGAAGTAGGTTAAAGGTTTTCCAGTATCGTGCGTGCATGCGTGTGTGTGTGTGTGTGTGTGTGTGTGAGCAGCCACACGTGTTGACATGCGTGTATGAAGTGAGAACCTACGTCGTTCTCAGAGGTGCCGCACAGGCTGCAGGACTTGCACTCGATGCACTGCCAGCGATAAGTCCTCACCGCAGCCGTCATGTTCACTGTGAACTGCAGACAGGACAGGTGGCCTGAGTGCACACACACACACACACACACACACACACACACACACACACACACAAGCACACACCCACACAACGTTTTTCACCATCGCTTTCTGTATTTTGAGGACGGTCATCCATCATCTGCCTTTTCTATCTATTCGGCAGTTTGTTGTGATATGTGTGATTTATCGATATTCAGCGGGGGGGAACAGGGCTGTGGTGCAGATGTGAACAACATCTGCTGAGCTTTTCGTCCAGATGGCTGAAAAAGTTTTTGGACGGCACTTGGTTTTCCACTGTATTTACATTTTTTTTTCATCTCTGAAAATATACCATAAGATTCCCATAAGCTTAGTTTTGATTGAAAATAAACATGTTGTCATTCAGTGAAAGTGGAAAAGAATCCAGAAAAACAAATCCGCTCTGTTGTAAAGCCACTTAAAATATATATTCTCTCCTTACAGAGCTACATCCTGCTGGTGCTCCCTGTTACATGATCACGACAATAGAAACGTGGTTATGTCATCCTCGTTTCCCGAGCTTTATTTGTCTTCTTTGTGCGCGTTTATATAGAGAAGAGGACCATACCAATGTTTCGCACGCTGCAGCCCATTCACTACAAATCACGTAAATCCTTTCAGTTCTGCTTTTTATTTTTTCAGATGAGAAAAAAAAAACAGGTTGAGAAAAGTATGAGTACAGTACATGCAATCAAGTAATAAATTCACAAATTCTTCACCATATACACTGCATTCTCTGCATGTATACAAATATACAAGCAAATCCCACAAAACAAAACAAAGGGATTTATAATGGGAAAATAATAACACAATGATATTTTAGAAAAGAAACCATTCTTGACCTCTACTCTGATAAGATTCACCGTTCACAACCACAATACACACTAAAGGAGGCCGTCCCCGAGGCTCCGGCAGCCCGCGGGACGCGGCCTCAAAAAGAAGAAATAGACAACGGTTTATATCACAAAGGAGGTTGTTGCACAAGAAGCCAGGATTGAAAGGAATGCAGCACACAACATTCAGATTTTGTGGGGTTTTTTGTGTTGGTTAGACAGGAAGGTCACGCCAAGCTTACATTTCATGGGATCCATTCATATTCTAATACCAATCTAATAACGATAAGTGCCATAGTGGTGATGCACTTCTGCACACTTCATCATCATATTTATTGCATATTATATATATTCAGAGATGGATGCATTTTCTTTAAATATCTAGAATTGCATCTCATGTGTTTTATCTATTTGATATTCGTGGTATTCTACAAAACTTTATAAAATACTAAATCCTGTCCCAGCTGTGATTATGCTGTTATCACTTATAATGAATGGAGTGTATTGTATAAAGAATAGCACTTTATTATCAGGTGTTGATGCTTTTAGAATAATGTTTTGAAGCTCATTTAAATTCCTGGCACTGTTACACCAACAAGAAACTCTTTGCGCAGAGAAGATTTTAGCACATTTTACATTATAGCCACTGTTTTTCCAAGTATGTCATAATGTTTTAATGTGTTTTCTACCTTTGAGGCAGCAAAGCGTTTCTACTCCCTCACACAGAAGATAAATTAACTTGCAGAGAACATGCATGTATGTTGATGGTAATCCAATGAACCCGCACTTAAAAGCATTGCAACGAAGCAGGAATTGATTTAATTGTGTATGTACGGTGGCCTCTAAGGATCAAAAATCCCCATAGCAACATACAACAGATGATGTGAGGCGATGCTACGTTATTAGCTATGATTTTTGAATTTCTACTACGTTTTTGTATTTGCAATTTCTAGGTAGAGACCCTCCAAAAGCAGAATGAATGTCATTTTAGATAAATCAGGGGTCGGTTTCAAGTCTCTGCGAATAGATTTTTAAATTGGAGTGAAAACTGTAAACCAACAGCTGCCTGGAAGGTGAGAAAATACCTTAAACAAATCAAAAACATAACAGCAAATGTCTATTGAAAAGACTGTACATGATTTGTAGTAGATGGGCTAAAACAAAACAAACAAAAACCAACACTGGTATGGTCCATCCATTTGAGCGTAACTTTTATTTATTTATGTGGCAAATGCGAAATCTATGCTCGTCAAATGGAACATTTCAAAATTGCGCATCAACAGAGGACCGCCTTCCTCCTGCCAATCATCCCCTTCAGCGGTGCCCTACCTGAGCGTCCACAGTCCGCACAGGAGATAAGGTCTTCGGGACAGCCCGTCTTCTTGGAGCCTCCGAGGCAGAAGTCGCAGTAGCCGTTGGCGATCACCGAGCCGTCTGGCGCTTTCTTGGCTGGAGGGAGAAAAAGAAAAGGGAGGCGAGGTCAGGAAAGCGTTGAGCTTTCTCCCCAATGGGTTTTTAGCAGAGGGAGGGTGATGCTGGCTGGGGGGGTAAAATGTAGAGATGTAAAAACAAAGAAGGAGAAGAAGAAGAGAGAAAAGTCCATCCCAGCTGCTCGGTCCCGTCCCTCGCTACTTCCCCATCTGTTTGCTTTTGTTACAGAAAAGAAAACAAGCGCCGGTTCAAGGCCGCAGCCGGAGGCGGGGACTCACCGAACCCCCGGCTCACCCGGGAAACGGGAGACGGGGTCGGGGGGGAGAGGGGGGGTCCCTGAGAGGGAACCCTGCTGGAAGCACTCCCCGGGTCTGGTAAATATTTTCAGTGGTGGAGGAGGAACTGAGGAATGATGTGTGTGTGTGTGTGTGTGTGTGCACAGGGATTTTTTCAGGACAGACCTACCGGCCTGCTGGGAGGCAAGTGCTCCACGTAATGATTATTAATAAGAGAGAACCCCCCCCCCACCCCCCCCGCCCGCCCCCGCCTGCCCGAGTGCTTGGTACATATGTGTGTGTATGCATTCCATCCCTCTCCCGGTCTCCCCGTCTGCTGTCTGACTGCCGTTGATTGCATAATCACTGTAATGGAAGGAACCACACAACCACTGCAGACTATTTTGAACGCACTTGACGGCTCCAATGACTCATCGTGCGGGACAGAGCGACGGCGAGTACAAGTGGATTACGCAGGTCCACGCACGCACACACACACACACACACACACAAACACACACACACAGACATTCCCTCTGCAGAGAGACAAAGGGAAAAAGGCAGAGCTGCAGGTGATACTTTGTGCATGTGTGAGACAGGGAGAGGTCATTTAATCCATCCATACCAGGGCGGAGAAGGTTTGGCCGGAAGGGGGAGGGGGTGAGTAAGGGGGTGAGAAGAGAAGGAGTGAGAGAGATCGGCTTTCTACCCCGCATGGTTCTGGCTTTAATCCTGGGAGAAATAAAATAATAATGGAAACTGTCTGACAGACAGGGGAGGGGAAAAGATGAGCTGCAACCTGCTACATGCAACAGGAGTACAAAAAACAAGAGGCTGTCGTCTTCAGCGAGAGAAAGCAACTGCTGGGATGTGCACTCTGATGGACGTGGAGAGATTACTGTATCCATAGAAATAATGAGGAAGCTACTATGAAACAATGTGCCCAGTGGTTCGTCTTCACCATCAGGCGACTCACAATGAGAGACTCACAATGTGCAATTTCCACCCTCATTCTCAGTAGTCTCCACTTCCTGTTCGTCAAGTGTTTTTCAGAGAAAAAGGACACACCTGGAGGCCGGTGTGCTGGGTTAGGAAATTAGGTCCTGGCCAATTTGTGCCCCTTTTTTATTAAAAAAAAAGTATTATTCTCATAAGAGTATAGGAGCAGCAGGAAAAATTGCAGGTAAAGTGGTTAAATGAAAATTTGCCCCAACAAAAGTACATCAGAGGCTGATTGGAATGTCTTTTCTTCTTAGTTTTTCCGGCCTTGGAGAAAATAGAATAGATGGATAGTAACGTAAGAACAACACCGCCAGATGTTTCCTGAGTCTGGCAGAAAGACGTATCCTGTGAAGCCGCAGAGGCATATGTGGCGTGCGCCCCCCCCGGAGCCAAAGCAAACGCGCTCTGGTCAAATAAATTGCTTTTTATCTTCGCTGCTTTTATTCGGGCTCGCCGCTGCTGATTGGGCCTCGCAATTCCCGTTGGGACAAACTAGACGGGCACACATGTGGAAAGCCACACGCACACGCATCCAGGCTACGTTTCATCCGTGTGTTTGCCTTTGTAGTCGTGCGTGTGCGTGTGTGTGTGCGTGTGTGTGTGTGTGTGTGTGTGTGCGCGTTTAAAGGCCCCAGAGAGTGAATCAGCAGGTCCTGGGGCATGCGAAGCGAAGTCGGGGCTGCCCAACCGGCCCGCCTGCACCGGAGACAAAAAAAAACTCCATCAATGATTAAACGCCCGGCAGCCGTGTTTCAGAGGCCCCCTGCAACCACAGACCACGCCATCGCCGGCAAAGAGGGGGGGGTGAGGGGGGGGGAGGACCATGACAGAGAGAGGGAGAATGGAGAAGGAGCGAGCTAACGAGCAGAAATACAAGAGAAGGAAACAGGTTCTCTGTCTTCTAACCCTCTTGTTAGTTTTACCTCCTTTTCCTCTCCTCCGCCTCTCCTGCATGTTTTCTTGCCTCCACAGCTTCTTTACCTGACCCTCCCCTCCTTCCCTCCCTCTCCTCCCTCCCTCCTTCCCCTCCCTCCCCTCCTCTCCTCTTCCAATTACCAGGAGGAGTATGAGCAGAACCGCACACTTCACAGCTTTCAAGTGTTGGAGAGAGATCCTCCAGGGAATTATCCAGCAAGAGATGAATCCTCAAATGCTCCTCACCCCCCCCTCATCCCCACAAACACCCTTCACCATCTTTTCTCCCCCTCTGCTTATCATTTTTCTCCCCCCGTCTCATTTTCTCTCCATGCTGCTATTTCGTTATTTCGCTCTCTGAACCGACTCTTGCCCTGCTCTCTTTTTTTCAAATACTCCTTCAGCAAAATAATTGTCTGTGCTCACGTGTTTCATATGTTATTTGTGTTTTCCGGGATTTGATAAGGCACCTCTTAATTTTTTTAAACAAAGATTTGTGTTTTAGGGCAAAATAAAATAAGTTTCCTCTTTTTTTCATGTGTAAAAAAAAAAAAAAAGAAAGAAAAGAGAAATTCAAATGCATGTATGTTTTTGTTATATATATATTTTTTAAATCAAGCAGAGAATTGCAAGATAGACATTTTTTTATTTTCAATCCTTCGGGAGAATAATTCTTTCGGAAGATTATGTGACTAATCAGAGCAACTTTTCTTTTTAAAGATAAAAAAAAAAACGGCGAAACGACCCGACCTCCGTCCTCATCCTGGCAAGTTTGTCCCTCCCGTGTCTCCCTTTCAAATCGCTCCTCATCCTCCTCCTTCTTCGTCTCCCTTTGCCCCGGAATCAATACCACCGACTCTGGCTGGTCGATACTCTCGTCCTTCTGCCGGCCGCAGTGGAGGCCTCATCGCCTTAGCGCCTCCATTCGAAAGGAATGAACTCTGCCACACACACACACACACACACACACACGCACACACACACACAAACAAACAAACCGGCCTGCCTGTTGACTTTTCTCACTTTTTAAATATCATCCCTGCCTGCTCCTTGATTTGAAAGAACATTAAAAACATCAACCCTTTGCATTACTTGAACTTGAACTGATTGAGGTGACGGACTGTTTCCTTTCTACTTCTCCACCTCTATTCTCCTCTGTGGCGGCAAAACACAAAAAACTATCCTCAGCCATTAACAAAGACGCACAAGTTGCCGTAGCTACCGCCATGGCGAAAATAGACCAAAACTTGATTCACAAGACTAAGGCAAAGGCAGGGCTAAAGTGTCAGCGTTTTTCACTCTCAGAGTGTATCCGCTCCACAATTACCGAAGGCAACAAACACTCCAGCCCTGCAGTTACACATGCGAGGAAGGAGGGAGGAGGAGGAGGAGGAGGAGGCTTACAGGGGAGGAAGAAGAGAATGAGGAGGAGGCAGGGAAGGATTTCCAGAAGGGGGAAAGGAGGAGGAGGGAAGATGAGGACGCACAAAGAGGAGAGGAGGAAAGGCAGGGACAAAAAAAAAAAAAAGTGTCTCTCGTTGTATCGGAGCAGCGGTGTGTGAAAACACACACTCTGCACTCCTGTCGCCCGGCTGCTTAATGAGGAGAGCCTCTCAGGAGTAGTGCACGCACACACAGAGGAAAAAACACTTGCATGTACACTAGAGCGCGCACACACACACACACACACACACACACACACACACACACACACTCCGAGATTTACAACCGAGCCTTTGCATAATAACTTTTGCCGTCCAGTTTCAGTCCCATCCCCCACTTGCTCCCTTTTGCATGATGAATGAGAGGCCATGTGACCTCGTGCAGCCACACACACTCACACACACACACACACACACACGCACACATAGTATAGTGGAAACAAGAGGAAACAAAAGGATAAACCAAAATAAATATACATGTCAATTCACACAGACACAAAAGCCCAAATGCTCAAGGAGACATCTTCAAGTTTTTTTTTGCAGACAGGGAGGCAATGATGCAGTCATATGGAAACTGTCAGTCACAGATGAAAAGTCACCGCCTACCTTTCTCTCTCCCTCTCTCTCTCTCTCTCCCTTCCTATCTTCATCCTCTCACTCTCTCTCGCACCCATCCTCTTCCTCTTTGCACTTTCATGCGTTCTCATTATTGCTGCTGCTCTCGCTGCCTCTGATTCGATCTCTTCGCTGCGCCTCATTGTGCTTCATCTCTTCGCTTCCCTTTCCCTTATTCGGAATCCGTCTATTTCTTTCTTCCCTCTGCTTTGCTCTCAAAAAGGAAATTGGAACTCTTTCCTGCAATCCATCTGTTGTCAGCCTAATGCCTGCACCAGTGCTATGCTCTCGTTTCCCTCCGTCTCTCCCCCCATTTCTGCTCCTTTTCCATCCCTGCCCCCTCCGACGCCACCCCACCCCTCACCCGCACACACACACACACACACAAGTACTACTTTCACTCATGTCCAGTCAGCAGGTTGCGTAACTCCCAGTGCATTGTGGGTCTGGATGCATGCATTGTATGTGTGTGTGAGCGTGTGTGCAATGTGAGCGTGTGTGCAGAGATGACATTGCAAAGTAAAGAGGACAGAGGGAGTTTTGGTGCATAATAAAACTTGATCTATGGCTGCTTTGTAATCACACTGACCCGTAGAAACGGACACACACACACACACACACACACAGTATGTCAGGCTCTGCAGTCTGCAGCAAATAGACACGCACGCCGACATATCACACGCGCACACAAAGGCACACCGAGTCCCCCATGAATCATGCATTTAAAAAAAATAGACACACACATACACACATTCCGTGCACTCACACG